TTTTAAGTCAAACCATCCTTTAGATCTGAACTCAATCAAGTGACAAGCCCATTGATGATTTGATTGGGCCCAACATTCTCAACCCAAGACTTTATAAATTCAGCCCCTCAAATTAAATTCTCTTGTTTGTACCCACTTTTTCATGTGCTATGACCATAACATTTATTTCATCTTCCCAACAACATCGCTCTACCTAATTACTGATTGGATCGTTTAATATTCATTTCGAGATAAATTTCAAGACATTATTAATCAATCACAATTCTATGTTGTCTCCATTGTCTATGATAGGACATGAAAATTTCAGAACATGTATTTTTCAAAGCTTCAAACTTCTGCCCTACTTTAGTCAGCTAGTAGCGAATTTAAAAAAACCTTTTTTTCTATGGAAAATTATTTATGCCATCACTTTTGTAGAGCTATCACTCACATTCAGATGTTGAATCCTATTTTGTCTACAAAACATAAATGCCTAGTACCAAGAGGAAAATACATGTTACATTGAATCATACGATTTAACTTTTTTGGCCTCCAAATCAAATATTATCATTACATATACTTGAAAAGGCAAAACTAGAAGCTTACAAATCAAGCTCTAATTTTCTTTGACTTGAATCAATCCTCATGGTTAAACTTTCAATAGATATAAGTTTATTACATTTGAAGATTCAAACACCCATACACAATTTGAATATTTTATTGAGGACATAACATTTCCTACTGCCAAATTTTATATTATAAATTCTTTCATACTATTGATCCCAATATCTCTTATATACTCAGAAGAGTTCGTTGGTTTGGTTGGAACTGGTCTCTAATCCACAGAGGATAAATCCAACACTTACAAAAAAAAATTATGTGACCTTAATTGAATATACTCATCATCATAGTCAAAAGAAAATTAATTTGTCTCACTAGATAGGGCCTTCTCATATTTGAACATTCCTACATATAGACAGAAAGAAGCATTTATCCTTCATCATAATAATTATTGACACCATGTCACAAGTTTTCTAGATCCAACTCATAAAATTTTTGATGTCTCTCAACTCCTATTACTTCTGATGATTATTCATCACATACTTTGATATATCCTCCTTCATAAGAGTAGAAACTTTCACATAATAAACCAAGAATATTTTTGCATTATTCATCATATTATGACAAGAAGAAAGCTCCACCTTGGTGAATTTATAATAACTAGAATGAAATCAGTTGTTAACAATGCCCTTCTATATCCCATACTAATCACTCAAAATCTCCAGCATTTGATCATGATTTTTTTTTGGAAAACTTCCCACAATTTGAAATGACTAATTAGATACTCAGAAGCAATCTAATTTGTATGGGGTATGCTTGCATTAATCAGAAATAGATTCCTCCTAAGAAACATTATAATAAGCATTGCAAATGTGATTTAGAAACCCATCAATCACCTTACATTCATCAACTTCAAATTACTCAGCCATTACTTGATTAATAATTTTATAACAATGGCATGACCCTTCACCACATAAACACTTACATTTCTCTTGATGACAAGCTTGATCAAGTTCTCCTAAGGTGAAGCACTTGAAGTGAACTATCAAAGATCCCCATGGCAACACAAATAAGCTCATATGCCCATTGTGGCTTTGGAGTTAATGCTTGCCAAAGAATGGGAGAAAGACAATAGTGGAGAAAAGCAACTAAAGATGGAGAGTAAAGTAAAAAGAAATCAGGAGCATCTTCTACTTTATTCACCCTTATTGATGCTAACAAAAAGTGAACAAGAACCCTAAAACTGAGGGAGAAATGTTGAAAAAAAAGGAAGTTAAGGAACTAAAAGGGGAAGAAGTGAGGAAGAGAATGTTGAAAAGGGGGAGAAAAATATCGACCAAAGCTGTTTAACATAAGGGGGACGACAAGTCAGGAGAACGAGAGAAAAGAATGATTCATATAGAAAGAGGGGGAACTATGATAGGGAGAGAAAAATTATAGACAATGTAGCCTGAATTCTATTTTGGATACTAGATTTTTTCTGCACGTTTTGTGAATGTTTAAATGTACTATGTGTAAGAACACTAATTTTTTCTTCATTAATGGAATGACTTTGATATGTTTATTAAATGTTATGGCCACAATCGTATAAACCCCCCATGGTAAACTAGTTATATCTTCTAGGGGAGAAATAAGAGTTCAAAGGAAAAAACCATATAATTCAAGGTGAGAACCAGCAAAAACTAGTGTCAAAGCCAATACTAATCTCCCAAGGAAAATTCATGTCAAATAGTCTCACACTAAGAATTATAAGGAACAAAACTAAATTAAAATTTAGTTAAAATCCAAATTGAATTTACCAAGCAACTAGATCGACTAATTACTGAGGGATCAGTGAAATAAAAAATCATTGATATCACCAAAAATTAATTTGAATTCATTGATATGTAACATATTCATTTGATTTAAAACTGATTTGAAAATGTGCAAACTTATTTAGCTCAGTAAATTATGAAACAAATTTGGAATTCCAAATTAAATTTTGTGGATTAGTTAGTTTATTAATTCAAAAGATTTTTAGTTTATATTTTGGTCAACATAGATGTCCTACAATCATGAAAGTTGAGATTTCTAGAAAATTAATCTAACTTGCACACTGTGTGAAAGTATTAATTCAAAAATTAGATATTAAATAGTTTTCAAAATTGTTGAAATAAAAAATGTAGAAAAAAACTTCAAACATTTTAAATAAAAGAAATTTCTTGCTGATGCCAAGCCTGTTTTAAAGATATTAAAAAGATATTAAATGATCTTTTAAAGATCATCTTGTCCTTTCTTTAAAAATTTGCATTGTTTCATTCTTCCACACATTTTTCTCATGGTTGAAAATTTTGAGATTGTTATCTTGAGGAGACCAGGCTATTTCAATGATCTCAAAATATAAAATACAATATTGTGATAGAATTTATAGTTTTGGAATTATCCATTGGGATGACCTTGATGAATATAGTGAAGGAAATCCTTAAAATTAAGAAAAGATAATTCATTGGTAAAATCATTATTTTACATCACAAGGGCCATTAAGTATTTTTTCTTGACCTTTAAAAACACCCATACTAGTTGCATATACTGTAACAGGATTTATAGTGTTTAATAAATATTTATAGACCAATTTTTATCTGCACATTTTTCTTATGGTGCAATTTTGGTGTTGACATATGAAACACATGATGATAGATAGAAGATGCCTATAGGCACAGTCAAAATGAACCAAACAGAAATAACCATTAAGATTCACTATCTATGTGAGAATAATGACTTTAAATCATGAAATAATCAAATGGTAAATGACTATTATAAAATCATGAAAATCAAATCAGTAGTCTCTAAGGAGAACACACCCTTCATCCTAGAGAATAATGGAAAATTCAAGATTAAGGGCAAAAATTGAAGAGCAAGAAAGGGGTGAAAAAATGCAGCCTAAACAAAGAGCTTTACAACCATTGCAATGGGATATAACATAATCAAGAAAGATGAGAATTAGATTTATTCTCTATTCAGAAAGACCAAATAAATATCCCTTTAGTGACCCTAGCCATCCACTGTCCTTGAGAAGCTAGTCTAATTTCTCTGGGGTCCTAGCCATCTATTGTCCCTAATGATAATTAGTAGATTCAAGTCTCTCAAAACCATTGGAGTGACTAAAATGATAATTTGTTCAACATATAATTAAGGTTATGCTTGGTACCCAAGGCAATCTTCGCTTCAATTTAGAGGACATAGCTATTTGCTAGGTGTAAAAAAAAAATTGAATTTTCTCTAGTTTGGCCCATTAGAGCTGTGAAATGGAAAAAGGGGTTTTGAGTGGAATCTAAGTTGACTGGAGGTATTAAATGTAGTGTATATACTTTTAATTGAGCCAACAAGACTAAATTTTAACTGAACCAATAGATCCTGATGATATTCAAAGAGAGAGTATAAAAAATAAGTACTAAAATGGAATTGAGTATATTTAAAATATTACATAAAATAAGAAATATCTCAAGTATCATTTACCTTGGCAAGAGATCAAACCAGGAGTAATTTAAGGTCACTTTCATAGCCTTATAATGTATACATAAACTTTATGTCAAATAGAAGGATTTTGTTTTAGATTTAATATGGCAAAAAATTAACATCTTTATTCGTGTACTATATGACTTTGCAAAATATTTAGTGATAGATGTGCTTCAAATAGTTTAAAAAAAAATAATTAACTACTAGAGCTCATAATCCGAAAATTCAGTTGGTGTTTATATTAATCTATTTTGGCAACATCAAACCAAGAAGAGGTCCTAGAACAATTCAAGTGAAGAAGCTCCAGTGGAAGATGGTCACAATATATGGTCAAAGCTTCCAAAGCATTCAACAGAATTTTTTTAATATACATCCAGTCAATGAACTTATGACCATGGACCTTTACTAGGATTCTATTGACATGACCGCAATAATGAAAAAAGCACAACCAATGCTTTATCTAACGGAAGATGGTGACTATCACCATTCAACATAGTGGTACACAAGATGACCTACTTGGTACACAAGGAAGCCATGATCAGACTAGATATAGTTTCCAACTAGTGTGAATTTTAAAGAAAAAAAATGAACTTTCACTGAATGTGGCATCTAGTCATATCTTGTATTGTGTTGTGGGCACTAAAACAGAGTATTATAGATGAAGGAGCAAAAGGATGAAAGCTTTGCCAGAGATAACTGTAAGAAGATGTCTAGTCAATGGATTGGTGGCCATGAAAAGAAGCCAAGAACGGAAGTATGTTTATTTAAATCCTGTTGACACAATTTAGAAAATGGTTGAACATAGTCTGCATATAAACACAAATATTGTCTGTTCTTATCCAACACTGAATGGATAACTAGACTACGCAAACTAGTCTTAAACTACTTGCTACTATAAAAGGACCTAATTGGTCCCACAGTGAGAACAGTTAGTCAATAAAAAGACATCACTGTACAGCGAATAATTATTGAAATATTTGCTGAATAACGGTCTCCGCATTCCCATTATACTGCATAAGGAGATGGATTGCATCAGCTCTTGGCAACGCAAGGAATTCCTGCATAGGTCACAGGTATATAGAATGTAAGTACACAACACATTCCTAGTTTAAAATATAGTTCCAAAAACGCGGCACTAGATCACATGAAGTAACCAAGAACAAAGGAATCGAATTTAGCAAAATAAATATAATGTCATGAAATCCAGAGAAGCACAATATCAGGAAAATCTGATATGAAGAGCCTGAGATTATGAAAAATGATGTCGCTAACTAGATGAAGTCTAGCATTTCTGGTGGACGTCCTTGAAGCAGATTGTTTAAATGGAGAATGTCACTGACCGTTCCTTCCTGTATGCACAGGAACCCACAAAAGAGCACACGGAGTGGGAATGCTTCGAAATTCCTCAAAAGACAAGATTACCAGGTATCTAGAGACTGGATCACATAAATGAAAGAAACAGGGCTCCTAAGATAAAACTCTGCATCCCACTTTCTCTTGGCCACTCTTTTTTAATCTGCTGGGGAGATAAACCTCATTTAAGACTTCCAGAGAATACCCTCTTTTGGAGTGTGGCGAATACGCCCCACTGTAATCACTACAGATGACTGACATCTATCCAGACTTTTGCTGACACTAGCCACCAAAGATGGAAATGAAACCAATCATCGAACTTAAATTTAGCTAACGAACCATCTCGCCAAAATCGTTATCTTTTCAGATTAGACACTCATCATATCCCAGATTTAGCAATGATCCACTTTCTCACAGTTTTACAGTCTCCATAAAGAAACAAAAACAGGTTAGTGAAGATGTGAGTTTACATCCTTGAGTTCCCACAGTGTCAGTTAGGACAAAAACCTGAAATCTGATTCACAAAAGAACTCTGGAGAGGTTTGAGGGCTACGAGTCTGTCGCCCAAATTGGGTGGGGGTTCCAAAAAGCTAACATTCTAGGCTCTGCTTCCTTGACTCCCTCTCTTTTTTCCATCGCTTCTGATACTTTACGAAGGTTTCATTCCAAACAACTTGGCCCCAGTTCCGGGGCCCATCAGTTCTATATCTGAGATGCTTCGCTCCTATTCCGCCATGATAGGTGATCAGCGGTAGGGAAAGGACATCAAACAGGGTCACTTCTTTTAATAGTAGATATAAACTTCATATGGTTAATTAATGTCCGTTCTCGAGATGCATATTCCACATCGGAAACAGTTGATTTAAAGCTTCACCAGTAAACCAAAAGGCAGATGAACCGACATTTACATCTAGTTATTCCTAACAAGCATGAAATTGAAGAATAGAGTGACAAAATATTGAGCAGAGAATCTCATTGACTGAAATTAAAATGGTTAGAACTTAAGACCTATAGAACAGATGTATTCAGCAACTTACCATAACCTTCAGAATCGCATTTTCAGTGCATATAACATTGTCAGATGAAACAGAAACTGGGCTGCTACCATCGTCTACCATCTTGTTGCTAGATGATACCGAAAATTGAGATCCAACTGTACAATTTTCAGTATCAAATTTTGATGTTAGATGGCTGAAGAAAGAATCAACGTTCTTCAAACAATCAATCTTTAGAAACCCTTCAAAACGATCACTGCACATCTGAAGCCTAAACCATTCATTGTGTGAATGGAGTGTTGCCCTCATGATCTTCATCAACTGTGGCTCTTCAATGCCGAACCTCTCTCCCAGTGCAACCTAAAAGAATTTGAACTTGAGCTTAAATGACTGGTATGCCTCATAGAAGAATAAGAAGAAATATCCACGTATTAATATACAATAGACAGGTCTGTTTATATTCTGAAAATTTGCAACAAGCAATGAGAGAATGGTAATGTAAATTAAATTTCCACTTATTTTACGAAAAATATATCTTCAGTTTAATTTGCTTCAGAAAAACAATCAGGAGGATTAACTTAAGAAAATCAGATGATACAACCTCATGAAAAAATTAATGATGTTAATGATGTACTAAGCAAACAGAGGACTGAGTTAAGGATTGAGTGCTACAATGTGCGAATAGGAATTTTAGCTGGCGAAAAAGAAACTCGTTACATGTTCATCATCCATAGGTAATGCCAAAAAAAATACATCAGTTTACAGCATACGTCAACATATGAGATGACCTTACCTGTAGAGATGCTGCAAGGGTAGGAAATGGTACGCATTTGGACATTGCATCTTCATTAGGCTTAAGTAAAGTAAAAAGAGTCTCTTTCAAAGGTTTCAGCAATTCAGAAGTTTTGGATGCCAATGGTCCTAAATAAGAGCATGCAACCCCTAAGGCTCTTGAGTGATCACCATCACTAACATATTTGAGAAACTCAGCCTGAAAAGAAGTGAACAACAAGAATATCAAAAACTATAATGCAGTTCAATACAACATTATTACATTCATCAGATACGGAATCACCTGTTTAAGCTGAAATAATAGGATAGGATTATGCAAGAAGAAGTCAGGATCCATGGCAGTTATTTCATCCACAACTTCAGCACACATCCCCTTACTAGCTAGTTCCCTTAGTTCCAAAATTATTTCATACTTATGCTCCTTGTCATCAGCATGCTCTACAGAAGAATGGATAAGAGACACCTGGAGGTCATTAAGAATAGCGTAATGAACACTTAAGGAAAGATCCAGCAGAAATGTGAATACTATCAGTATCACTATGAGAATACCTGTTCTTCCTCCACCATAGATTTATTAGTTTCATAAGGTTCTTTAGTTGCTACTAAGGGGACATCAGGAAAATTTTCCAGCACTTCTAGACGTCCTTTCCATCTCTTATGTCTGCTACGTTGTCCCACTCCACGACTTCTGATCTTTCTAAACCTTCTAAAGCTGCTAACTGACTGATTCACATTGCTCGTGCTGCAAGCTTCATTGTAGTCCATAGGATCGGGTAAGAATCTCAGCTCTACTTCAGTACCTTGCCCACTTGGAGCACTGATATCAACTACATGAGAACCTTCCCTTGAATTCATAATATTACCAGAGGCTTCACCATCAGAAAGTATACCAGTTGCATTGTCGACAATCAGAGATGAACAATCTCTTGAGGCACTCTGTCCACTAAGAAGGTAGCTAGATCTTGGACAATGCCCAGATATCTGAGCCTCTAGTAACAAAACAGAAAAGACGAAGATCAGTGGAGTGATAGAAAAAATGTATATCTGTAATACAATGCCAACTGATGATGACAATAAATACCATCCACTAGTCCCCTATAAATGCAATATTCACGAACAAGCTCATCTAGCATGGCGATATCCAGGTTCATCCGGCAAAGTTCATTCTGGTGAAATTGGGAGACATGGAGGAGAGTTAAACAGAACCCTTCATTGAAAACAATGGCATTTAGAGTAGCTAAATTATTTCTTTGTGGTTAGAACTGAAAGAATGGATAGTAACAGAATGAATAATTTTGTTAGATGGCATAATTTTGGCATGTTTTCGAGATAAAATCCATTACAAACATACATGAAAATACCTAGTTGAAATAACAAGTCCCACATAAAAACAAGGGAAAAGGAAGGCAAACAAGACAGTAAATCAAATCATCCATTTAGCAGACAAGGATGTTGATATTCAAATTATGAGTCCTCACTTTGGAAGTGCGTCAAATCAGAACTTAATACGGCATTTATTTCATTTAAGTTCTTTTGCCACTTTTAAGCTTCTGATTTCTGCTCTTCTCTTAGACAGTAGTTTACCAGCTCAACCTTGTAAGATAAGAAGTTTTGACAATTAGTACATGCATTCTTTGTTTTCCTTATCATTACATGATGTAACTATTACCTCAAAGTAGGTTGGACTCTCCAATTTCAAAACAATTGAGCACAATATGTCTAAGAAGGATAGGCATCCTATTACAAGGTTGGAAACTCCTCCAGAAAAAAGGATAGCAGTCATAGACATCAAACCTAATCACAATCAGGTACTCAGACAACCATGACATTACAGTCATTTGTCTTCTAGTTCATTTTCGGTAAACCCAGAAAAAGAAACGTAATGATTTCCCTTTCCTGTCCATTGAACGAAGGACTTGTAATGGAAACCCAACAAAAATGACTTTCTTTTTTCTTTCTTTTGGGAATATTACATTCAAATTTCATATCCTTTGCCACAAACCACAGGAAAATTTAATAGAAGTGTCAACATCAATTATCAGCATGTGGAATGCAGATAGTTTACGTTGGTAAAGATACATTATCATAAAGACTGCCAGTAATCCCTATCAAGGTTGAGTTCATACACAGGCATACAGTAGATGGACCGCAAGTATGGTGCAGCATATTCTCATTTCATACTGTCACTGAGAAAAACAATTGATTAGATGAACGGAATAGATAATTACCTGAAATGCTTGGTACAGATTGCCTTTGGCGAATTTCAGGCTGTCAATTGCCCCCTGTCTTGTTAATTCTACTGCATGGGCAAGGGCTTGTATATCAACCTGATAATTCCCAAGTAACAATCATACCTACTAGGAGACATTCAACCAAATATACACAGATTAAGAATACCTCATCAAACGGTGGCGCCTCATACAAATTTTCTTGGGGTATTCCTGGAGGATCACGATCTTCAAAGAGAAGCCTCTGGGTAAGATCAGAAATAGGAGATTGAATTCCTTGACGAAAGCAGTAAACCTTGTGAATGCTGCAGTTTTCCAAGAAGACAAAAAATAATAATAATAATAATGAAGAAGTATTAAAATGAAAGAACATGAATAATATATCATACTTGTATGCAAGTCAAAATTGGTAATTCGCACCTTATCAGGTATCTCAATGTCATTGAAAAGACTGGGTCATAGGAATGCAGATGTGCTCTTAAAATAGATGAAAGCAATCCTGCTGTGTCAAACCTCCTCTTCTCTGACCACTAAAACAAAAAAATGGGACTAATGTTAGAACCCACTTGTGCCACGAAACGACTGCTCTATAAAGTGAAGTAACCAACATCACAATGTAAAAGCATTAGTCAAAGAAACAAACAATCTTTCATCAAATTTGACTGTAAACCATTTGGTTGAAAGTATCCCCACATTTTTTTGAAATAGAAGCAGAGATTTTAGGATGACCAAGGGAATGGCCCATTCCCCATCACCTTACTACTTAAATGACAAGGTGAGATGCTCTGGTAAATCCCACAATGAAGAGTTCCAACGTTCGTCCTTCATCTACTAGACACACCTGATCAATTCCACACCTTGCAGTTCTTCACAGAAACTGATATGTATATTTGTCTTTATTAAAGAGATCAATTGAAAATGGTGTGTGAAGTGCACTTGAAATGGGAAGATATTGTGGCCAAAAAATAAAATATCCAATAAAAAGGAATAATCCCACAGATAGACTCAATTTTCCATTATGTTAAGCCAGATGCAAACTCGTACTCATCTTCTTTCCAGCTACACAAATGGCTGTTCACATACATCATTATGGATATAAAAGACATTTTCAACTGTTAAGGCACAGGCACAACAGAATGCTACTGATCGTCCATGCTTGTCAAGCTGGTGCTCAGAAAACAATAATTCTGACAATTAATAGTTTTGAGGTGCTAAGGTTAGTCCTTCAGAAAATTCTCTAATAATGGTTTGCACATATCATTACTAACGATACAGTAAAGGTTTCAGTACGATTAATCACTCGTCTTTTGGGATCTCCATCGAACATTATTGGAACATAGCAGAGCAGTGAAGATGTTGGATTTGTAACATAGTCAAAATAAATAATGCAACACAAATTACCTCATTTGCCACAGGAGAGTTCTCATCTTCTTTATCATATATAAGAGCGAGAAGAGCATGCTTAAACTCCTCATAAGCTTCCTTCATATTAAAATAAAACGTGTCAGAGTTCACAAATGATAAAAAGAAAGCATCTGCGACTTTAATTAAAAAATGCTGGCACGAGCTAGCTAAATAAACCGTAATTTTTCATAGCACCAAATAAGAACATAAATTGAGTTCCGTTTTCATTTAGTCAACACGTCTACCAGGAAAACGCTCAGAAGGAATCTTTTCATTGAGCAGATATGGATTAATCAAACGGGCATCTTCCTAAGCAAGCATAATGAAAAGATGCTAAAAATGTGCAATCATCCATCAAAGAGCAGCACAAGCTTTCAGAAGGTGATCAGAAGGCTAGTGTTCAAACATGAAAAAGGAAGAGTTTGGAACTTTTTTGACTCAAGAAAAGGTATTCCATGAATATAGATAGAAAATGGAGTACATAATACAAGTAAAGTATCATTACATTCAACTAACCAGGCTTCTCCAGTGTCGCCAGGATGATAATAGAGAGCTTCAAAAATTCCTAGAAGGCTTCGTATGCCTTTTTCCTATCTTCTGTCATTGCTTTAGCAAATCCATGAGATGTATTCGGAAAAATCACAGATATTTTTTACACAAATGTACATTCCAACACTGGAAATAGTAATTTACTCATTCCAACTCAGATAGCCCAAAACCTTGAGTGGGGTAAATAGTCACCTCATACAGTTGATAATCTCTTACGAATAATAGGCATCACCCTATGATTTATGATAGGAAACTACAACTTGAAGGATCAGATAATAGAATAATCGATGAGATCACTAACCAGTGGACAAGCTTTCTGACCCATTTTCTCATTGAAGGTAACGACATAGACAAGGTGATTTTTGATTAAAGTTACCAAGTCAGATGTGCAGTTTTTCCCCTCTAACTCTGTCCCTCTCGCATAGGTACAATGCTTAATTAAACCGAGAACCTTTATACTGTTCTGTACGAATTGATGTCATTATGTTCCATTCTTTTTTGATACCTTCTGAGAAAATTCCAATCTGGATAGGAAAAAAACTGATTGGTTGCGAGTTTCCCACATGTTACGCACTCTGAAATGCATCACACCAGGCATACATGTGCACTGCAGTTACTTCTGTGAATTAAAGTAGAAAAGAGCACAGTGAATTCGTACTACAGTTGAAAAACATATCGATAAATGAATAGGAGCTAGTACCACTCAAGGCCTGCTTTGTCTAACCGCAGGGCTGCAAGTGGAGGCAGAGGCCAGCACCAACATCCTCCCCTTCTGCTATCTTTACTACACGTTTATCTTACTTCCCCTTTCAAGGAGAATGAATCAGATAGATGTGAGCTTGAGTCTCACCAGTAAAAGGGTTAAAGCTCTTACACTAAGCCTTTTACTGCTCAAGAGTAGAGATTTGAATACCACCTCTACAAAAAATAATTGACACATAAGATATAGCCGTTCTACTCATTTGAAATGGCGCACAGAGAAGAATGTTGAGGAAGCCATCATTCTTTTCCACCTTCTATAAGTATACACTACCAATCCATGTCTGCGATGCAGAAAAGAAAAGAGACTAAAAATGATTGAGGGAAACTTCATGAAGTACTTCATGAAAAAATAACCTTATACTTGAAAATATCTACGAGAAAGAAAGAACCCTGAGATTTCCGGTTTGCATCATAAGCAAGCATGATAATAGCAACTATTGATGATTCCATTAAATATTTTACTTAGATACAAGCGAAAAAAACCAGGGCTTTGAAATCAAATATATACAGAGTGTAAACAGCTTTCACACATGAAAATTCAGTAATAAAGAAAACTATCATATGTGAGCGAATAGACAGAGTGTAAACAGCTGTCACACATCAGGTCTTTCACACTGATGGGCGAATAACAAGTCCTATATAGACTACTTTTCAATGTCTGGCAAAAGCTTCGGACATGTTGTGAAATGTAACCATTCAACTCACACAAATAAGACACAACAATGAGATAATATGATAAAGGGGATATCTTGAAGAACAGTAAGTCAAAACAGAAGTTAACATATTTATTAAGCCCCCCTCCACTTTGGTCAGTGTACCTCATTAAATTGACGTTAGGGATATGATCGTATAAGCTTAATTTATGCTTAAATTATTTTCCCTCCATAAAGTTGGACGTTATTCGCTAAAAATCTTAGAACTATTCTGTCAACAAAAAACCTAACAAAAAAATCAGGAAAGAAAAGTTATTTGGAAATAAAGTGCGTGCACCTCGTCTCCTGAAAGTCTATGAAATATGTACAAATCTCCTCCGCAAATAAAGATACGAACAAGCTAAAGGATATTTTGCATGCTCAAAACATGAAGCCTAAAACTAGAATGTTATCATTACAAGGCAGCAGCTCTAACCTGCAGGCAATGGAAATTACCTATTAAAAACCGGGCATAAGCGTAAAATTTTTAAAAGATGACTTATCTAAACCAAAAGCAAGTTCATTTATTTTCATCTTGAGAGAAGAGCGTAGCAAACAACCTACCGGGTAAGCGTCAAGAGCGCACGGAGCGAGTGCCTTCCGCAAACACTCAATCGCAGATTGACGAGCGCCAGCTGTCCCTTTCCTCAGAAGCTCGATGAATTTCTAAAGCGAAATGGAAAACAATAAGCATCTGAAATCGCCAGCGTACCAGTTCAGAGAAAGAGAGGATCGACAAATGAAGGATATAAATATAGAGGACAGAATTCGATCACCTGTTTCTGGAGACGGAACAGGAGGCGATGGTCCTCGAGGACTGCAGGAGCATGTTGACGGAGAAGATCGATGGTCCTATCGATGTTGCCCGTTTCGAGGGACCACCGGATCTGGCGGACAAGGAGACGCAACCGGTAGGAGGAGGACGAGGAGGAAGAGGCAGTCGAGGAGGAGGACGGGGAGGCAGGGGAGGACGGGAGATCTTCAACTAGGTTATCGGATTTGGCGAAGTCCATGACCAGAGAATCCAAGGCCTCCCAATTGACAGGGCTGGAATCCATCTGCTACCCCCGAGACCCAATCAGACGAAAGCGACGGCCCCGGCCTGCTCAGCTCGTGTCTGCAGGCGGCGTTGGAGTGAGGAGGGAACGAAGAGCACACAGGACGAGGGGGAGAACATGTCCCGCGAAGCAAGACTGGCCGCGGAGCGATACCAAAGAGAGAGGGGGAGGGAGATGAGCCAACGTGGCAGGTTCTGGTACGTCAAAACAGTGCGAGCCATTGGGGACTTGCAGACAGTATTCCGAAGTCGGAGGGACTGGTCCTGAAATGGCTGGCGAGCTACCCCCACCCGGACATAGTAGGCGAGCTGCCATTCCCCGCCGATTAAAATTGGGCCGCGAGACTTGGGGGGTTACTTTAACCGTCAAATGCTCTTACATTTAATGTGGCACTTTTAAGCGTATGATTAATATTATTGAATTTAATGTTGGTCCCAGAAAATGTAAATGGGCTAAAATATTAATCATTTTTAATTTGTGTATTTCTACTAAGTATTTAATGATTTTCCTTGGTGTATGTTAAGTGAGTTGACTTTCTAGGTGAACTTAGGAACATCCAACAAGAATCACAATTCTTTTTCATAATAGTTTGGACTTCCCTAACTTACATCTATCTATTGGAAACTTTTACCTATGTTTACACTATTCTCTTCTAGAGAACACTAGCTAAAATTTATAAGATCAGTAATACTTCTTACACAATATATTTCATTAGTCTATCTCTCTCACAACAGACACAAATGATAACGGCTTCCTTTTCCCTTTTGTTCCTAATTTAGTTTTCTTCATTTTTTACTTGAATAGTTCTTTTCATGATTTTATACTTGAAAATTACAATCAAGCAAAAATATGTTGTTCTAATAATTTAGATATTTATTTAAACATTGGTGTACTAAGTATGTATTTATGATCAAATTTTTTCTCCTTATTTTTACTATCAACATCAAAACACTTGAGATTACAATTAAATGAAGCACATTTCAATAAATATTAAAAACTAAAGGAGATTTTAATCAACATGATGTTCTAAAAGGATGAAATAATAATAATAATTCCCATTTATGCAAAATTGTGGGCTCAATCAACCTTTCTATAAATGATTAACTAGTGGAATAATTCAAAATATTTATGTGTCTTCTAAGGACTTAAAGCTGATAAAAATAAACTAGAGAGATTTTATAAATGATAGGCTTAGTTTATAACAAATAATATTTATGAGCTTAAAAAGTTTACATAGAAAGAATGTCTTCTTGAGAAAACACATCACATCATATTACTTGGATATGGAAAGTACTCAGTTATAAAGTCTAATATTATTAAATAAATGCCCATGAGTTAAATTTTAATTTTGAAAGTATGACATTAGTGAAATGTAGTTTCCATAGTGCATGATTTATAATTATGTTTTGCATGATCCATAAAAGGAGGTAAGATCATTTATTCTATAGGTTTTTTGTGTTGGAATGTAAGATTAGTTGAAACACTAAGAGAAGGGATAAACAAGACTTTCTAAAAACTTTGACATTTTTTTATTTCTTAGATGGGTTCTTACTCAAGCATGACTATGTGTTGACAAAGGGAGAGAATCTATTAACATGCACATCAAAGTTGTTCACAATAATAAAACTTTTAGCAATCTCTCACTAAGAGCATAAAATTTATATGTTGGTTCACCCTTCACTCAACTAATTCCAATCCTATAGAGAAATATCTCACAATATCAGTTATTTTCTTCTATAAAATGCATTGATTTTAATGATATTAGTGACCCAAAACCCACAAGTTTGTCTCTATGGAGACCCAATACCTCTTACACCAAACATGACTACAAGCATCACATGTCTTTGTCGAATCCACTCTCTTCAACACTCAATTACCCTTGGACCTAATAAATAACACTAGTTCTAGTTATTGATTTGTTCAAATGTTGAATCAAGCTGACGAAGAGAATCAAGTAGCCCATTTGTCATTAACCTATGCCGTGTGAAGATCTTGATCAAGAGTCTTGAGCCTCTATATTTATTTCAATATGTTAGTCTAAACTCTTATCTGATATATAAGTTTGTCTTATATTCGTTTCCCACCTTTTTCAACTCTCAAATATGGGTTCCTCATTAAAATTCTTTATCATTTTTCGAATTATATGACTCTTATATTTTGACCTTTGAATCTTCAATTCACTTTATTCCTACAATCTCTTGAATTCAAATTTGAATCAAAGATTTCAACTTGATGGAGAATGACTTGGTACATAGATCTACTTTAGATCATCGTATTTTAGTTCACTTTTTGTCTATGTATTGGTGTAATATAGCTTAGAAACCATGTATAAAATAGATAAATACTATAATATGATGGTCAGATTATTATATATATAGTCTGATGGAAATTTTTTATTTTCATATATGTTTTGCTTTCACAAATGTGTTGACACATGAATCATGTCTTCACTCATACCATATGACTATATATTTAACATGTAGTTTGTAAATCTTTCTTGTATTTATCATCCTTTTATTCTTAAGTATTTTTAATATAGAAAACCAACTTGATCTTAAAAACTTTAGGTTGTAATTATTAGAGTTTGGATCAAAATCATTTAACAAAAAACTTTAATATGATTAGTTTGTTGCATATTGATTATTTAAATTATATAAGTTGAACATATAAAAATTAACTAATATGAGATAATATTTTTTTATTCATAATCATTAAAACCAAGGGCATCAACATTTTACACTTCATTTGCTATTTAGGATGGCTGAAGTACACCATTTTATCTAAAAATTTCTGTTGGTATAAACCAAATAACTTTTCATGTCAAAATGAGCACTACTTTCTTGTAGAAGTGGGACTCTAAACAAAATATGGATGTGGTCCAATCAGCTTTAATGTGGTAGACCTACAATGACATGTCATCCACATAACAAGGGAAAAACCCCAACAATAGTAGCCTCCCAAGTAATAATAGATCACAACTATCATGTCATGATTTTATAGACATTTTTGGCTTGATTTGATGACATTCTTCAATAATTCAATAGAAATAGTATCATTTAGGCTTTTACAATAGTAAATTTGAAGTCTTAGGTAGAATAATGGGTAATGATGTAAGCTCATATTTTATGATTTGATAACAGCTGTCTAGGTACATATGTCTAAATATAGTAAATACAAAATGTTTAAATTAAACTATTTATATGGTTTGGAGGGAAAATTAGTAATTTTTTTAGAACAAAATATGAAATGGATATCACATACTTAAAGGCTAAATGAGTTTATGAATTACCTTATTTTCAATATAGATATGTTCATACTTTAGTGGCAAAAAATTTGGCATGAGATGAGGAGTTGGAAAGTTAAGAAACATAAGTTCAATCCAAAAATCAAATTGGAAAAATATTAAAGTTTAAATTTTATATGATTTCATAATACTTAGGTCTATTTTTTGTAAGTTTTTTACAATCACACCATAGGTACAACTTTTTAAGGCATGTTTGTTAACTTGAAACTATTAAATACTAAAGTCCATAGGTATGGCTCATCCCAATATCTGAATCAAAAACTATTGGAACAATAAATTAGTTCCGAACAATTCTCACTACCTCTCTGCATTCATGAATTTCCTTCTAAAAATTTTGTAAATAATTACATGAGAAATTGAGCAGTCGTTGAAGCTTGGTCAAAAAGCAAGTAGATGCCAAGGTTGGTGAATGAAATTTGACTCAAACATGGTTATTCTCAAATGATTGAAGTGGCAAAGTATTTATGAATTAGATACATTCTCTATGTGAATAGGATAAATAAAATCAAGTTTAACTTAATCTTAACTTCACCAATTTTTTGGACATAACACAAGTTTTCATCAACTATTAGAAAATATTTGAGTACTTTTTTTTCTTATTTTTTACAAGGTAAACTTGTGATTAAATCTTAATGCAATCACTCAAGAGAGTTTATCCATGTAATCAGTAGTGGGCAGCATACAACCATGAATGTATAAGTGAATTTTGAGGGAAATTCCATGAGAACTAAACTTGGGAATCAATAGTGGTTGGTAAAATATTTTAATTTAGTAGAATCCAAGAATGATGTGTTCTTGGAGATTGGGAATAAGCATCAGCTGGTCAATTCATGGAATTTAGATCTAGGAGATCTAATAGAATTTAGGATCAAATAAATTAAAAAATGATGAAAAGTCAAAATTAAGATATTATCAATTCAATTGTCCCTTCTTCTTAATCTGAGTGTGAGCTAAAATGAAACAAGTCTTTAATACGATTTCTTCTTCAACATTTTTTCATATCATTGAAATGCAATTAAGAAGGATGTTGAAAGCTTCAACCATTGTATTTTAAAATAAAATTTATTCCCATATGAAATTCTATATTAATGGTGGCAAGTTAGAAAACACATTACAAATAGAGGGAGTTGCATACAAATGTTTCACATTAAACAATCTTATTAGGTGTCTTCATTTGAATTTGATATGATTCTCGAAATTGGCTTTATTAAATGGATGTCTTTCCTTAAACTTCTCATTTTCTCAAAAAATTTAATCAAAAGTTGATGATGATATTAAAATTGTAGAGATTAAATACATAACATAGTCTAATTCAGACAAGCTGGGCTGATTGGGCATGTTTTCTCTCAAATGTCATCATTTGGACATATTGTTTGGTTCCAATATAATATCTAGTTTTGTCTATCATGGCTTTACAAACATTGGGTTTATGATAAGGAAGAATGATTTGGTGCTTCACCTTAAGCATTGAGTAAATTATGTACATCTTAAGATACTTCACTTGATGGGAATTCAGGCTTGCACTTATCAATGTGTTGTTGTTTGTCACCTTTGCCATTGTCCTTCATAAAAGTCGTTTTGATGTCAAAGGCCATGCTTATCTGACGCTCAACATTTGTATTAATAACTTATTGTTATTTTTAATCTCAAAAGGCTCTTCAAACTAGCATCAAGTGTTGTTGTTGTTGAATTGAAGAGGACCCAAATAGCTGGGGAATTTTAACTCAATTTCAGAAGGCCCAATATGTATGAACACAAATGGATGAAATTTATTCAAATTTTATTTAGTCTTATTGTAAATTTTTAAATATATAATATAAAAAAAATGGAGTTTTCATGTAAAACTTACCAACGTTTTTGTCCCCACGTTCAGATGTTATTTAAAAACTATTTTACGTGGGTCTGAGAGAGAGAGAGAGAGAGAGAGAGAGAGATCACCTCTTAACATTTCGTCAACGTTTATTGTAATAAAATGTCGCCAATAGAAAATCAATCTGCCATCGATTTTGGAACGAGGCTTACCCATAGTTGACTATGATACGCCACTGTAGATAGGAACTGACGTCAAATGCTGCGCCGCTGCCGCCGCCGCCGCCGCCGCCGCCGCCGCCACCAGCTCTGTCAAGATGTGCGTCCGATGACGTGACTTCCACGTTTGGACTCGACCAATCACCACTTCGTGGTTCGCAGTCATGATGACGCATGCATGATCTCAGCTCAATGGCGTACCCGACGCTCGCGCTTATCCTTTCCGGGGCCGAAACAATAAACTATTTTGTGGATCGCACAAAGCAGCCCTCCGGAAGCGTCCTACTGGGGCCCACTGAAAGGTCAACCTCTCCAAGAGAGCACCTCTGACCGTCGCCAAGAGCCCACCGACGCATCCGATCCCATTCCCTCCCCGCCTTCAGCTTTACATGTTCGACGGAGGGCGGCGACTGTGGATGAGAACTCTCTGATGAGAAGATCCCCACCAGGGTGAAGGAGGAGTGGTTCTCTTTCGCCGTAAAATATCGTCTCCAAGAGAGGAGGCGATATACTCCAAAGAGGGAGGGGGTAGCTAGTCGCTACCATTGAAGGCGTCAGGCGCAGAAGGCGCTTTCATCCGGAGCTCATTGCGGAGCTCAGCATGGGGGGGGGTGACGTGGACCAACGCGGTACCCGTGCCTCGTTCTAACTCACTCGCGGGGTTGCGGCGGTCTTTCTCCGGAGCTGTCTGTCTTCGAGGGCACGGCTTCGCCTCCTCCCGGATAAAACAATAGATCTTTGCCGCTCCTGCAGATAGATGAACCCGATGCCCGAATCCCTCCGCCGCTCGGGATGACAGCGGTCTGGCTGCGAGGTGGCCACGGAGGAGGGTTCGCCCAAGTCGGGCGGCGCCGCCATGCGAACCCGGTTAGGTTGTCCTCCTTTCTCCTCCTGCTGCTCTTCGCTTTCCTCAGCGGCGGTGCCGAGGCGCAGCCCTTGGGCCCCAATTCGGGGGGGGGCTACAGCATGAACGCCACCCGATTCAACCCCTCCATGGCCATCATCGTCGTCGTCCTCATCAGCGTGTTCTTCGTGATGGGCTTTTTCTCCATCTACATCCGCCAGTGCACCGAGAGGGGCGACCTCTCGATCAACCTGAACACCCCCGGTAGAGGCGTCCACGGGGCGCGGCAGCCGAGGGGGCTCGATCCGGCGGTGATCGAGACATTCCCCATGCTGGTGTACGCCGACGTGAAAGACCACAAGATCAGCAAGGGGGCGCTGGAGTGCGCCGTCTGCCTCTCCGAGTTCGACGGGGGCGATACGCTTCGCCTGCTCCCCAAGTGCGACCACGTCTTCCACGCCAACTGCATCGACGCCTGGCTTTTGGCCCACACGACCTGCCCCGTCTGCCGCGCCGACCTCGTCCCCAACCCCAACGAACCGCCGCCCATAATCAGCGCCGCCGCCGACGCCAACGGAGCCGCCCCCACCGCCACCTCCGACGAGCGCCAAGGTGCAGTCCCACCCGAGAACCCAGGGGATAATCAATCGGATCAGGTCGCCATAACCATCGACGAACCCGCCCGGCCGGAGCCAGCGCAGAGGAAGGCGGGCCTGCCTCCCCTACCGCCCGCGGTCGAACGGACGAACGGAATTGGAACCGAAGGCAAGGCTAGGTCTCCATGGTGGTCCAAGTCGTCGTCGTCGGTGAGGGCAGCAAGGCTCCCGCGGTCCCACTCGACGGGGCACTCGATGACGATTGTCCCGCCGGCGGCAGACTGCGACCGGTACACCTTGAGGCTGCCGGAGCACATCCGGAGGGACGTCATGGCAGGGAAACTCCGTCGGTCCTCGAGCTTCGCAACTTTCCCCGCGGCAGGTGACGGCAGCGTAAGGAAGGGACACGGGGGAGGCGGAGGAGAAGGGAGCAGCCGGGGAGGCGGGTCAGTCGGGGGAAGGAGCTTCAAACTGAGGCGGCCGGAATGGGCAGCGAAGCCCGATCGGTGGTCCTTCTTCGCGAGGACATTCTCGACGAAAAGCCCCAAGGGAGGAGGAGACGGCGCAGGGGAGGGATCGACAAGGAGAGGAACAGAGGTCGGCGACCAACCGGGCGACGGGTCTGTCAAGGCGAAGCCTTTCGCCACCGTCAGGAGTCCTTTCGACTGCCTCGGTGTTGGCGGCGGCGGCGACGACGGCGGCGCCGCCGGCAAGGAGGATGCTCGGCGCCCTCTAGCGCATGACCATTCATCTCACTGTTGATGTAATATACATATTTTTGGTTTGTAGAAGTAGCCCGGTGGATTAGCGTTGGTTTTCCCCGAACTTTTGTTTGCTTGGGAAGGGAATTCGGAGAGTCCTTTTCCCAGTCTCTGTTTCCCCCGGACGAGCAGAGCGACTAGACGTTGTCGGGGGCTGAGCTCGTCTTGGGATAAGCATCAATGGTGACACGCGTCATCATTTTGCTGGTCGCAAGATTGTGACTGAAAGGTGAGCAGGCGGAAACGCGTAAAGGGAGAAAAGTTTGACGAGATGTGGAGAGCGAGCACGGCCTTTGAGAGGCCAAGTATTAATGCGTGAATTTGACGGGGGAAATCCATCAAGCATGAAAAACTAACCATTTCAATATCAAAACGTTGAGAATTCAATTAGATTTCTCAATTATAATGTTTAATTGGTGGACTTGAATATTTTTGATTTACTGTATGTGAAACACCAGTTGGAATGTCAACTTTGATATTGAATTTATGGTTTTTATGGTTGGACTAGTTGTAGAATTCACTTCGAGCCTTCATTAGTGAACGTTTAATTCAAAGTACGTAGCATTGCAAGAACACACAATTCCCACCAACCCACTACAACCAAAGTATTAAATTTACCTCTTCCAAGCCCAAAGATGCATCCATGATTAAGTTGATCGTCACAAGTAAACTAAATGAATGTTTGGGAATCTAATTGAGAAATTATCTTGTATTTTAAAAGAGTAAGTAAAAAATTAACACTTAATACAAATTTTTTATAAACACAAATTTCTATGATAGATTTAGCTATCTTTATAGTTTTTGAAAAATAATTCACGAATGTGATGCAACAATTGTTGCATCTAAATTCAAAGATTTTGATATTTTGTAAAAGTATCAAGTTCAATGAATATTCTTTTAAGCTATAGTTGAGAGGCTGACGTGATAGTTAATGATTAGATTTTCATGCACTAATAACCATTGTAAATGACTGTTCGGCACCTCAAAATATAAGAACGCCAACTGCTCCTCAATACTCTCAAGAGGAGAGTCACCTCCGAGTTTCTAAGGGGCCCAAGCAATTGAGGAATGGTTCCAATTAGCTGAGCAATGGGAGAATATTTGGCTGGACCCCAACAAGCTAAGCTCCTTAGAAAATCTAAGGAGACTTACTAGTGCAATGATAACTAATTTGATTACCAGGTTGTGATCCATTCTCCCACATGACCGCCGACCCACATCTATTTCCACGTCCTAAGCAAGCAGGGCCTATGTTGAACGCTAATGAAGCCTCTGCTAGAGGCGAGCTGTGTCATGGCGGACCTTACTGCAGCTTTGTAGAGAACAGGACTGTCTGCAGCAGGAGAAGGTAGGCTGGTCGGCCAACGAGAGCGAGAACTGGGGGGAGTGTAGGCGGTATGATCCTTGATGGAGATTACGAAGTCACCTGCCAGTCAAACTGTCGGTAGCTTTGAGGAACAGACGGTGTTCAGAGAAGCAGAGCCATTGAACGAAGGGTTCGGACCTTCGTCTTCCCTGACCTCGGGAGGACATAAGAGAAGCTCCGGCCGCCTCCCCACCTGTCTTGCGACCTCGCCGAAGCGCCGCACCGCCTAATATGGAGACGTGGAACCGGAGCAGCGTGAGGGAAGAGCTTCTGAGGAGCTCCCTCTTGTCCTTCCTGTGGAGGTTCATCAGCAGCAGTATCGATCGCCTCCTCGCTCGCCCAGATCTTCTTCGGCCCTCCTCCTTCCCCTCTGGTTGGCGGCTAAGCTCCTCTTCGCTCGGTCCTTTTGCCAGGAAGACGCAACGCAGGGAGGAGCTCACAGGAGGAGGAGAAAGTCCGATCGTGGATATACCGCATGGCTCAGGCCGACGAGCAGCTGGTCTTCGAATACGTCAGGTCCACCGAGAGAGGTAACCACCGACTCACGATGGCCTGACTGTTACCTGGAAATGCATAGATGAGTACGTTTGTTCCGCCCACCGTCGCCATGATCGCTACCCATTTCACGCTTAATATCTAAACTGATATGACATTGACCAAGATAGTGTCAGTGCATACTAATGGGCAAACAGAAACTATCAAAACGTGAGAACTTGAAACGAAAATTTCCAATGGATGACTTAACCTAGCCATGGCGTTGGAATGTCACATTAATGGATCACAATGTCATTCCAAACATATTGTGCCAATCCATTTACAATTTAAAGATCGTACCTGAGTTTCAGAAGTGTGTGCTGTAAAGAGGATGTGGTACCATCGTTATCAAACCTAACAACAACGCAATAAGTTAGTCTACTCCAGCTTTTTTGGAGATTTTAGTTTATTTCGAATAAGAAGGTTGCGAGATGATTTGTGATGGATAATATCATATATTAAGTAAATTACTCACTACTGGGAATCGTGGGTAGCATTGTGTTTCTCATTTAAACATAAAAAACGTAACACCCGCTTCCTATAACCTGGGAACAATTGAAAGTGGAATCTTTGGCTCTGTTTGTATGCATAGCCTGCTTCTCCACGACCTTTCAGCAACTTCTAGTCTTCATCTATCAGGTGTTTCGTGAAATTTACTAACTATAATTTTATAAAAATGATCTCCAACATGCGTGAACCTGGAATGACTGTCGATAGGAAAAATTCCTCCCGTTTTGTCAGTGCTTAAATAATTTGATGAAGTACCTGACAACTGTGTTCGAGCGCATCACAGCACCAGAATTCCATTCTGTAATGTAGAAATGTTTGAATCCGTCAGCAAATATATAACTATTGCTTCTCTCAAAGCAACAGCTCGATCCTCTTGTGCAGGCTTAAGTTTCAAGGAAGCAGAAAGGAGGCTAAAAGAAAATGGCCCAAACCTGCCATTTGCTCACACACCAGCAAACTGGTGGCAACTCTTCAGTAACGCTTTCTTTCGCCCCTTCAACATTGTTTTGATCGTCTTGGTTATTCTCCCATCAGTAGGAGCTCAGTACGCCAAAGGAATCATTGTCTTGATACTCGTCCTCGTGAGTGTGGGGATCCAGTTCTATCAGGTACCAGATGCATTTAACATTACGAGAGCTCTTTCTTTTGTTCTGCAATAAAAAAGTTCAACGCATAAAGTAGGACTGCGAAGGGAATTTTGTCCTTGGTGAAATAATTTTTTTTTGCAAAAGCCAGGAATACAAGAGCTCTAAAGCGGCAATGAAGTTATCAGAGTGCTTGAAAACTCCAGTTAAAGTTCAGAGATGTGCTGGCAGAACTGTTCAGACAGAGCTGCTTGTTCAAATGGACCAAAGAGATGTTGTACAAGGTGACATCATCAGCTTCACCCCAGGGGATCTTTTTCCAGGCGACGTACGACTGCTGAAGACGAAGGAACTTGTTGTCAGGTATGGCATCTGTAAAAAACTAACTGGTTCTCAGGCATGGATGAATGTACTCTCCCAGCCAGCTGTTCAGTTGGTGACCAATTTCGTATAATTGATGAGATTCCACGATGGAGACAGCCAGTCTTCCTTAACAGGTGAATCAGGGACCGCAGAGAAAAGTGGAGATGTCAAGGAAGGCCCTTTCACACCGTTGCTAGAGCTGAAAAATATTTGCTTCATGGTGAGTTTCACTGTAATCTGAACCTAAAGTTGCTGTTACACTCTGTGACTTATGCTGTGAAAAATAATTCTGAACACGGCCTCACTATGGCATGTGTGTCAGGGAACCAGTGTTGTATCTGGAAGTGGCACAGGACTAGTTGTCTCGACTGGATCAAAGACTTACGTGAGTAGCATATTTTCCATACCGGGGAAACCGAACTTACTAGACCCTTTTTCAAAGGGTTTAAGCTGTCTCTCTTATTCAGTTATATGTGCTATGATTGCCATTGCCCCAGTTATGGTACTCGCTGATTATTATGCTTCTCGAGATTGGAGTAAAAGTACTCTATTTGGCGCATCTGTTATAGTTGCCCTTACCCCGCAGATGCTTCCTCTCATAGTAACTACATGTCTTGCAAAAGGCGCTATTGCAATGGCAAAGGAAAGATGCGTTGTGAAGAGCTTAATCTCCATACAGAACATGGGAGCCATGTAAGTATGATCAGTATACATTTCCTCATCAAAATAGATACAAAGAGGCAAATTGCTTTTTTACATTTACCATAAATGACTATTTATCAAAAGTATGAAACTAGATCTAATTTTCAGTAATATTTTCTCAGTCCGAATTGAATCAACTACGGCTGGTTGTAAACTTACCAATTCACCATCTATTCCAAATATTATGTGATGAATATATGCATAAACTATTAGATGAGACTGATTATATAGAAATAATTACCACAGTGGCATGGTATTGGATGAAATTCCAACTGATGATCTCAATCAAAGCATTCCAGTGTCGTGGGAATAGAATGCATTTTAGATCACTCAGGGAAGCTTTAGAAAGCTCTCTTGCTTCCTCTGTTAATATTTTTTTTCGTGAATTCCCCTGGACTAGGATTTCATGGAGATTAGCCAGGAGTGTCACATAAGATCTCAGGTGCTTCTAGAATTAGTATGGTAAGAAAATCAAACTGTTGATTTTATAATCCTAACGTGATGAATGCAGTGACTTTAGTTGAAACTAAAGACTTGAGTCTTGATTGATAACTGTTTGCCCACAAGATTAAAAAAATGAGGCAGTACAGATTTCTCACCCTTTTACTGCACCAGGTACGGATGTAGGTAAATGCCTTCGGCTATAAATGGTACTGCACCTCAAGACCATATACCTTTCCTTTTTATTTTTTCCTGAGTCTCGAGGATGGTAATGTTCAGCAGGATTTAATGGATGCTGTGCGGGAGTTTTAACAGAGGAAGACACACTTTCAGAAGGTTTAACAAATCTGTCTTTCAATATCTTAAGAGTTGCAATCCCACCACTAAAGAAAAACTGCCCCAGCATGAGTGATTTCCAAAATGGCGATGAGATTGGTTAAATCACTTCAGGTTCATTTAGGTATATAAATGAACGCCTGCATATAGACATAGATGCTGTGTTAAATGGGTTCAAGTTCATCAGCATGCCGACATTAATGAATAATCGTCACAGGAATGCTAAAACAACCATTTCTGGATGCTATTCATAAGCTTTCTAAGACAAAGGCACCGTTGAGAGATCTGAAATGGAAATTCCCAGTGTTGATCTCAGAATGCTAGGCCAGATAGGTAAGAGGAATGGATGTTCATTAATATTAAATGGTGCATGCAAAATCTCAGACGGTCTAGACAATATGGCAAATAGGCTAATTTACTAGAACGACATTGTCTTAATCAAGGCATGCCCAATTCATGAAAATTCGTTGAAACCTATAAGGAGATGTCAATAGAGAGCGATGATTCTCAAGTTTTATTTTCAGGACACCCGTGACAAGATAAAAAATGATTGACAATCCAATAAGATGCTGTAGAGAGTGGTAAGGGAACATCCCAGCGGATTAAAAGGTTGGTAGAGCTGATGACATCCAATTCAAATTCCGGGGGTCACCTGAAGTATTATTTGAAATTGTTCAATATGACAAGCGTACATTGTAATGTATATGAACTTTTGCGATTTGGCACTCCACTGAATGTTAGGCTGCAGATATGTAGACTCGGATATGTGAATATGGAAATCACGTAAGGAAAATATATTTTATAGAACCCATCCATATGTTTTCCATCTCTTTGTTAGCTTTGACATTTATGTCATTGATGAGAATCTTCATTCCGGTTTACTAGTTATATTCATATTTTTCCTTCGTATGGGAAAAAAATCATCCCAGGATGGGCTATCATAGTTACTTACCAACATGTTGAAATAACCAGAATAAAGTTGCACAGGAACAATAAAGAAAAACAGCATGTTCAAAATATTTGTTAGTTTGAAATTCTGAGCTGAAAGTACTTTAGAATATCCAATATGAGCCGTTCGGGGCCTGAACTTCATGCTCTTATAGTGTTCATACTGATGTTACTTCACTGTAGAATTTTAACGTGCTGTTACTGTCTTTAATCAAGATTGTTGTTGATATACGAAGGGATATCCTATGCATTGATAAGACGGGAACTCTGACAACGGATCATGCCATAATGATCCACCATCTAGACAGTTGGGGTATTCCTAGAGAAGAGGTTCTAAGATTGGCATTCCTTAATTCGTATTTCAAGACTGCTCTAAAGAGTTCCATTGATGATGCGATTTCAACATATGTTTATGCCAGAGGATATCGATTTGAACCATCAAAATGGACAAAGGTGGATGAAGTTCCTTTTGATTTTACGAGAAGAAGAGTATCTGTGATCATTGAAACAAGCACAAGCATATATGGCAGGAACAGGCCTCGCCATGGTGTTACCAGGCTTGTAATAATGAAGGGAGCTCTTGTGGAAGTACTAAAGTGTTGTAGTTATATTGAGCACATTCAGAGAGGAGAAATAGTGCCTCTCAGCGTAGAAGACTGTGAAAGAGTTCTTCAGATAGCCGAAGAGATAAATAACGACGGATTACAGGTCCTGGGGTTGGCAATAAGATGGATAAGTGAGGTATGCAATCTCTATGCTCATATTGTCTCTAAAGTAATGTTTACATGCAAGCACAATCCTTCCTACGATTTGGAATAAGTTCTGATAAAGTATCAAACATTTGCGTACTAATAATGATTCGAACTGATATCATGGGAAGAACTTTGTTTGAACATAATTATCAAACTACATCATTACTATGTTTAATCCATGTTGGATTGCAAATTATTTTTTCCTCGCAATTTTTTCTCATTGTGATCCATAATTATTTCTCGAAGGCTGGTAGTATTAGTTGAATCTCAAAGGAGTACCTCTGATACATAAAAGGGGAAAAAAATTAAATGATTATATAAAATTAAGGAACCCATGAAGCTGCAATGAATCTAAAGCCTTGCATTCTTCCAGAAGCGACTAACAAAATTTCACACTATTCTATTTGCCAAGGTCAAATGAAACAATGCAAAAGTAGTTTTGATTAAGATTTACCACTTAAGGAACTGCTTGTGGAATCCAACATGCAGATGTATTCGCCATTTACAAGACGATGCCAAATTGAAAAGTTATATTGTAGTTGTATTTCAGTTTCTAGCAGATAAACAAGGGGCCAGATGCAAGGAAGAGATATAGAAAATAAAGAAACTTCAGAACTGATGCTGAATTTCTTTGAAAGCTCTTTAACAAAAGAAACATATTATTTGCCATTGAATATCAATCACCCTGATTTTCAAACATGATAAACATCTTAGATATGGCTGAGAAAAAACTATTGTAAGTGAAACAAAATATCATTTAATAAATCTTCTTCGAGAAAAAAGTTTTTCTGGGAAATATACTAGGGTATTCTGAAAGAAATTTATGTACAGAAAAAGCAAGACGGTGAAAAATGATACGAAATTAGTCATTTACAAATAATTACGGTATGAGAGTGGAATCATCAAGGAGGAATCGTGTCATCAAGCCCACAAAAGAAGAATTTGTCTTTGTTACATCACAGTTATGCAAATGTTGTAAACAGTATCCGAGGGTTTGTCTTTGTCATCAATCTGGTATTTCAATGTTCTTCGATTGAAATAAGGTCACAATCGTTATCTATTGCATTAGTAAGAGGAAACTGACATCCGCTTTTAATTATCCACCTAAAATCCGTGGTTATATATGTATATAAAGCAAAGTAGTTTATCACGTTAACTGTTTCGTGAGCTAAAAGTTATCATATTTTTAAAAATTCTGCCAAAAAAATGTTTAATTAGGTAACAATAAGCATTGTTCAGTTGTATATTCCAATAATTCACTGAAAGCAACAAATAACAGTCCCACAAACACGGAAATGCCCAATGGTTCTACAAGTGACTAGTGGAAAAAATTGTAACTTCAACTTAATGTAAATGCCAAGTAGAATTCATGAGTCTAAGTCTAATTTCCCGCAATAATCTCGTGCAAATTCAACTTGAGAAGGAATGAGGCAAAGCAGATATTTCCCTCAAAAGGTCTAGGAGCAGATGATTTGGAATTAAATCCAGATGCCAGAAGAGAATACACGATGCTTGAAGACTGAGTACTAGTGTAGAAATGTCTGATGAGAAGCATAATTTTCCCTCTACACTTGTCATTGTTAGAAGTATAAATATCTCTTGAATATATGATTATTAAATTGAGCAGTAGTTGGGTGCATGATTCAGTGTGTAGTAAACAATCAGCAGATTGACTTTCCACTGGAATGATTTTAATATTTCTGTTTATCAATTTAGCAGGAAATTGGTGGTGAAACACTGACCAACGATGAGGCAATCGAGTGCAACATGGTTTTCCAAGGTCTTCTCACTTTCTTTGACCCACCAAAGGCCTCAGCAAAAGAGGCACTGCAGAGATTGGCAGACAAGGGGGTAAAAGCGAAAGTGCTAACCGGCGATTCAATAACCCTTGCCACAAAGGTATGCAAGGAGGTTGGTATTAAAACGAATCATGTAATCACAGGCCCTGATCTCGAACTCCTCAGCCAAGATGAGTTTCATGACACTGTAGAAAAAGTCACAGTCTTTGCTCGGTTGACACCAAGACAGAAGCTTGGTGTAATTCAATCACTACAGAGACATGGGCACCATGTTGTTGGATATTTAGGCGATGGAGTCAATGACTCCCTGGCACTTGATGCTGCTGATGTTGGAATATCAGTTGATTCAGGAGTATCTGTGGCTAAAGAACTTGCAGACATAATTCTACTGGAAAAAGATTTAAATGTTCTTGTCTCAGGAGTTGCATGTGGGCGGATCACATATGGTAACACCATGAAATACATAAAAACGTCATTAATTGGAAACCTTGGCAGTGCTATCTCGCTATTTATTGCTTGTGTTTTTCTACGATTTGAACCTCTGAGCCCCGGGGAGATTCTGATTCAGAATTTTTTATATAGCTTGGGACAGATTTCAATCCCATGGGATAAAATGGATGACGACCGTGAGGATATCCCAAAACGCTGGTCTTCTAAAGAATTCCCATTGTTCATGCTGTGGAATGGGCCAGTTTGTTCTCTATTTGATATTGCAAACTTGATATTTCTTTGCTTCTATTACAATGCCAACAAGTTTTCAGAATCAAGCTTTTTCCAGTCTGCATGGTTTGTTGAAGGTCTACTGATGCAGACTCTGACCATTCACATGATAAGAACAGAAAAGGTTCCTTTCATACAGGATGCAGCATCATGGCCTGTCATTTGTTCAACTCTAATTATTTCAACAATTGGAATAGCAATACCATTCACTCCAATAGGAAAGGTCATAGGTTTTACTGACCTGCCACTGTCATACTTTGGTTTTCTAACAGTGCTTTTTATTGGTTATTTTACGGTCGCCCAATATGTGAAGATGGCATATATTTCACTCTACAAGAAATGGCTTTAGACGAGAAACACTTCAAATTATTTTGTAAATGCCAGAAACTGATCTTCATTTGTATACAGTAGAATGCTGAACAATAATGACATTCTTGTGAGCACTTTTTACAACAACACTCTGTATAATTATCTATTACTGAACCTCATTCTGCCTGTGATTCGTGAGAATAATAATGACATAATAATAGAAAAATATTTAGAGTAAAAACTTTCTTAAAAAATAACTGTGTCGCGAGTTCCTTCAGTTACTGTCAAGACAGGCATAATCTTTGAGCCGAAATCCACCTCCTTGTTCAAGCCCCTGCATGAAAATTTTGATGAAATTAGACATGAGGACCTCAACCTTGCCATAGTCAAAGAAGTCTATTGATGGAACCTCAAAGAAGATTAGTGATTTCCCTCCTCTACAAGAGAATGAATGGTGGTTAAACAAAGAGTACATGAGTTCCTTTTATTAGGAATGATAATATGTGGATAATTACAAACAATAAATATTGAAAAATAAAAGTACAGAATTTCAGCACATATTTATTTAATGTAAAGCCTGAAGCGGTCATCATTCTTCAAAATCGATTGCATATAATATGTTTCCAGGATTTCAGCTAAGTGAACCCTCCAATTCTGATCTCCAAAATCAATTTGCTGAGAGAGATCTATTGTATGTATCTATTATGGTCAATTCCATACACTCCCAACAAAGCAGAAGAGTTGCCGTTTATATCTATGCGCCCGGTTCAAAGGAAATTGCAGCAACTGAGTAAATTGATTCGTACATTATCAAGCAAAACAGAACCCACTAAGAAACTAGAGAAGCCTATATCTTGGATAACACATATCCATCTCCAACTAAAAGAAACTTCAGTTCTAGCCCGATTCTCTTTTGTCGGATATTTGAATATCCTACCACTTCGCAAGTTGATTCTGGTCTCTAACCGGGGGAGATTTCCTGCTGGTTAGAATTTTCAAGTAAACTATTTGATTCCATATCTACAATGTCCTGTCCCACACAACATCATGTATTAGAGACTAGGCTCAGGTAACGAATAATTAATTTAAAGCAAGTCATTGATTGTCTTCTCTATGATAGGTGTGAAAAAGGAAAAAACACGGGGTACAAGCCTCAGTTTTTCTATGTTAACTTAAAATCCCGTGTTTCTGCCTTCTTCTAGAAGGACATTTGCATTTCGCGTGGGCTTTCAAAGGCCTCATCCAGTTACCCGTTCCTTCCCTGTTTCTAATAATTTGCACGACCACATAGTATTCTGATTTCTTAATCGCAAGCAAAGATTCGTTATATTACCCACAACGAATCTCTTCGACTGAATGTTCTTTTCACTGTTTCTGAAATATTGTAGACCATAGCTTGTGAATACGAGCTCCTTCACTAGTTAACACATCAAACACTTCATTTCCTTGCCTGTGTTACAGTTCTCTCCTCTTATTTAAAATTTCATCGTCTTTCATCGTCCTTTTCACCTTTACTCTGAAGTTTTGAACAAATTCTCTTTGCCATTAAATTTAAAGCCAAACATCCTCCCAATTTGGAAATGATCTCCAAATAAATCGGGATCTAGAGGCACTTCACATACAGAAGCTTTCCATCTTCAAATTTTAATGGGTCTGTTCCCCGGGCTCCCTCCAATTCATGTTTCCTTCATGGAAAGGATTATGCTACCTAAATCCACTACCAGGAGCTTCCTCTATTCCCGTCATTAAGGTGCCGCTCGCATACTTTTGGAGAAGGATTTACTTCGTCTGTACTTGCGTTCCATCCTACTTTCTCGTCTGACAAAAATTAGCAGAGAGGTATCTCATTGTATGTAAGCAGAGCAACAAGAATCGCCCGGACACATCGCCCAAAAATCCCGCAAAGAAGCATCGCGACCGCAAAACGGAACGTGTTTCTCACCAGAAAAGGAAAACGCAGCGGCGCACTGAGAGCCCAAGCCCCCCACCTACGGGAGTGACTCATTGCACGAGACATGCCGCAAGGATATTATGTTAACAGACCCGAGAACTGGAAACGGAAGGAAAGGCGGGATAGTTTTTTTACCAAGACATCGAGATGCATTCCAAGACGATTGAAGAAAGAGCCACCAGAAGTAGAGAGTAGTAGTTCGATTGCGTGAACACGTACCTGCTCCCTACAGCATGAGCCCGAGGGTGGATCCGCGGTCGACGGTCACCATGCCGAGGCAGCAGCGCCGCCCCTGCAGCGGCGTCTTCTCTCTAACCCATCCTACCCGCCGCGAATGTGTTCTTGGCCGGCGATTTCAAAAGCAACGAGCGGGAAAGGTCAGCGATGACGTCTCCTGGAGGAACAGTCGCCGACGTCCAGTCCCATTGAACGCGTCCTTCCAACGACCGGGCAGAACCTGGTCGATCGACTTCGGAGGGACCCGCGAGGGCGACGATTGGCGGCGCTGAAGGCGTGAAGGGGCTCAAAATCTTCAGGATGAGATCGACGACCGAGAAAAACCTCCAACTATTCTTCGACGTAAAGAAATTAAAAAAAGAGACGGTGGAAACTTTCACAAAAGCCCTCGGCCGGTCATCCCTGCGAGGGGGAGGAGGGCACAAACGTAAAACTGAATCCGAGAAGGATGTCCCAACGTCTTGTCGCCCACCAAACGCAAGATAGCAGTTGCCGTTGACGAAGGGGGCACGCCGTCGCAGTCACCGGAGGAGCGGGACGCGGAGATGTAAAGAGACGCTTCGCTGGCTAAGCCTGCTCCCCGCTCCGCCCCCATCTCTCTCTCTCTCTTCACGGCCAGCCATGGCTCTCCACCGCCGTCGAATCCTATGGCCAGACTGCGAGGACGAAAACGAAGTCCCCTGCATCCCCTCCTCTCCGCCGGTCCTCGCGGCGGCGCCGCCAGTCATCTCGTCGGCGACGCTTCCCAACGCCGTCGTCGACTCCCAAGTGACGACCCCGTCGTATGGCATCCTCATGCCGATCGGTCGGCGCAGGCTACTCGTCGTCGGCGTGTCCTTGTTCGCCTTCGTCACCATCCTCCTCGCCTACTACGTCGCCTTCCGCTGGTACTACCACCGCCGTCGCCGCCACCGCGCCCGGACGGCCACTGCAGCGCTGCCTCCGCCGCCGCCCCGATCGGAAAGCAACGGCGATCTGCAGCAGGACCTGCTGGCCGGGGCCGGAGAAGTAGAGCCTTACCACGTCTGGTACATCAGAACGGCGGGGCTGGACGAGCCAACGATTGGAGCGATCTCGGTGTGCGCGTACAGGCGGGGCGAGGGCCTGGTGGAAGGCACAGACTGCAGCATCTGCCTGGGGGAGTTTCTGGATGGGGAGATGCTCCGCCTGCTCCCCAAGTGCAGCCACGCCTTCCACATACCCTGCATCGACACCTGGCTCCGCTCCCGCGTCAATTGCCCCCTCTGCCGCGCCCCCATCGTGGCCCCTCCTGCTGCAATTCCCCGGGCAGCAGCCACCGCCGGCGAGCTCAATTCTTCCTCCTTTCGAGCGGCGACTTCTGCAACGGATGTACGGTCGCTGGCTGCCGTCGGGGATGATGATGATGATGGTGACGAACCTGGGGGACCTGCAAGGCCGGAGGATAGAGTTCCTGCGCTAGTTTCTCCCCCGGGGTCGTCTTATTCCTCAGAGGCGGAATCGGAGATCTGGGTGACGATCGATCTAGGTTGCGGAGAAATGGAGAGGGGGCGAGCGGAATCCGAGTCCCCGGCGGCGGAGGATGGCGGAGCTCCGGGTGTGATGATGAAGATGAAGCTGGAGCCGTTGCGGCGGTCGGTCTCCATGGATTCCACTGCGCCTGGCGGGGCGAGCAACTGCGGCGGCGGAAGGAAGCCCACCACCTCGGGAGATCAGGCATCGGCCGGCAAGAGCGGCAGGAAGGAGGGGCCGACGGAGATGGGAAGATCCACCTCGACCAACAGTTTCGGGGTCTCCTTCTTGTCACGGCTCTCTGGAAGAGCGCGAGGCCCCAACCTCCCGCTGTGAGAAACATCGCAGCCGTCCTCTGTACAGAAAACCTTCTCGTGAAGCAGGTACCAGCACAGCCTACAGTGAGGGAAGAGGGAAACGACAATGGCGTCCTCTCCTCGCTGCTCATTTCCAGACAATCCTCGCGGTTGTCGTGTAGAAACTACCTCCCCCCTTGAAAGAAAATGTAATTCTGCATCACTCAATCCTGTCCTCCCCCATGCCTTCTCTCTCCCTCCACCTCCCGGTGTCTCTGCAAGACTGTGTGAACCAACTGTTCTTCAAATCGGATACTTGCAGCCATGGCTGTTAAAATCCCTTCATATCGTTGAGAAAACGTCCAGCATCTGATTCCCCTCCTCCGCTCCAACATGAGGATGTCCCGCTTCGTTGGATGAACATTCGGACGAACGAACTGCACTCGCTCTCGGGGACGGACATCATCCCCAACCCCAACCCTCTAAGCATGAGCTTTTGTCTGCACACGATATTTCCAGATAATTCGCTCTGCGATTTTCACAATGGGTCGCAATTATTCTCAACCATCTACGGAGATATATTTTCCATTTCCATTCATATCAGAATGCTTTACTTGCTTTGGACAGCAAGGCTAGAGCATCTCATAAATCTGGAGCGCATGCTAGAGCGTCTCCCTGGGGATTTACATATCAAATAAGATAAACCCCAGAACGTCTGCACGATTGTCCAAAATTGCATTTATGGGAATCATTTAAAATCATAAAGAAAAATATATATATATATAGAAATATATATATATATATATATATATATATATATATATATATACAGCCAAGCAATATCAGTGGCAATACCTCTCTGTGCTTTGAAGAAAATCTTAAGTAGCTCACACCTCCATCCATCCTTGATTGTAGTATAAAAGACATTTTTCAAAACATGAAACATTGAAAGATCAAAGTTTATTAAACATTCTTGTATATAGATATTGAAAGATCAAGTTTCTCTAGATGCGAACATTGTCTACATGCACTCTAGAGAAGCAACAAATTTAGCACAATGTCTAAGAGACTTGATCCCTTCATGCAAGCTCTCTCACCCTTTGAATTAATCTCATTATTTAATACTTTTCAAGATATAAAAACACATTTACTTCATTTATAAATCATATGCTTTTCAAGATAGGACATGCATGGGTTTGAGGAGGAATTGGGAGAACATGAAACTTCACAAAAAAAATACATGGCAACGTATTATCCACATTTTATGTAAAATAATATATCTTACGCCGACAATGAATAATTGGGTTAAAACTGTTGTAATATTTTAGTTAATATATTGTGTCAAGTTAAATATCATCTGTGTGACATTAACTCTAGAGGACTAAATATTAAAATCAAGAGGACAAGTGTCAACCTATCACTTATGCACAATCTTTTGTGAACCTAAACCTAGGAATTCAACTTGAGAAGAAAAAATGTAAATCTTGAATGTGCAAACAATAGCCATCCTAAGAGATGGAATTTTCACCAAGCTAGCCTTTTTTTCATTTAATCCTATAGAGAAAGTCACCTCGTATAGACCAAGAGAAATCATTAAAATCATGAGAAAGTCATAAAATCTGAAAACAACCAACTCATCCCCCTTGTTGGCACACCATCTAGTTACATAGGATCAACAAGTACAAATTTCTCTTATTTATAGTGATCACAAAAATTATTTCAAAAATTAATTTTTTTCTATGTTTTCTACTAACATGGCATTAATTATTGTTTATCTTGTTTAATAACTTACTAAACAATGGAGTGATATAAAATGAGATTTACTTGTGGTCAAACAATAATTTGTGAAGTAGATTTACTAGGGCATTTTTGGATTAAAATTGTTAATGGTGCATGTGACTCATTGACATTTTTGGAATAATCCACTTTGGGAAGAAAATGCTAGTCATTAGAAAGTGATGTTTGTAAGTCACTTTAAATCATTTATAAGCACACATTTGATACTAATAATGACAAAAAAGAGTTTGAGAAATTTAATCTAAAAGGTGATGAAATAATTTTTCTACAGTACTGACTAGTTGCATGGAAGTGAGCTGTGGGTGCACAAGGATCTCACCACTTCATATGCAACATACAAGGGCACTGCCAAAGTGGAATGATGCTTCTGGTCGCCGTAGGAGGCTCGGCGATGACTACTCCCATCTGTCTAACCACGACAGAGGCGCCATCGGCCTCGCAAGCCACACAGCTGTCGCTCTCGCTGGGCTCACCTTGTTTAAGTGGGCTCTCCTCTCCTCCTCTCCTGCAGTTTGTTCGTGTCTTCTGTCCGTCTCATTTTCCCCTTCCGCCCCGGGCGCTGCAGAAGATTATGACGCGACGGGATCACGTGATGGGATCACGAGGACTGAGGGCTTGGTGCTCATTCATACACGGAAGAAGTGTTGCATACACGGAGTCCTCGACTTGTATTCTGCTCTCTCTCTCTGTATCCATCTCTCTCATTGGGATCCTTTCGGCCCCACCTGTGCAGCTGAGGAAGACGACAGAGACTTCACGTGGAAAGCCATGCGCTCCTTCCTCGATGCTTCCGAGCACTGGTTTCTATCTCTCTCTCTCCCGGAAGGTGAGTTAATAATATTTGGCATCTCCAGCTGTGCGTCACGGCGGAAAGGACGGACATCGGTTATCGCGCATCTTTAGCCTCGAAGAGATCGCACTGCGAAGATTGCAAGGTGGGGGAAAGATCGCGATTCGTATGTATATCTCTCCTTGAACTGCAAGGATCTGCTCCCGCAGCGTAAGAAGATCGCACATTGCAGAAGAATAAATCGGAAGGGGAAGCTCGCATTACAGAGGGGAATAATAAATCGGAACCACACGCGAGCGAGAAGCCCTTCCTTCACCGGAAAAAAGGAAGCCCCAATAACATGTCAACTAGATACCAAGGAGAAGCATGACAGAGGGGATGAAGGTCCAGAAAATAGAAAAAGAAAAGTAATGATCGGACGACGACGATCGGCGTACAGGACTATGTCAGGGAAGCAGAAGAGCTGTGCGTATAAAATAAGGAGAGAAACTCAGTGCGCGTCGGATCACCGATCGGCGAAGTCCGTGCAGTAGCATACGGAATCCGGAGCAGGAAATCTACTACATCCAGTAAGACACGGCAACACCTAGAAGAGCTGATGCCGCAACGTAGATCCAGCTCGACGGTCGAACGACGGATCCCATGGACGGCGGAGACGGGGGCTCGCTAGTCCCCGGCGACCTGGCGACGGAGGGGGCAGGAGACTGAGTGCTTGCTGGCGGAGGAGCAGGAGGAGAGCTAGCAGGGGTTTCCACAGGGGGAGGCGCGGTGTGGGGGGATGGGGCGACGGTAGGCGGCGTGACTGGGGCCGCGCCGGTGGGCGGCGGGCTGGCGGGAGCCGTCGCCGGCGTAGGAGTGGGGGGAGCCGTCGTCGGCGTAGGAGTGGGGGGGGTAGACACCGGCGCCGGGCTAGGGGCTCTGGGGGCTGGGGGAGGAGGGCTGGTAGGGGCCGGTCTAGGGGCAGGACCCGGGGCCTGGGCGGAGGCGGAGGCCGCGAAAACGACGATCGCGAGGAACAGCCCCTGGAAGGTACTCGCCATCATCGGCATTCTTCTCCTACAACTTCTTCTGCAACCGCTGCCGCTGCTGCCGCCGTCGACGCCGCCGCTGCAGCTCTCCCTTCCGCTCTCTCTTCTCTCTCGCCGTGCTGATCAAGAGACCGTAGAAGAGGAGCAGGAGACTAGGGTTTGCTCTGGGGATTGTGGGAGGGGATATATAGAGCGGTGACGAGTGCGGTCACTGAGAGAGGAGGGGTCTGCGGAAACACTAACGGGCAGAAGACAGCTAGGTAATAGAGAGGCAGGCAGGCAAGAGTTGTTACGAGGATTTTTGAAAAACGTTCAATTACGCAGAGCTGCAGACCGTTGTACCCTCTGACACCGTCCGATGGGTCATGGACGGTCTGCCATCCCCGGAAAAGTGTCCGTTGCGGGGCGAGAACGGTCGCATTCGCCTCGCTTCTCTTTCTCGGGGCTTTGGCAAGTTTCCTGTCGCCGCGAAAAGAGAGGATAATCGACGCGCTTCGTTTGACGAGCCGGTCGCTGTAATTTTTCTTTTCTTTGTCCTTTTCGAGACTGACCAACGAGCCAATCCCTGCGAGATCTTCACCGTTCGATCCAATGCTTCCTCGATCGTACGGCCTCACAAGATTGACCGTGGAGTCCTTGAATAGTTTATCCGGGGTTGGTGAAAGCGGTAAACCGGCAGCTGCCGATTGATAAACGGCGCTAAAAACGCCGTTAAATAGCGCGAGAAGACGTCGATGCCGGCTAACGTTCCTTTCGGCTCGTGGCCACGCGCGGTGTAGGTACGAATGGAGCGGGGATTAGACCATCGGGTGGCCTTGACACAGCGGCAACGAGGTTCACCTACTGAATTTCCCGTACAAGTGCCAAAAAATAATCAAACAATAAAATTGATTAATATCAGGTATAATAAGTAAAATAAAATAAAATGACGTCATAAATTATAAGCATATGTTTACTATGATGCATGCATGCATGCAACAAGAAGGGTATGAATTGGCACAACTTAACTTATTAACTCCTAATATAGATGTTGAGATAAGCATGATTATAACTGATGCTAAATCCAAAATGCTGTGCTTACTAATTTAAAAAGGCACCTTGCATAAAATAAAAAACCTTTTCACAATAATTACAAATTCTTTTTTATCTCCCTCTGTGAATTCAAGGTGTAGACTTGTTCTTCCTCAGCTCCTACCATGTTAGGTGGTATAAAAAATGTTTATTAACTCCAAGACTCACCCATTTGTCACATCTACATGGGGTAAATCGTACTAAGGATGATGATTGAGATGTTACAATAGCTTTGGCTTAAATGATTGTGCAAACTATAGGAAAACATGTTTGTGGGTGTGAGCAACACTAATTGCAGACTTGTGATTTCGATCATAGCAACCAATATCCTTAAAAATAAGGGAAATTCTTACATAAAATAACCATTGTATTTATATTCAAAACTAATTTGATCTAATTTGTTGTTAAAGATATTAAAGGTTTTAAAATGAAGATCAGCCTAAATTTTAAGGGTAACTTTTCAGCACACTTGGCTTACTCCACTCCCTAAAGACAATCCCCTTAGGTTCCACTAAGTTTTAAATTAAATAGATTTAGCTTTTACACTAAATATCAAGACTTGAGTTAGCTTAGTTACTTGACACTATGGCCTCAACAATTTTTATTCAACATAGGCTTAACGAAGTCTCTACAAATCAAAAGGGCCTTAGCAAGTCTTCACTAAGCATAAAGGACTTAGCAACTTATGCTAGATTTATTGGCTCAAGGGAATAAAAGAATAAATTAAGAAAAAATAGATGTCATTAAAAATTTCCTTGTAGCATTCTTTATTGGACGATGTGGAAGGAACAAATGCATGCCAAAGTATTTGTGCCTTTAATCTTGCACAATACACAATTTCCCAACTATTGCTACACGTGACATTTGATATATTTATGGCATGATATGATCTTTTGCACAACCACAAATATATATTTGGTATCCAAGGTATGTTTTCAGATTTTTTAGATCTTTTAAGTTTTGTTTTTTTTAAAATGTCTTAATATTTATCACAATATTTAGTATTAGAGTTAAACTTATATTTCTTATTAAGTATATTTATCAAAGATATCAATTAGAAAAAATGAGATTGCAAGATTTGATGAAAATTTTGACTTCAATCTATGACAAAAGAGAATAAAGACGCTCCTTGTACAACATGAACTACATAAAGCTTCTTTATGATAGATAAAAATTTAAAAATTTGAGTGATGAAAATTAGTCTACATTAAATTTGAAAGCAGTCAATAATATTCAGCTTTGTTAATGAAGTTATGTATTAAAGCTTTAATGTAAGGCTACTATTGATATGTGAAAGAAATTAAAAATGTTATACATGTATAAAACACTTACAAATAAGTTATTTTTGAAGAATCAACTTTACTGCTTACATATGAATGAAAGGGCACATTTGTTAGAATATATGAATGTTATAAATAAGTTGATTTTCTAACATCACAATATGAAAATTAAAATTGAAGAAGAAGATCAGGTCATAGTTATTCTTACATTCTTATCCCCATGTTAAAATTATTTTGTGACTATCAATATAGTAAAGGACATTTAATATATGTTTGGTTTAATTCAACATTATTATCTTATAGTATTATATTAAAACCTTTTACATACATTGAAATTCTGATTGTTAATGGTGTTGGTCATGATAGAGGACATTTAATATTTAGAGATAGCATGAAAAATTATTTTCAATCAAAATCGAAAGGAAATGATGTTTGTTTCTATTGTAGAAAGAAAGGTCAATGGAAATTAGATTATTTAGAGCTCAAAGAAAAACAAAAGGGTAAAGAACTAGGTATGAGACCTAGTGTTGTATTAAATCAAAAGCTCAAGAATATACTATTTCAATCTCCTCAATATTATATTACTTTAGAATTTAGATTCTTGATACAAGTTGTTCCTACCACATGTGTCAATTTTGAAACTAGTTTAACACATACAAATCTTATAATAGATGTAATGTTCTAATGTGAAATAATTTAAATTGTAGAATTTGTTGTCAAATGAATAGTAAAAATCAAGATGTTTGATGAAGTAATTAGAACTTTGATAAATGTGAGACATATACTTGATATAAAGAAGAATTTAATATCCTTTGGTATCTTGGAAGGGAATGGCTGCAATTATACTTGTGGTAATAACATTTTGAAAATTATAAAATCTGCTTTATATGTTATTAAAGGAGAGAAAATTTGGACACTTTATAAGTTGTATAGAAAAATTATCTTTGACAATGCAACTACTAAATTCTATCATGAAATAAAGATGCCACTATGCTATGACATGCTAGGCTTAACCATATGAATGAGAGAAGGATGTTAGAAATTACACAATCACAAGTTACTCAGGGGTGTCACATTTTATAAAATTGATTTATGTAAATGTATTATTGGCAAACTATGTAGAGCTAAATTTTGTTAGTCCTCCCAAGAGAAATAAAAAATATACTAACTACATGCATTTGGATGTTTGGGCATCATCTTCAATCACATCATTAGGAGGAGCTCGATATTTTGTTATATTTATTGATAATTTCTCTTGAAAAATTTAGCTTTATTTTCTCAAACATAAATATGAGGTGTTTGATACTTTTAGATTCTTTAAGGCCAAAGTTGAAAATAGACTAACCAACAAATTATGTATAAGTAATAGTGGTGACTACACCTCAATTTTTTTTGAAACTTTATGTTATAAAGAAGGCATAATTCGTCAACTCACTATTCCATAAACAATTAAGCAAAATGGTGTAACTAAACGGATGAATCAAATATTTTTTGAGATAGTTCTTGTATAAAATTGTTTACATGACTCTCTAAGTAATTTTAGGCTGAGGCTATTAGCACAATCTATCACTTAGCAAATTGGCTGCCTCCTACAATGATTGGACTCAAGACACTTAAAGAATTTTGGTCTAGAAGTCCTATAGATTATTTTAATCTAAATATATTTGGTTGTCCTATTTATGTATTATTGTAAGATAATGAACAAACTAAGTTGAATCCTAAGTTGAAACAATATTTTCTTAGGATATAATAAATAAATCAAAGGATTTAAGTTATGAAATCATGTAATCCATAAAATTGAGCTTAATAAAAATGTCATAGTTGATGAAGCATCACTATTGAAAAATATCTTGTGTGAATGACATAAATAACTTTGTTAAGGTAGAGTTAATTGAAAAAACAAAGGAGTTAACAAACATTTAGAAAACTCTTCATTTTTGCAATATGATATAATCTTTTGCATAAGTAGAAATATGTATTTGGTATCCAAAGTATATTTTCAGATTTTTTTAGATCATTTAGGCTCTAGTTTATTCTAAGAGCACTATTATTTGTCACAATAAAGTGACACTTTAACTTAGTGAGGGTAGCTACATATTTAATGGTTGAGGAATTGTCATACATGTTTAAAGTTGAGGTGAGTAGTGATTGTTTTAGTGAGTCTTAACATTAGAATTCTTCAAAGTTTTTTGCTTTTTTTTTCTACTTCTTACTTTGATTTAAACACCCATAATACTATATTAATTCAACTAACATAAAAAATTACACTCTTTAAGGACAATATCTTTAATTTTTATTAATTAATAAAACCTATATTAAACATAATGGCTTTAGTAAGCTTTCACAAAACCTATGTTGAAATGTAATAACCTCAACAAGCCTTCACTAGAAACAAAGGCCTCAACAAGTTTATGTTCAACACAAATGTTGTTGGCTTTTGGAGCTTTGATTGTTATTATAATGACAAAAGATAATTTTGTGATGTCTAGATAAGAAATTTATTTTATCAATTAAGTGTAAGACATTATAAATTAAATTAGATAATGAAACATAGAAAAATTTACTCAAGGAAAAAATGATCTATATTCACATTTTTAATAAATAAATAATTTTTAGATGTAAATTCAAGCTGAAGATATATATAATTGAGGATGAAAAGAAAATAAAAACTAATTATTCTCAAGCAACTATTCACTCCATCTTAAATTAGATGTTTCCTCAACTAAATGAAAGGATGTTATACACAAGAAGCTATGAACTGAATCTACACTAATGCTTGTGTTTTATTTTCATTTCTAGGTTTATTGAAATCACAAAATTTAGTTGTTGGTTCTTCAAGCGATATGATTGAGCACATAAGTTTGTTGAGACATGGATATCTAGTAAGTGGTCATTGGAGCCATAGAATTCATGGCATAAACTTAGTAAACCTTGAATGTTGGAGTCATTGGATCTAACATATGGGCTCATGAGACCTATATATTTAGTGAAGGCCTACTAAGGTTGTTGATTTAGTGTATTTTGGTCATAAGCTAATACAATTTTTGTCCTTAGAAAGGGTAATATGACAGATTGACTGAACCCTCATAAATTATGATATATGAATTTTGTTATTATTATTTAATGGCTAATAAATAAAGAGGACTTTTGTAAATCACTAGGTTTAACAATTCCACCTGACTAAGACATTTCACCAAAAAGTCTTCTTCTAGGTGAATGACTTATTTCAATAAGATTCATGGCTTGAGGCCCCAATTGAATTATTGAACAAAAAAAAGGAGATTCAATTAATTGCTAAATTCTGTTTTAATTATTCTCAAATATGTAGTCAAGTTGAAGTGATCTACATGACTTTTGATAATTTAATCTAATGCTATTTAAGAGATAGACCAAGACAATGAGATCTTGCCTCATCAACAATAAAAGCTGCTTGTAATTACATTATAAAGTACTACTCCTCTAACAAATTTTATTAACTTAAAAAATTAGTGAAGCTTTAAAGAAATAATATTATGATATAACAATATGATTGATCATGCAAACTCTATTCATGATAGCACAAAGGAACACCTCTCATCCTCATATGAATTATAAAATATTTGAAGATAAAAAAGAGATATCAGAAAAGGTTTTAATCAAAGTGGAATATGTAATGGCGTACCTATGAAATAGAGGTTTTAAGTTGGAAGATATAATACAACAAAGGTAACATGAGTGACAAAGCTTATATTGTAGATTTACTAGCTTGCATGGATATAATTTAAATATTTGATTTATTTTTTAAAATATTATCCATAATGATGAATAGAATATAAATTCTTTTCAAGTAAGGAGAGAGTGATGTAGAATAATATAAAAGGCCCAACTAGGCGTTGAATGCTTGACTTATTTCCTATCCGGCTTATTCCCACTGTCTAATATGTGGGCTTCGAGCGGCCCACCGCCAATGGTCGTAGTTCCTTAAAACGCTCCAGGCAGGAGAGCACGAGGACCAGGGCACCGAGGTTTTTCTCTTGCCAGCGGAAAGCAGGGGCGGGTGAACCACCTGAGTACGCAAGTTGAAGGGGAAGGGAAGGTCTAGGAGGGAGCGTGGCGTGAAAAAAGCATGGCTAGCGCCACTACTGCCGGCACCCCTGCCGTTGTTGAGAAGACGGCGGAGGAGATCCGCAAGGAGATCGACGAGCTCCACCGCCAGCAGCGTGAGGTCCTATTTTCGCGGCCCTTCCCGTCCATCTCTTCTTCTGGTTGTGCTGTGTGTATGCGTTATGGTCTTCGTGGTGTTTCTGGTAATCTGCAGATAACAGAGCGTCTACGGGATCCGAGGGGTCTCCGTCGCGCCGGCCTGGCTCAAAATGGTCCTCGTTCTATTGCCGGGGTCCGCCCGCGAGGATTTGTGAGGCCTGTGAGTGTGGATGAGATGTTCTTTTTGCCTACTTTATTCGTAATATTTCTGCGTCTTTTTTATTATTTTGTTGTTTCTTTCGTGTTTGGATTTCCCGCTCAGGCGGATAGGGCAGACAACGAGGACCTGCCTCCTGCGAAGAGGCGTCTATCCTCCGCTGTGGTCAAGGTGATTCGCGGAAACCTTGCCTCTCTCTATCTTTATTTCCTCCGTATGTTGTCCTTTTCTCTCAACCTCTTCATCGTTGGGTGCGTCGTAACGTGATTTTGGATTTTAGGTCGGGGGCGGAGAGAGTGAGGATCTCAATCACGGTGAGAACCATGCTAAAAATCAGGATGCCGAGACAGCGGCAGACGAGGGTGCCGTCGTGTCTAACACGGATGACAACAGCTACCGGAGGATGACAATGGCTGGTCCCCAGGGGACTGATGGGTTTAGGAGACACGGAAATCAGAGATTTTCGAGAGTGGTAATGGTCGCTAATTCTTTTGATTTTTACATTTATTTATTTAATCCTTTTAAAAGTTATGTTCGTTTTCATTGCTTTTGTTACAGGATTATAGTGTACCAACGTCGGAGCATGTGCCTAGGGTATTGCCAAAAGATGAGGACCCGAGCTTGGTGAAGAGGAACAGAAGGATGCTCGGGCAGCTGCTGGGAACTCTGGAGGTACGTCACTAATTGAGGAAAAAGAACCCTCCTTCCCCTAAAATTAAGTCAGTACTGTCCTGCATTGGCTGAAGAGTTTCATCCTTGGATTTTATGTCAAGAATTTGGTCACTTTGTTCCAGTTGTTGTCTTGAACTGTATGAATTCGAATCAATACGACCAGGCTGATGTTACCCTGGTTCATCGTATGTCTATTGAACTATTTTCCTTATTTTCTGTACATTATGCTGTAATTATACGTTTTTTTTCTCCCTTAGTATGCTAATTTAGTGACTTTAGTTCAATAGCTCACTAAATGAAAAACAAAACCTTTTATAAAGTGAGTTTTGGGTTGCTTATGGATTTTGAAGTAGGTTGAATTTGCATAGTTGGATGTGTATCACCAACCAATTATTTATGTCTGCTGCATGTCAATGAAATCGTTAAATGAATCGTATCTCACGTGTAAACTTGATTTTTAGCAGTGTGCTGGGAATTCATTATAGCCGTGTGCTCTGAAATATTTGCTTATGCCCCAGTTTTGATGCACCAGTAAAAAATAGTTGCTATTCCCAATAAATTTTATTGCTATAAAGGAAGGAGGAATGGAACATAATGCTGTCATAAAAAATGAAGAAACGAAGCACTTGTAACGATTGGGACCAGTCGGATTCCATTTCTTTCCTACAGAAGATGTTTACCCTCAGTGCATCATATTACATTATTTCCTCATAAATACTTTTCGGCAAGAATTTCATTCTTCTGATCATGCCAGAATTGATATATATTTTTTTTTGATGGATTTAGAATTGAGCTAGAAATCATGGTTGACCAGTTTACTGGTAGATTCTGACAGGGCAACTACTGATTTTTTCCAGTTTAATTATAATTGAGTGTATATCTTCCCGAAGTGATAATCTTTTGAGGTTCTCACATTCTTCTGTTCCTCAATTCCTTTTCATTAATTATCATCCTCGTTTTCGTTACATATTAAATGACGGTCATAGTCAGTTTTGTGAATATCAAGCTTGGAAGTATGGTCGACATCGCTTCTGCATTTTTGTGATCCCTGATCAATGATTAATATTTTTTTATCGTGTTTAAAAGTCTTTGGGCCCAAGGTTTCAAATTTCTTAATCATCTATGCTTTCTTTTATTTCTAATCTCATGGGCTAAATCTGTGATTGTATTTGTTAACGAAGAAAGTTGCATTTCAACAGTTTTATAGTTTCATACTGTGTTTTGCATTTGCAGAACTTCAGTTCTTATTCCGCCAATGGTATGAGTTTAAAGTTTGCTTGCAAACAAGATTTCTTGTCTACTTTTGGTTTGAATTAAATTTTTCTGATGAAAAATGGGCACATCTAATATATTGCGTTTTGCATCTTTTCTTCACATACTTTTGTACGTTCAGTTTCTACTTCTATGATGAACAAACTCGTAAACTATTTTTCTTCTTTTGTGATATCAGAAATTTCAGGAGGAGGACAGAAAGTTATCTGCATCAGAGGCATATTTGCGACGTTCTGATTCTTTGCAGAGAGTGAGTTAATCCTCGTTGTTAACATGGTACCTTATTTATCTAGATGAAACTATATGAACAGTGAAATAATTGTATACCAAAACATCTGAACTTAGAAATGGCTTTATAAGCACAACCTTAAGAAATCCCATAAATGGAAACACCTGATGTTCTATGACTACTGACCTGTGGTTTTCCCTCAAATATCACAACTGTAGAAATCGCTTAATTCTGTAGATCGTGTTCAGAATACTATGTCTGATATCCAACAAGACGATAAAATGCAAGGTGCTTTAGATTTTCTATAAATTAGAATTTTGAGGAGATGTCTTGATAAAGTTGATGGAAGTCGTTTGCTATCATCTGGATACTTACAAAGGATACCAGAAAATGGAATCTATCAAACGTTAATTAGCCTTCATATTCTTAATTTTACTATCATGCTGACTGGTTACTGTTTTTGTTGTTATGCTTCGAACTTACGGGATTCTGTTGCCAGATTGGGTCTGGATTAGCCTAGTTTGAAGTTGGTTATTTCAGCTGTACTATAATCTGTTTTTATATAATAAATTGGTGATATTCTTTACTATGAAAAAATTCCTCCTCTTTTATGTTCTATAACTCATAATTTGTTTTTTTGGCGTTATCTCCCTATACATTATTTTTACTGATTCTTTCCCCCGTCGTACAACTCTTTTATACTTAGGCTGAGCAAAGGGCAAAGGAGGAAAGCGAAAGGTTGAGGCAGCAAGAACGTGAAGAACTTGCTATGAAACGTAGACGTGATCTTGTGAGCTCTCTCACTCATTCTAATCAGTTATGCTGTCAACTGGGGGATACAATATTCCTAACGTGAAATATGACTTACATTTGATCTTCTCTTTCTGTCATCTGTATCCGTTTTTACGATAGAAAAAATTCCTTGAGAAACAAGTTAATTCTTATAATTTTTCTTTTGTCAGCATAAATAGAAAGTTACTGATTAAAATTTCCTTCTGTTCTATTTTGAAACATCTTGATTTAGACCCTTCGAGCTCGTATTGCGGCCAAAGCAGAGGAAAAAAAGTTAGAACTTCTTTTTATTCGGTGGTCTGAGCACCATAAGAGGCTGTGCAATTTCTTAAGGTATGCAATGAAATAATTTGTTAAGGCTGTGCCATTATTATCTACTCCTCCAGCACGTGAACTTCTTGATATTCTTGTCGAGTATTCTTATAAAGTCAAGATCAACATTGTCTGTCTTAATATTTTTGCAACTTCAATTCATCTCATTTTCTTGATGTTTTTCGCACTGCAGGTTATTTTTATTTTTGGCCCAAAGTGTCCATATTGACATTTAATTGCGACAGATAAGTTTCTGTTTGTATGCATAGTGCATTTGAATGAAAGTCAATGCGTAAAGAATCAGTGGATTCTACACATCATAAACATTTAATTAGAAATGATGACTTCATTTTGATTGGATATGTTTCTGTTTCCTAGGACAAAGACGGAACCTCCAATATATTACTTACCAGCTAAACCATTAGAAGACGATTCAAATACAGCTGATGAGAGAAAGCAGCAGGTATCATTTCCTTAACATATTGGTGTTCGTTATAACAGGTTAGCATGGCGGTTGCTTCTGTTTTTATTATATTTTGGTGTTGAAAATATAACTTATTGTAAATTAGGACAAAAACAGGTGGTTTTGATGAGGCCCTGTTTTGTGATTCTATTTGTTAGTCTATTTTCCAGTCTTGCACTTTTCGTCTTAGATAACAGAGTTGGTCCCATATTGCTCACCCAAACTTGCTGGAGTTATGGTCAGTTCTCTAAACAAGCATGCCAGCACGTGTCAGGGGATTACCTTTGCTGGCCCAAACAGGGTAAATTGGATTGTTGGATTATTTGAGAGTTTTGTTGTCCAAAGAGGAACCAATTTTCGCAAGCTACTTCAGTTACATGGTAAACGTAATCATGAAATGAACTTTTATAAGTACATGGCCTCTCAAGACCTGCCTGAGCTACAATTTTTATTTGCTACGTCGTAACTTTAGGAAGGGACATCTTTGTACGTTAATGGTCGATATCACTGAGGTGATGAATTGGCTTCGGCTGTGACAGTCTTCCAGAAGAATGATTAGATTCAGGGTATAAGAAAATGCCTAGATGGATACAGAGAACTGCGATTTTAATTGTAAGCTGTATGGGGGTGCCTTTTTGGTTTCAGGGCGGATGTCTCTCCTGCCATTGCTCACCACTTGCCCGTGACATTAGTTCTTCTGTCTTCCTCTTTTTTCTTGCTGTCAGCCCCTAACAACGGAGATGTAGCTATTCTCCTGCTTCTTCATTTGGTGACTTCCATTTGCCACAACCCTTATTTTGTTGGCAGGCTCCAATTCAGTATCACCTCTTTCCTCACCAATTAAATTTTATGTCCCTGTTTTTCTCTCTCTGTCTCATGCTCGGGCCCAAATTCCCCAGCCCTTCTCCATCAGATTAGTTCATTTCTCTCATATTTCTACTTGTTTCTGTTAAGATCCCAAAACAGGGACCAAAACAAGGGTAGAAACTAGGGCAGCAACCAGGGAAAATAACTGAAAGGAATGGGGGAATATAACTCTACTGAGACAGGAAATAGGAAAGAACGCAAAAGGGGTTTCCGGAGGAAACCCTAGAACAGTTGGGGACGAGTTCAAGAGCACCCCACACTCCCACTGACTTCTTCCAAAAGTCCCCCAATAAGGGCCCGTAAGGGTCCTTCTATCCTCCCTCGTACTGAGCCCATGGCCCACTGTCTTAACCTTCCCTTTCCTGGTGTAAGTCACCTGGATAATGGGCCAGGTATCGGGCCCAGCAATACACCTTGTTTGCAAGGTGGAAATCAGGGAATTGTTGACGGAGGGTCGGGGCCAATTCCCACGTCGCTTTCAATTGCAGAGTGTTGACAATTACTCCACTTCGCCTTTGAAGTCCTCGTCCTCTTTGTGAACCAGTAATAGTTGGAGCTCCTTTTTGCGAAGGTGTCCTAGTTGGTATTTCTCATCACAAGAGAAACACAGGCCTCTCACCCGTCTATCTTGTAATTTGGATTTTGTTAGGGACAGTCTCTTTTGGTTGCTGGGCTGTTTCTGAACAATTTCTGTTCTCCTCGTTGGCGCTAACTTAGTCACTCCAGGGAGGCTTGATGGTGGCGGGTGTTTTCCATCTCCCTCTTCATTTCTTCTTCATCCCTCCTCTCTCGCTCTCTCTCTCTCTCTCTCTCTCTCTCTCTCTCTCTCTCTTTCTCCTCTTCTTCTGACGTCTTTGCCACAATTAAACCTTTCCCATAAAGGATCCTCTTTCCTTCTTTGCACAGAATCTCTGTGCAGAGACCTTTCGGAGGCGTGATGGGTCCCCTGCCCTTGCTGATGTAATGCTAGATTTACACATCTCACTAGAAAATCAATGACTCGTATGGGCCAGTAACGTGTATTTCAGTTCCTTGATGTTCTCATAGAAAATATGCTCATAACTATTTTTTTGCCGGTGTTTCTGCTTGAAGCTCTTTATCTTCCCAAAATATTATCCAACCCCTCTTTTTGCTTCGTGGAACTTTGATGAAGTAGATAGAAAATCTTTTAGCTGCATGGTTATTTTTCAAGTAGGAGATCTGAGAGAACGGTTGGAAAGTCCAGACTTCCATTCCTTGAGAAAAAATATTTTGCTTTGACAACTTGTCCACGGTCAGTCAGATATCCTCCTCAATGCACCATAGCCGCTTTGCTAGCAGAGCCTTCTGGGATAGGTCTGCAGACTCTATCCCATTTCATTAAGTGAGCACCATTCCAGGAGAAGCTTCTTCCAGCGCCATCCATTGATTTCCTCACTGTCTTTGGTATTTTGAACATGGACATCATACATGAATGAGATAAAATGCATCCACCTCCTAAAGGGTGTTTGGCCTTCTACTCTAGCGTTCTATCAATTTTTTCAAAATTTCAGACCAATCTTTAAGTTTTGTTCTTCCTTTAGGTAACGGTGGCTAGTATGTTTGATAAGAAATCGAGTCAAATCATAACCCACTATTCCTGTAAAAAATATCCATTTCTTCGTTGTGTGTGTGTCTGTGTGTATCCCCATAGCCTATGTTTTGCTAAGATTGATGTGTAGCCATTTCTTAAATAAGAGTTTATGCAGAAGCCGAATTTATTTCTATGAATCACTTGTTGAAGACATCCTACTGTACCATCCCGTAAAATTACAGGGCGATAGTTCTAAACTTGAACCAAGACACGTGAGGAGACTTGGTTTTCCCACAGTGTTGGTATTCTTCAGGATGCTGAGAGGGTGAGTGGCTGCTGCAGTAGTTACGCCTGAGAGCCGTGCTCATGCGGAGATGGAGACCCATATCAGTGAACTGATGTGAGATGACCAACCCTACAGGGGGGGGATCCTTAGAATCGATTGTGTCGTTGTTGTTCGCAATGCAGGTTTCAGCAAGAGAAAAAGGATGGTTGGGAAAGTTAGGGATGAGAGGTTGGTAGAGGGGGAACTAGAGGACGGGGCCCGGGGTTGGAGATGGACTTGGAAAAAGCTATGGGCGTCTCACCCTGAGTTACCGTACGGATTTGCCATATGTGCCATGCTACCATTCAGATTGGGTTTTTTTAACAGTTTTTCCAGTTTCTCTTCGCTACTATATATTTCCTAGGTAAGATTCAGATAGGCAGAGCAGTTCTCTTAAGTCCAATCGCAACGCATTTATTGAGCTCTCTTTGCTATTTATTTCCCTTTTCTCACAGGCTTTCCTCGACTGGAAGACTTCCCGAAGAGCTGAGCTGACGGAGTTCCAGAAGCAGATTGGTGAGCAGTACCTTGCCAACATTGAAGTGGAGCTAGAAAGGTGGCAGAACGCTGGAAGTGCCCGGAGGAGTGCACTGGAGAATCTGCAGGAGACGATGGACAAGGAGCTGGAGACGCACCAGCTGGAGCATGGGCCCAAGACTCGCCGGGTTCCCGGCGGCGGTGCCGACGAAGAGGACGACGTTGATGACATCGCCGCCGAGGATGACCCAATGGACGACGTGCTCGGCGTCGGCGAGAGCCGGGTCGCCGCAGATGGCGGTGATGTCCCACCCAAGTCAGATGCAGCAGGCAATGGCAGTCCCAGCCCCCAAGATGCCTCCCAGTAGATTAGATAGAGAGCCTCTTCCTCCCCCGCTTGAGCGGCATATTTTCTTGTTGGATAGCTACCGCATCGAGTATATCATTTGAGACTTTCTCCGGCAGACGATCCAATCCATCTCCGCCGCATTTGTGTGTGGTTCGGCATGACTCGGCTCTTAGCGCGAATCGTGATGAATTCCGTCTGGTTTCACGGCCGTCCTTTGCTTTGGAAACTTACTTGATGGAAACTTACTTGGGCCCGTATCTACTATCACAATAAATTCCATTTATTGAATTTTTCAATGCAAACAAAGAGCCAATTTTTCCATTTGTTCTATTCTTATAAATCTAAGCTTAGTGTGAAGTAACATTGCAGGCAACTTTTCCCAAAGTTAATTTTAGTAGTTTTATAACCCTCACAACATCATGCTAACGTACTATATTTTGTCTAGATAAATAAAAATGAAGAGAGGTGGATATCACTTGTGATAGTGTAAATTTTCTGTGTTATGTTGCAACGAGTACAGCTCGTGCACACTTCCCAATTGGCCATATAACGATTATCCAGATGTCATCCAAAACCACAGAAAAAGGATGTTTTTTACGACCATCAAGAAGGAATTTTGGCATTGAGATTTGATGAACATGGGGCAGGCAAGTACTTTCGACGGAGTTCTTAATGTATGGTGTACATTTGAACAAGCCTGGCTTGATTACATTAGGTTGTCTCCTGCAGGAGTTCACTGGTGTGGACTCCAGAAGAAGACCTCGAGCTCCACCTTGGTGTTCTACGACAACAATTCGGCAAGTGAGATCTAACACCTCCGCCATGCTTCATCTATTTGGCAGGGGGCTTAGGTCCTTAATTATAAAATGCCACCCATGCTTACAACGGATAGAGCCTTCAACTTCCTCTTATGGGTGTCCGTAACGACAATAATTCTCAGTCCACTGCGGCCTAACAACGGATAGAGCCTTCAGGGTTTGGCGCGTGCCGCTTGGGGCCGCAAGCTCGGGCCAAACCCACTCTCGGAGAGAGAGGCAGAAGAGAAGCAAGAGAAAGGTCTGGGCTTTAGCGGCTCCGGGCGGATCCGTGTCTTAACAGTTTCATGGCCAAATGTTGGAAGCCCAAGACCCAAAATGGGATGGGCTTGGTTGAGTTTCGGGCTTGCCCTTCCTCTGGTACCATTATCTCATGTTTTCTTACAATTTACTACCAAATACTACGTACATTTGGCCATCTTACAGAAATTAACGAGGGACAAGGGAACCGAAATGGAGATGGCGACCAGTACAGTATCACAGGCGGCCATGCCTGGTGATCCTCTCCCATTTTATTTCCTCTGTATTAGTTACTACGTCTGCGGGACGTCTCTTCTCCCCTCATCGCTTCCACTCGCCTCAGCTCCAGTTGTCGGGGCAGCACCAGTGAAGGGCGGGAAGCTGGTCGTCCGAGAAGAGGTTTCCGCTGCTAGGCTCGTGGACGACGACGAAGTTATGGTCATCCGCCATCCTCAACAATGGCGGTAGTGGAGGTGGAGTGGAGGAGGAAAGCAGCTGGAAGTGACTGTGCTGGTAGAACGGGAGGATGTTGGGGTAGCACCTGGTGCCGCCACCATCGAAGGGCCCCATGGGTGAGGGAGGAGATCCCAGAAGTTGATGTTGGTCTGACGAGGGGAACTGGTCATCCATGTCGCGGTGGTGGGGATGACTAGCGGTGGTGGTGTGATTGTCTTCGCCGTTGGCATTAACGATGTCGCTGGAGTCGCTGCTGTCCGTCGAGGAGCCGTCCTTGTTGATGAAATTCGGGAGAGGCGCCACTTCGTCCACCTCTAACTCCGCCTCGATGATCTCTTCTTCTGCCTCCGAAGAGACGACTTTGTTGTCGGACGCGGACGCCGCCGGCTCCTCCTTCACAGCTAAGGCTGCGTTGGGGCGGGGAGCCTCTTCTTCTGTCAGCTTTGCGCGGAGCTGCTTGATCTGTACAGATCGATCATTAGCCGTTCCGATCGTCAACAAAGGAGGAGGAACTATTCCAGGGATGAAGGGTGAATGATCAGGTCCTTGCCTCGGCAAGGAGAGCCCGGTTGTCCACGCGGAGGGCCTCGAGAGAGAGCTGGAGAGAGTCGTAGTCGGACTTGAGGAGGGCGTAGTCGCGCTCCAGCTGCTTCGTCTTCCATCTTGCTCGGCGGTTCTGGAACCAAACGGCCACCTGCCGGGGCTGTAGGCCCAGCTCCTTTGCTAGCTGAACCTTCTTCTCAGGCTCCAGTTTGTTCTCTACCTCGAAGTTCCGCTCCAGTGCCTTCACCTGTTGAACGCTCAGTCGACGCTTCTTCTCCCCCGTTGCGCTGGGGGAAGAGTCCCCATCTCCAGCGCCGCTGCCGGCTACCCCCCCGCGGGAGAGGTCCTTCTCTCCGCAGTCTTCGCCATCTCCGGCTCCGATCAGCTGTCCCCTCTCGTCCTCTGATCACAACGAGATGGAGGAAACCATTGCGGTGCTCAAAAAATAAGCCGGTGAAAGCAAAAGGACAAAAGAAACAACAAGAATTACGCTGGGGGAAGGGGGAAGCCTGTTTACCAGGATCAGGACGGCAGATGGAGACCAACTCTTCACCGCCAGTTGCTCCAACTAGAGAGTGGGAGCTTCTATCGCTTGGTCTCTTCATCAAGGCCAAACAGCCTGCCTTTGACTGTAGTAAATCGCCAAGCCTCGATGGAGGCCGATAAGGACAGTATCGACGAAGAAGGGCTGGAGCGGCTTCTACAACTGTTTAACGATCGATCTACCTACCGGACAGGTCGCTGCCACAGCGGCCTGTGCAGGGCAACCGCGGCATGGAGTATGAAGAAGACGAAGATGAGAAGGATGGTGATTAGAAGATTGCCATGCTCGTCAAGGTCGGCGCACCCAACCCTGGCCTTCCTTCTTCTTCCCCATCCCCTCTCTCTCGGCGACCATAACGTGAGAGCTGCCAACCAACGTTTCTCGAGACAGTGATAGAATGGAGCGAAGGGCCGTCGGAAAAAGCTCGAAGCGTGCCTTATATAGATGATGGGCATTCACAGAAAGGCGGAGACCCCCCAATCACGAGATCTGGGCGGCGTGAGGGGGTGAGCTGACCAGGTTCTTGTCCCGAGTGACCCGCCGCAGACCTTACCGAATGCAATGACATCCAAATTCTACCCAAATGAAAACTCCGATTCAAATTTCCCCTCCGTCGCCATCGCATTCGCTCTGTATTTTATTATAAGACGTCCCTCATCTCGGTTGATTTTTCAATTATTTAAACAATATTTGCGAAAGCGGACGCGACGGACCGCGATTAAAATATTAAGGGTGAGCGAGCCACCGTCCTTAATCTCACGGAGGGGTTTCCTAGTCGGGAAAAGGCGAGAACAAGCGAGCCTCATAGCGCGGCCCAGCCGAAGGCCTATCTATCCCCCGGTGGTCTGCGAGGGGCGTCACACCTACCTCGGGGCGGCCGCAGGGGCGTGAGAGCGGCCGATTCCTGGCTGGGGTCGCTAGTAGATAGGGCCCGCATCTCAAGCTGTAGCCAGGGCTAACTGGTCTATAGATAATCTAGACCTGCCCCCGAGTGGGCGGGACTGATTTTGAGATACGATTGCCACGCCTGAGTCCCGGGGTTCCATTAGAACGAGGATCGAAAGTTAATTTCGGGCTTTTCTCTCCATTCTGGCCGGCATTAAGCCTTGTGGAAGCCCATCGATAAGTCTTTTCGACTCTCCTCTAACTAATAGATAGAATAACCCGATTTTCTTTGGCATCATTCTGGTAATCTTTCGGCGAAAGCCGCTTTAAAATGAAACCCAGGTATTTCTGTGTCGGAGACCCAGTAATGCCTCGGAAAAAGTTAAGAGCTTCTCCCCAGCATACGTAGGTCTTACGGTGCAACGTAGCTCTTTAAGAAAATTAAATTCGATGATTAAAAATCAAAATCAACTTATTTGAAGGAAAAAGTTCATGGCTCATTAGCCGTGGTTGACACGAGTCTATGCTTAATTTGAAAGGATACTAGAAGTTTTGCCGACAGTGGAACGCTAAATCATTAAAGCCAAATACGTGATAGAAACAGTATAGAGTATTATCAAATGTATAACAACTTGAAAAGTTACTGTGAAGAAAAATTGCAGGAAACCTTGCAATAATACGTTTTCTGGTCATGAAATCAGCGGTATAAGACTGACATAGTGGTCTAAATGCAAACATCAAGACTCGTCAGCAGCGATGTATATGTGGCCCAGTAGGATTTGTCATATTAACCCGGGAAGGGTGTGGCGCACAGCTCATATTGATGGGGAGAGATGGGCACCCATGGAAATTGAAGCAATAGACCAGCCATGAAAGGGACAAGAAGACTACATGCCTGTACCTCTCGACCTCAACTTTGAACACCGGGGATCTTGGTCATATCCCAAAAATCTTTTACTCTAAATCCGGGCGTCGACAGGGCTAGCCTAACCCATGATCATGTCCCCTCCATGGCACGGCCTGGATATCACTTGGATGGTCAGGTCTAGAGGCCGGAGCAAAATTCCAGTAACTGGACTCAAATCACTAAGAAGCCAACTCGGACGGGCACACTTATCTCTCTAATTTCCTTTTGAAACTCAAACAAGACTTTTTTTGACTAAGACGGGACTGCCTAGGTGGAGTTTGGACACTGACGCTGTATAGTCGTAAGGTAGCGTGCGCCATCGAGAGACGCGAGCATAACGAGAACAAACTGTTGGAGACCAACGCAAGAGAATTCGAGAGCAACCTCACGGTAGTCATTTGCATATCCATTCTTCACCTTCTCCTCTCCTCCAGCGTTGGCTGGCTCGTAGAGTTTGAAGTCTATAAAGGAAAACGATAGTTACATCCCTCCCGATTCAACCTCAATATGTCTCTCCTCCCATTCTCTTTTCCCCAGAGCTCTCTCTTCGAGTACATCGATCTGGTCGTAGCCGCTACCAGTCTTGTGATCGACACGTTCTAAGACCTTCAAGGCAATATTCTTTCAACGTTTCAACATGGTTCTTTTCCGTAAGTTAATGCGGAGTCCATCCCCGATGGCTGGGTTGGTACGCCTTGATGAGAGGTTTTGATGGGTTCCCTGTTTGTTCAGGTGATCCACAGGGATGGACGTAAATGATCTCCGAGTTGTACTTCGTACCTCCCTCGCTCTAGATCTATCGCAGATGTATGAGCAAGAGAAGACTTCGACGATCTCTGAGCTCCCTCGCTCCCTTACTGCCCCGAGCTACTGCCAAAATATGGGACTGGAAGAAATGAGGAGGGTAAGAAATCTGCGGGCCTTTCTACGGTGGTTTTCTTGTGGCCCTTTATTGTCAATTACTAAACTTATGCTTGGTCATCATACTAACTTTCTCTTGTCCACAGGGGCAATCACTCTTGAAATTTTCTTCCTTCAACTTCAGTTTAAACTACAGTCATGAGATTTGACTTGTAGGAGTATCTCTTTTTGATGCTAAGAATTTCTTTTTTGTCACATTTCCATCTTCAACCATAACATCATAATTTTTGAGTTCACATCATGGTACATATTAAAAACAGTCTTCATATGCTGCTGGGATGATGGCCTTTTGTGGCTTCATTGCTAATTTCAGCTGCTTTTGTAGATTATCTCACAGGTAGAAAAAATAGTACACAATTACTTACAAACTTGGAATTATACTCGTTTTGATGAAAATAAAGTGGTCTAATGTACATAAGCAACTTTTACGAAGAACAACTGGGAAAGGAATGCTTGGTAATCTTTCGTCTGTGAGGTGAGTGGGATGAGAGAGTTACTGAGAGAGAAGGCTGCAGTATCTCTATCGGTGCAACAGTGTGGTCCTTTATCATGTGCGAATGTCGAGAAGAAGGCAAGGAGATGGTTTACGGGGAGGACCACCCCAGTCCCCACAACAGTCTTTTCGTTCGCAGAAGTATCAGAAGACATCTACGTCAATAGGACGCTTTGGCTTACTGAATTAAAGGGTACTCTTTATTTTCTCTTTGAAAACGATTGGCCCGTTGGCGTAGCGATAGCCCCATCCGTCAATCTTGCGCCAATTTGCTCTTGTGGTAGGCCATGCAAATGGGATGAGTGCTTCTCGAGAGATAGGAAAATCCCCTTAATCAGTAGGGTTGGGTAAACGGCTCTCTGGTTAGCATCATCTGAAAACTTTGGAAGGTTTTCTCTCATTTGGGCATCAGGAGATTGACGGTCAACTTCAAGAAAGGGGGGAAGTATGACTATAGCTTTAAGTCACTCTCACTTTTTTCTCTCGAATTGGCCTAAAATGCATCTTAAACTTTTCTGATTTCGGTTAATCTCCCTAAAGTTTGGCGTCATCTATGTACTTCCAACTTGTACGGCTCCTCTTGTCCGTCACAAACATTATCCATTTCAAATGGTGAACTCCGCGCATTAATCGAAACTTGCTGCATCTTACATATCTCGGCTATTATGTCCTCAAACCGCAGATATTATGTCGGGGACAAGAATGGATACGAGAAGTCGCGCTCCACGTCGAAAGTACATGTTTCGTGATCGACAACTATCTCCCGTAAAACACGATGAAGGAATTAATTACAGGAATGATTATTTGATTGAAGTCAGGCAGCGGGAAAATTAATGGCTATCGGAATCGAAGGAACATCACGGGAGTGCGGCGCCACACGTTCGGTTTCAGTCATATCGAGGTTTATTATCCTGGCTTGCAGGTGGGCTCGCCTCCTTAAGAGGGGGGAAGGTGACCTCACTGCCTGCGTAGTAGGTCTCGTCCGCAGTTGTTTGGAAGCGCGAGAGGACCCCAGCGAGTACATCTATTACAGGTAGCCGTCAAGTCACGTATGGACTTTCATGTACGCCTTTAGCGTACGCAAGGAGGGGGAGAGGACTGAAGTCAGCGTAAATAGGCGCCTTGGATTCGCTTCCCAACGTACGAAGGATCTGAGCTGGGATTCAAGAGGTGTTATTCTTCCGGCCAAGTTCCGGACGGACTCATTGATGCCGCAGTCTGGAATCCAGTCCTCGCACCCGTTCAACGATGCCTCCTTGTTATTAAGGACAGCGTGAACTGCACTGACAGCGTTTCAATCAGCTGCCGCTACTGTTCTTATCTGGTTAACTCATAGTGAACGGCATCGACTTCTGCCACAACGAGAAGCTTCACGTCCCCAAGGTACCGCTCTCTCTCTCTCTCGCTATCTCACACACGATTTGAAGCCGAATGAGGCCGAGGTCCTCCCTGACGACCGAGGGTGGATATTGTTCACGAGGGCAGATTGCGGGGCTTAGAGCATCGCACGAGTCAAAGATAGCTGCACCCTAAACGAAAGGAGAGGAGGGAATTGGTACGCAAGGAGAAGCTCTGAAAAGGCTACCGTGATGTGCTACTGGCGACTTAAAAGCCTTCTCGGAACGAAAGTGAAGGGAAAAACTCAGAATCCGGCTGAAGATGCCCGTAAATCTGGAGAGACCTTATTATCAACGGCCAGGTATACATTTCACTGAAGAGTTGTACGTGATAAAAAGCGGAATGACCCCCATGCACAGGGTCATAAGATTGAACTAACTTCTAAATTACGGCTACATGCATGCGGGAGTTAATGTGCCTCACTTGGTTTACCATCAAGAAAGACAAGATTAAAGACCGATTCTTCATTCTGACACCAGCGAATGACCCTGCGCTCGCGTGTGCAGATCCTCTTCGTGACGGGACACCACACGAAGAAGGCACACGCACACGGGTCTGCTCAGTCTTGTCCGAAGAAGGCTATTGTCGCTCCGCCAGTTCGCGAATTCACATGCAGGCTGCTCCGTGATGGCAGCTAGTCCGTTTTACCAGAGACTCGTCGAAAGGGAACTCTGACCCGTCTCCGGATGGGAGAGGCAGCAACGACGTGGCAGAGTCGGGTCGGGCGAAGGCCGTAGGGCCCCGCCGGTAAAAGCTAAAACGTCTCACGCATTTATCTGAATCTTGGAGGGCCCCTGACCTCTCGCCCCGCGGGCCCTTCCCTTCACGCATCCCTCTAGGGGAGAGACGGGGACAGGTTGCAGGTCTGGGGGTCTGGGCACGAGTACGTGTGCCTTATCTGCAAGTCGCAGTTCCGGTGGGGATCCCCCCCCGTTTCCCCTGCAGCCACAGCAGGCCGCGATGGACTGGGTGGAGAGAGTGAGAGAGAGAGACAGAGAGGTCTGGATACGGTACTTGAAGACCTGGTGGTTGGTTGGTTGATGACGCCTTTATCGAATTTCATGACATGGGTACCGTTCAGAGATGAACTCTGCGATGTTTTTCGAAGCAATTCACGTGTGAGAAGAAAATAGGAGATCAAGGGAAAGACTCGTATCCTGCGGAAAACCGCGTTTGAAGTTGGTATGGAACTAGAGTGTTCCCAGAATATTCGACGAGAGGCACATCAAGGGCGACTGTGCCAATCTGAAAATCGTCACATTATGCTCACGGATTTATCAGAATCGTCACAACTCGAAAGGATAAAGAACGGAATAACGGTTCTCAAGACATTGGGCTCGGCTGAAAGACTTGATCGGGTCCATCAGAGGTAAAAGCCCAGACGATTCCTAGCCCACTCTTTCCAGCAACCCCCTCGATGGGACCCATCAGGATTTTGGGGACAGTTCCCGACGGCGGCTGGGCCTGGCACTTTAGTGTTACATTGGGCCACATTTCTGTACTGGTCCGAGCACCCATGGATGTGAATAGGGGAAGGCTGACTTCCATGATTCTGCGACAGAGCCAGTCATTTAAGACCTATGATGAGAGTTTGATTACTGAAGAAATATTCTGGATTTTGAAAACAATATTTGAGAGGCAGAAAAGAGATTTATCGTCATCTCTCCCGGATCAATCGATTGTTATTTAATTAGGGTGTGTTAGACGACGTATAATTATCTTCTGCGATTCCTATGAATAACAGTCATTTGAATCGTTGAACTTTCCCTAATCTCTCTAGTCACCAGAAATTCCTTCCCATTTTTATCTTCCTCTCTGACCACTCTCCAACTTCAAAGCCTTTCATCGTTGTAATCCCCAATTTCCGCGACGGCAGTGCTGCAGTGAGAGTCGATTGTGATATGAAGACTGTGGCTTCGTCATCAGGTTTCATCCTTCATTGCCCACTATTTTTAAGCAATTCGTTGGTGATACCCAGCCTTTAATGGCTGCTCACGCAGACAACTTAGGCAATGATTGCTTACCTTGCTACTATGACGCATGAGGAAAACTCAGCAAATACTCGAAATTCGCGACATACACGTGAAGGAAAATTTCCACCTTAATTTTGAAAAAAAGTGGAAATATAGACAAACTATATAGCATGATATGGTTAAGACTTAGATAAATGAGTGTTGTAGAATAGACATGCATCAAGCATAAAAATCCAAAATGTAGTCATTTTGGAAAAGCTGGAATATAGTCATTTTGATATCTCAATGTCCAAAATGTCTTTCCTTTTAATTTACTTCTACATTTTGCTAAAATGCCTAAAATGTAGCCAAATTGTCTTGCCCAAAATAGCAGGTTAAATTTATTTCTAAACACAAATTTTCTATTAACAAGTGTTTCCATTCACATAGAAGGTCAAATGTGTTGGCAGTACTATCTAAGGGAACTATTATTACTTTCTGCTTATTTAAAGAGGCAATAAGAGATGTTTCTCATCATAGAAGAAATTTTGGTTCTCTCCTTGAGGATTTTGGGGAATTCGTTTCTCTATGCTCAAGGATTGTAAAGTAATGGTATTTCTCTCTTAACTTCCAACATATCTCAAGTCATCAAATTTGAGATATTAGAGTGCTCAAACCTAATTACTACTAACTTTAAATTTTTTGATATGTTGTCCCTAAAAGGAAGCCCCTTTTTGTTTAGTGTAACTGATGGAAGAAATATAAGATAGAGTAGCCAACTCATGGAGACATCCCAGAACATCTACCATTTATTGGAGGGATTTTAAAGCCCATTGTATGGAGTGCTCACATGAAAAACAATTGCATCAAACCAATATAGAAAAATAATTATCCATACAAATTATTAACTGACCCATTGCAAGATTATATATGTTAGCATCCATGAGTATGAATAAGAAGAAAAAATATTTTCTAAATTATTTATTAATACCATAAATAAATGAAAAATAATAGACTTCCAAAAATACTAGCAAATCCATTAAAATTTAATGTTTCATTTGAAGCCTAAATAGCTTTTAATGATGAAAAAAAAAGCATAAAATGGTAAATTGGTAATTTATAACCATAGGACCAAATAACCAAATGATCTAAATCATAGAAATTAAGAGAACCTTTTAAAACTAAGGAAATTTTACTCTAGGGTAAAATTATCATTTTATATTATAATATAAACTAAATATCAATGAGATGGTGCCAAACAGGTTGTAGATGCTCCAGCATGTTTTATGAAATTTATTACAGATTATAAACTAATTCTCCTTATAGGATTGTGCACCTTTTACATAGGTAAAAGAGTGGACATGTAGACACATGTTGACCCCAAGATGGGGTAGTTGTAATACCAAGAGGGGGCTGAATTGTTTCTCTAGTGTATTTTACATTTTTAATTATTTAAAGTTTTTTTTTGTTATGTAGTTAGTAGGTCAACAAAAACTTTCTTACTTACCTTTTTTCATCTAGAGTAAACAACTTAGATGATTCAATAGATCAATGTATAATAATTCTAAGGATTGGCTAGTTTTGACGATATCTTTTAATTTTTGAGTTTTAATCATTTTTCTTACTTTAGTACAAGTATTACAAACAAAGTTTTCATCTAAATTTAAATTACACATTTCTCTTACTAAATGTTTATTTCTATAACTGCTCAATTATTTTATTACTCACATATTCTAACCATCTAACACTTATGTGTGATCCTCCTACTATTTGTGTGACATTCTACACAAATCTATCCTACATATGTGTGTCAATGCATGCAACAACTCTAAGGTTCATGAGGCACCTTCCTTCAACTTTCTCTCACCTACTTAAGTCACACTCACTCATGTATGAGCCTACTATGCTCACTATTGTGCACATTTGCAGTTGTGACATCCCATGCCTAATGTTGAGATTTACACTTATGGCTTCATGTCAGTGGTGAGGTTATACACCTATAACCTTGTTCCTCCGTGCAAAGGGATGTCACAATCAAAATAAGTTGATAATTTACTCCTTATAATAGTCTTGTCTTGATAACTTCAAGAGCCATACATGTTTTCATGCATAACATATCAAAGAATATGTTGATAAAGTTTATGATTGCAGAAATAAGTATTTTGATGATCTTATTGGTTTTTACTAAAGAAAGCCTTGAATTTAGTAAAGTAAAGATCAAGGGTAAACTGATAATTCACATTATAAGCTAAATTGAATATTTATCTGACCCTAAATTACTTTTGATGATTTTATATATTATGAGATGATTTACTTAATTTTTTTTATTTATTATTTAACAATAATATTATGTATACATTTTCTTTATGTCTCATTTTATTGATTTTTAAAATTTGTAAGAAGATGTAAAGATTGGTCACATCATCTATGTCTAAGGAAAGCCTTTGAGGTTATAGATATTGTATAATAATTCTCTTAAATTCAAAATTATAGCAATCACTACTACGAAGTTATAATTCTATATTTCCTACTTTAAACTTAATATTTACTTAAATTAGTGAGATTTTGTGTGATTTTAAGTTTAAAAATATTTTTCATTTATTTATAATATTTTTAGTTTTTACATATCTTAATTTGATCAATTAAATTTTATGTAATCATTTACGAAATAATCGTTAGGTGGAACTTTGTTTCTACTCGAATCACATTTGTCAAAGTGTTAATGTCATCTTGACATCTACACCTGAATTTATTTTTTAAATAATTCTTAAAATATATTTATATCTTAGAGTCATCATTTTTAATTTTAATTTATAAAGTTGTACACCATCTTTGATCTTGATATTTCTTATTTTTTGACAAGATGTCTAGGAGGACAATTGTACATGATAGACAATGGAGTGACCTCTATTATCTAGAACATCTAAGTTAGCTAAACATAAAAATAGATTAAAACAACATTCTCAAAGACTTCAAGATTGGGACATCTATCTTTTTTTATTTTGAAAAACTTATTTCCACCTTTTTTTTACAACTTGAATGTATCTTAATTTAAGTGTGAAGTATGTGAATTGGCAAAACATAAGAGAATTCCTTTTCTAGAAAATAAGATAAAATGTTTAGTACCTTTCTTTAGTGTTCATAATGATGTGTGAGGACCTACACTCACACTTAGCACTAGTGGAGCTAAGTGATTTATCCCTTTTATTGATGAATCTAAAAGAATGACATGGATTTATTTACTTAAAAATAAATCTGATGTTAGTATGGCAATCATACAATTATGTTCTCTAGTAAAAACTCAGTTTGAGATAACAATTATGAGATTTTGATTAAATAATGCTAAAGATTATTTCAATCAAACCTTAACTTCTTATTTTCAAAAGGAAGGTATATTACATGAGTCATGTGTTTATACACCCCAACAAAATATGGTGGCTAAACGAAAAAAATGGTCATCTATTAATGATGACTAAAACCCTCTTTAGTCAAAACATTCTACCAAAATATTTTTGTGGTGAGGGAGTTCTTATGGCTTCCCACCTTATAAATCAATTACCAACTAAATCATTAAATATTAAAAGTCTAGTTGACATATTATCTTTCATACCAAGAACCTCATATAATCCTATTAAAAATGAACCTCATACCAAGAATATTTACGTATACAGATTTTGTTCATATCCATAAACAACATGGAGACAAGTTAGATCCTAGAGCTCTAAAATATAGTTTTATAGGATACTCCTAGATACAAAAAGGATACTTTTTCTATGATCCTCTGCAAAAAAATTTGAAAGGATGCTACCTTTCAATGAGAACAAAGTGTACTATAACAAATCAAATCATCATGAGAAGGTTCAAACTTTAAATATCTAGAATTAAAGTTTTTACTTCCTACCTCGGATTTATTATCAAATCCCACCACTCTTCCCATTGAATCACTTATTCTTAAACCTATTGATGAAGATCTACCTACCTACATCCAACACCAATATTGTACTCAAAAACTGTTATATCCTATGGAATTTTTTCATCCTATGGCAGATTATCACCTTCATATAAGACCTTTATATCTAACTTAAATTATGTCTCAGTCCCTAAGACTATCTTTGAGGCTTTAACTCATGAGAAGTGGAGATAAGCTATAAATGAGGAGATGGAGGCTTTGGAAAAAAAATATACTTGAAAACTTGTGGATCTACTAATAGGGAAGAAAGTTGGTTCCAAATGGATTTATACAATTATTGTTTAGATGGATCCATAGAAAGGTAAAAAGCCTAGTTAATTGTTAAAGGATACACACAAACTTATAGACTTGATTACTTTGAAACTTTTGTACAAATATTAAAAATAATACGATCAAGATACTTTTGTCATTGACAATAACCTTTTATTAGGATCTTCAACAATTTGATGTTAAAAATGTATTTTTACATGGAGAGTTAAAAGAAAAAATCTATATGAAGGTACCACATGGATATGAGAAGAACTAAGATGCTAATATGGTGTGAAAATTGAAAAATATATTTTATGGACTGAAAAAATCTTCTTAACCTTGGTTTGGTAGATTTATGAAGGTTATACACAAGATGAGATATAAACAAAGTCAAGGTGACCATATTTTGTTTATCAAACATTCATCTTCAAGGAGAGTCACAATTCTAATAGTATATGCTGATGATATAATAGTGACTAAAATGATGACACATAAAAGAAACTTCTCAATAAATGTTTATCTCAATAATTTGAAATGAAAACCCTAAGAAGATTAAAATATTTCATTAGTATCAAAATTGTTTACTCTAAGAATTCTATCTTCCTATCTCAAAAAAAAATATGTGATAGATTTGATGTAGGTAATTGGTAAAGTGACTTGCAAACTAGTTAACTCTCTAATTGAACTTAATCTCAAGCTAAGTGCAACTGAAGAAGACATTGCTGTGGATAAGAGATGTATCAATGATTGGTAGGTAAATTGATCCACTCATCACATTGACTAGACATAGTTTATGCAGTCAATGTAATTAACTAGTTCATGCACAATCAAAAGCAAATGTATTTGTAGGCAACATATTTTACATCACTATCTAAAGGGAGCACCAATGAAAGGAATTTTATTCAAGAAACATAATCATCTAACACTTTAAGTATACACAAATATAGATTATATTAAATCTGTTATAGATCGGCAATTAACATTTAGATGTTGTACATTCCTTACAAGGAATATTATTACTTAAAGTAAGAAACAAAATATTGTAGCTAGATCAAGTGCAGAAATTAATTTTCGTGCTATGGCACAAAGTATTTGTGAGATCTTATAAGTCAATATCATCTTGAAGGATTCAAAGATTAAGATAGATGATCTGATGAAACTTTATTATGATAATAAGTTGGCTATCCCTTATAGAGAAAAAACATGATTGGTATTTACATCCGCTAGTGAGACTAAGTGTCAGTAGTGGTGCAGGCCTCTGATCTCCTCCAACCTTCTCTTATCTGTCCTCTCTTGCAGGGATGACAAAAGCCACGCGAAAGATATGAGATACAACGAATAAAAAAAATAAAAAGATTAAAAACTGTAAGGAGAAAAATAGAGATTCTAACATTCTCCCTAAGGTTGGTGAATGTATGTTGTCCATTCATAGCTTAGAGACAAGATAATAAAAGATGTTGTTTAATCCTTTTGCGAATATATCTACAATCTGATCAGTTGTAGCCATATAAATAGTATAGATCTGCCCACTATCTCATTTCTATTTTATGAAGTGATGATCAATCTCTATGTGCTTAGTTATGTTATGTTGAATAGGATTATGAGTAATAAAAAATTGAAGGTTTTTCTTCTAATACAATTTGGACATTTAATAGTTGTTTTCTGATACATATATTCAGCATAAATGTGAACATGTCGTTCAGATGGGGTATTCCCTTCTTGCTCATACTTCTATTTCATCCAATGGCTCCCTTTGAAAGCCTTACCACCACACCGAATGTTATTAATTTAAATCCTCTTTCTGCCCTTCCTACAAGGTCACCCTTTACCTAATGTTTCCCACTGCATACATGTTTGCGCAGGTTTGGTGAACACGTGTGTGGGCCTTGCTAGGCATGTGTGGGCAGGTTTGGGGAAAGAGGACCCTTGCCCGGAACGTGATGCAGAAAGTTGAATGCGCGAACGGGTTGAACTGGTTTAATAGTCCGACCTACCACGCTTTGGCCCAATACACCAGGGAGACTGCATGGGCTATCTAAATGGGGTCTCACTCGGCAGCTCGGAGTCTGGTAAGAAAAGACTCCTCCTTTGCCGGCCTGACGAGACAGGGTGTCCGGACTTCATATGACAGAACCGGGGAGCACGAAGATGATGTGCTTACCTCGTTGAACTGATGTTTCGTGGGCCTCCTGAAAAAGGTCCCTTGAACACCTCGCCCGTTGGGACCGCAACCTTTGTCCGAAAGCTTCAGGAAAGATATCAAGGTTGAGGGTGGGACCCATATATTTAATGTGAGAGAGAGACAGAATATTTGGCCCCTGCCGTCGTAAGCCACTATCCCTAACTATGACCTGGTCCAGGACGAAGGCATGCCCAGTCAAAACGGGCAGATGTCCTCCTCTTGCAGACACGAGGTGTCTCTTTCTGTCCCCACCCTATGGAAGCTTCTTTGACTCGGTCTATCTCTCTCTCTCTCTCGCTCTAGGCCAGCCCAATATTCGTACCGTCACACCAACGCCGTGATTACCACCTCCATCGGTTCCTTACGTAAAGTTACATAACCTCGACGACTGTGTTGACAACCGCTGGCGATCGTGCGCCTCAGCTCGCCGGGTTGGGGAAAATGCTGATGGCGACGATGAGGTGCGGAGGGAGAGAAGCAGAGTTGGTCAGCATATTTGACGGGGAAGAAACAGGAGAAGAGAAAGGGGCCTTGGAAGGTGGGAATTTGGGCAGAAGAAGAGACAGTGGGGATGGAACCCTCCGGCGACTGCGACGCCACCGGTGGCGCTGGCACCCCGCGGAAGTCCCTCTGGCGCTCCGCCTCCTGGTCCACCAGGTCCCCTACCTCCGTCACCGACACTACCCGTGCCACGACTCTCTCGCGGGAGCCCGCCACCACCACCACCAAGCTCCGCCCGTCTATCCACCTCCCGCCCCTCTCCGTCTCTCGCTACTCCCAAGCCTGGCCCCGCGCCGCCGCTGCCGACACCTCCAATTCGTCTCCGGCGGCCTCCTCGCTCGTCGACGGCGACCTATCCCGGATCACCGACTACATCTATCTGGGAGGCGACGCCGCCGCGCGCGACCGCAATCTGCTGCGCCGCCACGGCATCACCCACGTACTCAACTGCGCCGGGTTCTCCTGCCGAGAGCGATTCACAGGGGATTTCCACTACAAGACGCTTTGGCTTCGCGACCAGCCTGGCGAGGACATCTCCTCCCTTCTCTACGACGTCTTCGACTTCATCGAGGAGGCCCGCGCCGCCTTCCGCGGTCGCGGACGGACCCTTGTGCACTGTTCTCGCGGGACCTCCCGCTCCGCCGCCCTCGTTGTGGCATACCTAATGTGGCGCCTTGCCCTCTCGTTCGACGACGCCCTCAACCTCGTTCGGGCCTCCCGCGTCGAGGCAGACCCCAACCCTGGATTCGCCGCGCAACTCCTCCAGCGCCAGCGTCTGCTCTTGGCCTCCCCCCCGCCCACACTGTGGCCAGACATCGCGCGGCGGGTATACCGTATGGCGCCGCACTCGGCGTACGATCCGCTGCACTTGGTGCCTAAGACGGTGGATCGCCCGGGGCCGGCGGAGCTGGACTCGCGGGGGGCCTTCCTGGTGCACGCGTCGAAAGAGGGCAGTGGTGCAGTATACCTGTGGGTGGGGACGGAGTGCGAGCGCACCATGGTGGAGAGCGCGGCCGCGGCCGCGCAGCAGGTCCTGCGTTACGAGCGGGCGATGGGGCCGATCGTTGTCGTCGACGAGGGGGCCGAGCCAGCCGATTTCTGGGATGCCCTCGGCTGTGATCTATCTGCGGTGGCGAGAAAGAGGATGGAAGCGTACGATCTCGATTTCGAAATTCACAAGAGGGCTCTCAAGGGTGTGCCAACGGCGGCGGTGGCCCCGACGCCGTTGCCTGGGATCGGGCGGACGATCCCCGCCGTCGACCCTGAGAGCGGTGAAGACAGTGATGCCGCAGTCCCCTTCGGCTCTCCAAGCACCTTCTCCGGTGGCTCGGTCACGCCATCATCTTCGTCGGACACCTCTAACATCCACACCTCTCCTACATCATTCACTTCAGATTGGTACAATTCGTCTCCCGGCTCGGATCTCTCTTTTAGGGATGTGCAATCTCTTTCACCTCCTGCTCCACCGCTGCCGCTTCGTGTTCCCTCTCTCGTTGACGGCGGAGTTACTCCGTTAATGATGCGACCGCATGGAGGAGTGGGCGACAACATTGGGGATACCGTCATGGACTGGGCTTTCTCTCCTTACCGTGTCGGAAGGGAGGAGGACGACGCCGTAGCGATGAGCATTCACAAGGAAACAAAATCAGAGCTCCACCAGGCTGTCGAAGCGGAGGGGGCTACGCTCTACCATTGGCAACCACTTTCGGAGACTGTAAATATCGTGCATCCTGCGGTGCTCGACTCCGAATCAGTTTTTCTTCTGCTAATTCCTGCGAGGGGGATGGGCACCCATGGAGCTAAGAGAGTATATGTTTGGGTTGGAAGACGTTATTGCTTGACACGGAGCGGCAGCGGTGGTGCTGGGCGCAAGGGAGACGACGACCGGGATAACTTTGAGAGGATAGGTCATCACTTCCTCAATCAGATGATGCTTCCTATGGATGTCTCTGTACAGGTACGCAACGAATGGTTTCACTTTCTCAGCAGATCCTTCTATAATCTGGATTAGAGTAGATACTGCTCCATGTCCAAAGTCTGGTCTCATAAATTTCCTTGAATTCTGTTGTTTGATGCTCATGACTTTCCCAAATCCTGGGTGGGGAGGCCGTGCTCACCTTGAAGAATAAGTTGAATCTCATGCTTCCATAAACTCTCTTAGCCTCATGGGTACCCATCCCCCTCTCAGGTTGCGGGTTGATGCTGAACTGTGCTCAAGTGTAAGAACATTGCACTGTTTTCCCTGAGTCAAGGGAAAGATTGAATGTTGCTCGTAGCATTTCCAGGGGTTGTGAAAATCTTGTTAAGACTAGCAGGAGACTTCTTAGCTGTAAGAGAGGTGTTTATTCCAAGCTTTCCTGGTTAGCAGTGCATAACCAAGGAATCGAATCCACACCAGTTTCAGCTTTGATTTGTAACTCCACTTTAATTCAGAGAAACCGCCAAAAGCCTGTACTCTCCCACTGCATCAGAATATGTATTTTTGCACTCCAGCAAACTGGGCGCAGAATACGTTTTCAATGGCAAATTGTTGTTTCACCTCACAAGGAAGTTTCATCTTATTCAGTAGATACTCTCCATCTTATGACGCGTGATCTTTATAGACTGTACAACAATCATGGACCAACTGGGCTGTCTGTTGAAGCCGTTTCAGGGCTTTTTTTCCTTCTGAAGTCTCCTTGTATGAGGCACCACTTGGTTATGTCGGGTCTCCCCATGCCCTCTCAATTGAAGCCGGAGTCAATGGCCATGTCTTCTGATGCATGGTCACACTCTTCTCTATGGTAAGAGATCTGTCTCTTGATGACAGAATGAGAATTGGATTTCTTTGCTGACCTGCTATGTCTCCTGTGAGGACCCTGACCCGTCCCTGAGTTATGTTTATCCCTTTATTAAGGGTTCAGGCCTGAACTCATAACAGGTGCCTAGTCATAGAAGGGTTTATTTTTCTCCTACTTTTGACCGCATAATCTTAGTCTTGAGCTGCGTCAAGTAGTGTTCATTTAGCCTGTAGGGGGGGTTTCAATTGTGCAGCAGTCAATGTAATTCTTCATTAAGTTTTACCGGACAGATTGCTATTTCTATTCTTGCACATGCCATCCCTTAACTGATTGGCTGTTTATAGAGGACTAGCCTCTGTTTGTCAAACATCCTCATTGGAAACCAGGCAGCTGCTTTCATTGGGTCAGGAACTTACGAAGTACCTTTTCTCTTTGAGCTCTTTGATCAGTCATCTCTTACATTGGCCACCATCTTCTAACAAAATGCTAGAAGTCTAGCCAAAGTCGATTGGCTTTTGACGTCAGCTTTTGAAGCTTCCATCCTTTGGGCTGTAAAAGCACAAGTTCCAGTGTAACTGTGACTAGAATTCCTTATTTCATTTTCTTTGGGGTTTAGAATGAGCTGAGTTCCTTAGAAAGCAGGGTTTCAAGCCATTGAGCCAAACAACATGCTAGCTGAAATCTATTTTACCCAATCAGCGCTCTAAATTCGAATATTTTACAATTAACTCCAATTACATGGAACTGAGCCCTATATCATAGTGTGTGTACTATATCATAGTGTGTGTACTATATACACTTATACAGTGACACTCAATAAATGGAAAATTTCTAGCCTAATCATACTATATTAACAAGGACCTAAAACTGTTCGTTCTTGTGTCAATAAATGTCATTAAACTTGTCAGATGTGATTAACCATAATTTTATGACATTCAAGAACACCTCTGGTTGATTATAGTGTTTTTAAATTTAAGATTAGTTTGGATTCGAGTTTAAGGTTTTTCTTATATCCATGGTTGTTGGGAAGTGAATCGGCATGTATTTACTTGCTTTTTTTCATCTAAGAAGCATAATTGCTTTCTTTTTCTGTGTTTCTGGAAGGCAACTAATAGGATCAAAGGTGTGAAAGCTAGGGAAGGAATCACAAAGTTCTGTTTATTCTGTTATTAGACAGGTCAAAGATAATTATTGAATCAGGGAAATAGCTTACTAACGAAAATCGCATTCACAGTAATACAAAGGGAGTGAATACTTGAGAATCGTTCCTGAAGGTCAGAAATTACAAACTATCTAGATGAAAGATAAAACGAGGGGGATGAGAAATGAAAGATTATTTGTCTTAAAGGTGATTAAATTAGTCCATGGCCCTTACATGGTAGAGAAAATATAAAAGCTTTCTATGACGCATAAACCTTGTGATTCAGGCGCTCATCAATCCGTTGGGTGTTTTGATCGATTTTTTAGCCGAGTCAGACCTTTTCTTGATGTCGAAGGTGATAAAACAGATGAATTGAGAAGAGCGTGCACCAAAACTGGTTTATGAAGTTAAAGATGCTATATCAACTGAGTAGTAGGAATGATGCTGATACTAATATGGGTTTAATTCTTTGCCTTAGTGAAAATGTGCTTTTCCCATGTTCTTTGTTGTGCAACTGTACTTAGATATGATATTTCTATGGAGATCTTGACAACTGGGCATTGTATGCCAGAAACTGTGAACTTCCTCAGCGGAACGCTATGCAGGCTATGAGATATCTAGATGCCACAATACAAGCCAATTGTTTTTGCAGATTAATGTGTAATTGGCCCCTTCTGAAGTAATCTTAGCCTTGAGACATTTAGTTTTCACTTTTAGATTATTTGATGATAATAAAAAAATTGAACTTGACTAAAAAAAATATAGACCTGAGCAAAGTTCAAGACGTGTGAAACACAAAGGTCTGACAAGCCTTCGTCCTTTCCTGTTAGCACCTGTGGACTTGATGGATGAAAAGTATCTGTTTCCTACCTGTTTTTCAAGCATCTGGTTGGTGGAATTCATGTACATTGGTTGTAATTGTTTGTGGAATTAAACATTCTCCCGTATAGTTGATAGAATTTAATATGTGCTCGTAATAGTTTGAAGATTTCATTTTTGCATTCTTTTTAGCTTGAAATTGTTCTCTATATGTTTTTCTTCTCATATTTTTTGGTTCATGTATTGGTCAACAGGTTGTCAGAGAGAACGAGGAGCCTGAGGAATTTCTCAGTCATCTGTTCACTTTTCACCCGGCTAAAAATAGCAGGAAGCTTTAGCAGATAAAAACATAGTTGATACGAATTCATGAGACTCTTGCAATGAATTTGCTTCCATAAAGATCACAAATCCAGTAAACATTCAATTATTAGGCGGATGTGCAGCACAAACTTCAGGCCATCTCTGAGGACAACTCCGCCTGCCAAACTTGGGCTGATGGGAAGTGGACTTGCCCTTGGTTTGTTTCACTAGGCCTCTTGACTACAAGAAACAGCAACACAACCAGCGCCAATGGTGTTGGAGTTACAACAAAAATAAAATTTCTTGGGATAACTCCTTGTCAATATTGCTTATGGGAGTTCACTCTCCACCTATGCTGCCTTCTCGTCTCATTAGCCATGGATTATCATTTGAACCTTTGACTGTAGAAGTAATCCCTCTTTGTCCTTCATCCTAACTGTTGACATATATCTCTAATATCTCATAGGGACTGTAGTAGTTAGTCGAAGCTTACCTAGCTCATTCACGTGCTTAGTTGTAGTTAGTCTAAGCTTACCTAGCTCATTCACGTGCTTAGTAGTAGTTAGTCTAAGCTTACCTAGCTCATTCACGTGCTTAGTAGTAGTTAGTCTAAGCTTACCTAGCTCATTCACGTGCTTAGTAGTAGTTAGTCTAAGCTTACTTAGCTCATTCACGTGCTTAGTAGTAGTTAGTCTAAGCTTACCTAGCTCATTCATGTGCTTAGTAGTAGTTAGTCTAAGCTTACCTAGCTCATTCCTAATTGCTTGCTCGACAGTATGTCTCTAATATCTCATCAGGACCGTAGCATTTGTAGTCTTTCCATGTCAAGTGCTTAGTAGTAGTTTGTCTAAGCTTACCTATGCTTACTTTGATTGTCATCGTCTACAGTAAGCGACTTTCTCATTGTAAAATCACTCTATTTGCTCAAAGGGTTTATTCCTCGTACATAGAATTATGTTTATGGAGGGGAGGCCAACCTCAACAAGGTTCTGAGCCCATTATATTTTTGGTGAAGAGTCTTCATTGTTTTTCCTTGGATTACCTCACTAGTCCTTGATTGGACAGCATAATACTGTGGAGCATGAGAGTTGGTGGTGCAAGTATCCCTTAGATGGGGTGATGCATGCCTCTACATGCATGCCATATTCCCCCACCTAGTAGTGCCACATGTCATCGGAGTTTTGTTGGCTTCAGAAGTTTTGATTTTCTTAAAAGATTTTGATGATGACAAACATGCATAACAAAGTTAAATGTATCTAATTATGATTATATTTTTTTTTGTTATATGTGGGAATATTTCAACATATGGTTAGGCTACATTAAGTATAAATTTATTGAAAATATTATTCATATTAGTTTAATGATTGTGTTTGACATTCACTTGGAACTAGGAATAACAACAAAAAATCTACTCAAAATCATTACTTACGTCAACATCTTCAATGAAAATGAAAGAGAAAAAATCACATTATATAATTGACAAAGAACTATCATTGTGAAAGTTAAAAACAAAAATAAGTATAGGAATACAAATAACCTTATGAAGACTAAAATTTAGAAAAATGTAGGTCACAAAAAGGATCTTAGATGATTTAAAAAGTGTTGAGTTTGATGTATTCTCCATCAAGATGAATACTTTCATAGGGAAGGCAATACAATATTACCAAAAGAGAGTTTTGGGACACATCAAAGAATTAGGGCTTCACTCTTTCTTCAAATAGTTGGGTCTAGTTTTAACTAGACCCCTTGGCATGGTTACATTAGGCTGCTCAATGTTGGGCTGAAAGGAGATAATGTCTAATGACGCTCCCACTCAAGCTAGTGAATGTATAACGTCCATTCCTAACTTAGAGACTAAGTGTCAAAATGTGTGCTGATGTAAGCTTTTAGTTAGTACATCAGTAATATGATTTTTTGTGGCAAAAAAATATTTGTTAATTTTTCCTCTCATACCATTTTTTGTGAAATGTTTGTTGATCTCTTAGAGCTTGGTGTGATCATGTTTTATAGGATTGTGAGATATGTTCATGAAAGATTTGGTGAAGATTTGTTTTCACTCATTAGTCAATCATGGTAGACCTTTAGATCTTATAATATGATCTTGACCCATAGCAATTTACGTACACTTCGAGCCTTCACTCTAAATTCTACCTATGTGCTTGATGTTGCTATGACACTTTGTTTTCTTTCTCAATGTGATGGGTTTTTTCTTTGAGAAAGATGCAATATCCAAATGTAGATCATCAATCAATTATAAAACTTGAAAAATCACCGTAAGTATAAATCTCAACTTTAAAACCACTTCTTCATTTAAACAATATACTTTTGTAGATTTTACCCTTATGATAACATGATAGTTGATAGATTGTATTTGGGTGTATTTATTTGGGGTTTTGCATGAATTGACTAACTATACTTGTGGGATAAATTATATCAGGTCATTTATGTAAGAGATTGATCAGTCACCTAACCAACCATTGACACATCACCTAGTCCACTTTGTTGGCTTCATCTATATCACCATGTTTGACATTGGCATCTAAGAGAGTAATAGATGGTTGACAAGTTGTCATGTATGTCTTCTTCCAAAGGTCCATAATATATTTGTGCTTAAGAATAAATATAACATTTCTTCAGTGAGTTAATTCAATTTTTCTAGTGTTTTTATTTCAACTTCTATTTTCAAGTACTGATTTAAATGCTCTTTTTATTTATCATCATTTCTAGTTATGATGATATCATTGAGATACATTAACAATATGACAGGTTTATTTGAAGATGCATGTTTCATAAAGAGTTTATAGTTTCCTTGATTTATACCCTAGTGCATGCATAACTTGCAAAAGGCATTCAAACCAAGCTCAAGGTAGTTGTTTTAGTCCAAATAAGGATTAAATACAATGTTCACAGATAAGTTTGCTGTATATCTTGTGGGTCCTTGATAAACACTTTTTCACTTAATTCTACATAAAAGAAGATATTTTTGTCAAAATATCTTAAATTCAAGTTAAAATTTTTAAGTAATAAATTCCATAACTTTATGTATATTCCTTTACAACTAGGTGGGTTTGTATCATTCTATACTTACATCAATTGTGTATTTCACCATGTAACCTCATTTGCAACTAATGGGTCTTTTTGTTGTTGGTTATGTCACTAGTTCCTAAATTTTCTTTTCTCTAAGGCATCCATCCCTTTATTCATAGCTTGTTTTCATTGTTTACTAGAGAGTGAATCATAAATAAATTATGTGATAGTAATATTATTAAAGTTAGTAATAAGGCTCTATGAGAGGGTGATAGATGGCCATATGATAGTGAGGGTCTTTTATATATGCTACTATATTCCTTAGCTTTTTTTCCTAAGGGCAATACATAAATCATCATTTCCATAAATAGGTAGATTAACACTCTCATCATCTTCATGGCATTAGTTTTCAAGAGGATTTGACTCACATTTAACTTTAATAGTAATCTCTAGGTGCAGTTCTTGGACATATGTAGATTCAAGTTAATTGATGTTGGTATGACAACTTGTGTGAGATAGAGATAGAGATAGAGATGAGCTGTCTCTCAAAATAATACTAGGCTATAGAATAGGGGTGGATAAGTTTATCAATAGAGTATTCTCTTTAGAATTTTAAACTACCTGAATTTTGATCAAGATGGATGATAATCTACTTGCAAAAATTTGCATTTACTAAGTATTGTGATTCACTAAATTTTATTCATTGATGATTCTTTTCTTCTATGACTTGTGAAATCATTATACTCAAGAATGTGAGTTGTTCAATACTAAGAATTTGAGATCATATCAAATCGAATTTAGGCCTTAATCTCACTAAGAACTCATATGTACTTTATTTCTCTAATGAATCTCAATAAGCACTGACATTTATAGGGTTTCTCACTTTCACATTTGTGTACTGATCATATTCATGCCACAACAACTATAATTGATTATCATACTTTGATATAGATCTATCTGTCTTATATTTATAGTCCTCATTTCGAATTTGAAGATTTGTGATTCATCCTTTGCGTTTGAAGTCGTAATTTTAGTGATCATTCCACTCAACAACCATCCAGCATTCCTAGAATCTAGTCTATCCCATGCTGTAAACTTCATCTTCTTGTTGTGGCCTTGTGATCCATAGGTGATTCAGCATTCCTTTTCCATTCATTTCTAGTTTGATATACTGAGGCAAATCAAAGTAGTTATTTTTCATCTAATTTTTCTATTTGTGAAGTATTTGGTAGTTCCATGAACACTTGAAGCTGATCGCTGGCTTCAACTCATTGATACATTGAAGTGTTAATGGTGTTTCACATTGAAGTAAGTTGTATTCTACAGAGCACTCGTGTGGTTTGAATCAAAAAGTTAAGATCACTAGAGAAGATTAAACATTAACAGAAAAAAAGAAGTATTGTGGTGACAGAATGGAAACTCTAACACTGGAAAAATCAGTACTGATGAAGAGAGATGCTTAGGACAAAATCAACATAACATGAAAGGAATAATCACACCTAAGCTTTGATACCATGTTAACTTTGATGTATTCTCCATCTAGATCAAAGTTGTGTAAATAGACTTTCATTAGAAGAGAGTTGGACTCATAAAAAAATTTGGGCTTCACTTTTTCTTATAATAGTTGGGATCTGATTTTAACTAGACCCCATTACTTTGTTGGGCTGAACTGCTACATGTTAGGCTGGTCCAATTTAAGAAGAAAAAAAGGAAACAGACATCAAAATGGGATGTCGTATGATAACAATAAACATAAATTCTGATCATATTGAGGAGCTTCAAGGCTATTCCAACAATGAGAAGACAATAAGCTGATGAGCAATTCTTAATCAAAAACTTAATTACCTTCAATCAAATTGCAACGATAAATGAAAAGGATGTGAAAAATCAAGTACAAGTCAATTTATACTTTTAGTTGAAATTTGAAAGGAACTAAGCACTTTGTAATCAGCAGTGGTAGATTGCCAAATTATCAAAAGCCAAGCATTAGGTATCCTTGGAAAAGTGGAAATTATATAGTGTTGTGCAGTTCCACGTCAATGTTATAAAATGACATATTGGTTCATATGCTAAAGACCTTTAAGGTTCTTGTGAAGCTTGTTCTATCTCCCTAGAGTTATCACTTGAACCACACATGGTCACATGGTAGCCTCCTTTCTTCTACATGTTTTGTGTCATGCCAAAGTGTGTTTCTTTTCTCTGTCTATCCCAATAGTATCCTCGAGGTTACAATGCACCTCCCTTGAAACCTTGCTCCATCTTAACAATGCTGTTTGCCTAAGCCATGGATGATGCACGCACAATCAACACAAGAGATGAATCGATTCTTAATATATTAATCATCCTTTTTATTTTTCTATCTTCAAAATACTGTCATAAATGAATCTGACGAAATCAAGAAAAGAGGTAAAGACACATCATTTCATAAACCGTTCAGCTGCACCTTGGACTATGTTCACTTCTGAAATCACTATTTTAGTTTCACAAATCTCATTCCAATAATATAACTATTTATATGGGATTAGCACCCTTTTCCAACATAGATTTTGTGAGTCTATATCACTCATTAGATTTCTAGGATTTCTAGCAACACACTACAGCAAAAGCTCCATGAGTCTCTCTAGCAATCTATATAGCATAAGTTCTATGAGTCTATTTATCTACTAGATTTAAAGATCTAGTCAACCTTTCCAACAGGTAATAAATACTTCAAGAATTCTTCATCGTTTCCATTCGCAACATAAATGATAACAAATATTCAGCTCAATTGTACCGTCATCTTCTTGAAGAATACAATAGCTGGCTGCAGAAGAAGGCAGATGAGGATGAAACCTTTAAAGATGCCGAGCAGTAGTTAATCTTCTGGTGTTGCAGGTGTTTGGAGGTGTGGAATGCGGCTAGGCTTCTTGTAGGATGGGGGAGATGTCTTGAAGACTCGCCACGAATGAACAAAGAGAAAATAGATGGAAAAAGAGAAAAAGATAGATTGTGACAAATAATGATCATACGTTGAAAAAACAGACAGAATGTGAGAAACAAACGGAAGATCACGGTGGAAAATTTGAAACAAAAGAGGAGAAAACAAATGGAAAATTGCGACGGAAAATAAGCAATGAACGAGGAGAAACAAACAAGAGATCATGAGGGAAAATACGGATAAACGTTGAGAAAGAGACGTTAGATCATCATGTAAAAGATAGAGGGGCAAAATAGGAGAATGATCACGACGGCCACTCAAATTTTTGCTGCAGAAGATGAAGAGAAAGAGAGAATCAACTTGATGAGCCGTCTGCTTTACTGCCTTCTCCATTTACTCTTGTTGAGTAGAGAAAGAGAAGCGGATGGAGGAACCATACTCAGCGTCATCTTCCTCCATTCATTCATACTGAGAAGAAGGAAAACGGCTCTGTGAGCCATCCTCTGCGCCATCTTCCTCCATTCATTCTTGCTAAGTAGATAAAGAAAAACAGATCGGTGGATCCTCCTCCGCGCCGTCTCTCCTGCCTGGACCTCCAAAGAAAACGAACAGAAGACAAAGGAGAAGGATCATTTTATTGACTCACGTCACCTTCGCTAGATCAAGCCTATCGAGGGGTTGGATACCTATAGATGTTCACGGGGCTGCCTTATACCATGGACCAGCATGATACGCCATGTAGATATGTACAGGAACATATTGCGACACGGTAATGTGCACTACATGTCGATCAAAATGGATCTGTGCAATGCGATTTCATAGAGTCAGTTACGGCAAGCGTGCTGGACGGAAGGCTGGTGTGGGGGCCTCTGTTTGAGAGCCCAATACTCTGACTAGGACAAACGTAATGCTTGTCTGTGTTGGCAACCATGCTGAAGAAATGAAAAGGCATGGAATCCTTAGGCTGGACACATGTATGGATCATTCATTTCCAAGGGTTTGGGTTACGTAAAGGGATCCGGAAGCGACAGACGACCGCCAGGAACCGACGTCACCCCGAACGGATGCGTCGTTTTGTCTTGGAAAGGCCGCCGGACAGAGATTTACACTCGTCAGCGGGGGCGAAGGTATCCAATACCATTCCGCTCCTTTTTCTTTACTCTTTCTCCCCAAGCCCTAGCGTAACGTTCCGTCACTCCCATCGTAGCCCATTCGCCGTCAGCATTCCCCTACTGCAGTTCCCGGAGGGGGCTGCTGCTCCGTCAACCGTACCCTCGTTTTTGTTCTGTGAACGGCCCCGAGTACGACGTAAGGTGCATCATGGACCCTGCGACTTCCTATGACGTAGCTTTGGCAATAGGCAGCCGCTCAGAGTCTCCTCAACCTCCTGCACCTATGGCGGAAGTGACGATGGAGCCCTCCGTGGTACCCTGCGATCCTTACCCACCAGGAATGCTTCTTAGGGAGACCAAACAGGAAGTCCCCAGCCTTGAGTATGACGTGAAGGATAATCAACCAGATGCAGGCGGAACTTTGACGTCAAACATGGTTGGACGAATATCGGGGTCAGAGCACGTTATGCAGCCACAAAGTGGGGAAAGAAACTCATTCATTTCTATCACACCAGTGATTTCACGGGCGACCAAGGTAAAGCCCCCACCGACATGGTTGCCCGATGACTGGTACTACGAAGACATCGAGAGGAAATCGGGTAGATCAATTGGTAAAATAGACCGGGTACTCCTCTGAACCTAGTACCTTATTTGGTACAGACACTCCTGTTTCGTGTTAACTACTTTCCTGAGCATCTTGTTTTACAATTGCATGTCCCTTTCTCTTAGATTATGCCTGTCAATATGTTTCTTATACAATTATGTTCAAAGATTTCTTCGTCGAGACATAACGGTTCTAGGTAGTGTTGGGCCTAGCAACATGGGGGGGTGGGGGTGAGGAAGGAGGTGGCGGTATTGAATTTGTGCGTACTCAGCGACAGACTCAGATGAGCTATACCACTGGTTCAGGTAGTTGTGTATGTGGGTACTATGAGTTGCGATGCAGAAGTATTTCCAGACAACCTGAGACTTCGGAGAATCCCACCTTCGGCTCACAATAAAACTGCACTATAAATCATGGGTACTATGATATGCTATACCCTAAGGTTACCCTCAATAATTTCGAGAAAACGGATAATAGTTCGTGATTGTGGAACGATGATGAGGAAATCTTCTCTTCACCTATATCATCATCATTTCTTCATAGAAGTGTTGCACCTGACCCTCAGTCTTGGCTCTTCCTGTTTGAACATATCTTCTTGAAGGTCATTACTAAGCAAAGCACAATCCACTGGTGCCAATTCAGATGGGACAGAAGTCTCAAGATATATGTGCTTTCGGTAACGTTTTTGCCTAGAGAAACTAAGACTAAGCCATTGGCAACTAGGCTTGCTTGCACAACAAAATGTTTCTCTTAAAAAGTTCATTCCCTTTAATCTTCATAATATTTGTTCTTACTACAGTAAGATAGCTGTAACTATTTCAACTTTTACTAGTTTAGCCATCATCTAATAATTCTATTGTTAATCCATAATCATTAGATTTTCTTCTCTAAGACAAACTCTTCTCCTTATTCATATTGGACATAGTTTGTTTCAAAGGTACACAATTAACTTCAAATCTTGTAACCATCTTTCTATGGTAAGAATTGCTCAAGTAAAATTTGTAGTGTCTTTCTTGACTTTCTATTTCCATTTCCATGCAATTGATGATGTTAGTAGAAAGGTCATGGTAACTTAGTCATTTTAAGCGCCCATAGTTTTCTAGTGCTGAGATAGCATGCAATTTTGACCACCATGTGGAACCTAATTCCATCACCACCACCAAATTGGCATGAAATTTTTCTCAATTTTATTTATGATTTTTTAGATATTGGCATTGTCTTATGAGCCATACTAAAGGATGATGCTCAAATCATTTGTCCTTGGTTCAAAACTATTGTTGAAGTGAAGTTTAGTAACCCATTAAACATATCAAAGTAGTAAATCTTTATCATCTGAAAGTACACGTTCATTTGAAACTATGCCGTTTTGGTTTAATCAATGTAAAATAATGATTGAAGAATTTATTCTTTTCTTTTCCTAGTATGTTTCTCTAAGAAATTTTACTTCTCTAACTACATATAAATCCTATTAAACTACAACAGCCTCCCATTATCTTTATATTATTGTGCTAATCTTGCATCTTGTAGTATTCCCAACTAGAACGAAAACCAGTAGAATAAATGTATTTATCTACAAAAAAAATTATTTAGTTTCACAAATACTTTGAATGCTACTCAATTCCTTAATACAATTTTTACATCTAATGGCATCTATGTTCCATTTAAGGGTTTTAATATAGACACACCATTCATACACATTATTTTTCTCAACATTTCTGTATGTTGAGACTTGCATAATTGATATCACTTGGAAAACATTCTAAACTATGATATATTCCACATTATCCACTATCCGAGTTCCAATATAGGTCCCGATTCTTTATAACTAATACCATTTTTATACCTTAGATATCACAACCACAAAGGTATGTTGGCTAACTAGGGTAGGATAGAAGTTCAAGAAATGTGGGAAGGTTGTTTTGGGGTTTCCTATCAAACCACATGAGAAGGTATAGATTGTCAAAGAAAGTTTGAACTTCAGACTCTTAGTAGAATGTGTAGGGAATTCGTGAGTAGACTGATAATGTTGATTTTGAGGATCATTTTGTAGTGTACACCAAAAATGAACATAGGTTAAAGAATTTGGTCTAACGGGCCAAATTAAAGTCTTGGGCTAAACATTTAGGCTTGAATGAAGAAGATGTCATCAACATATATTTCAACTATCAACGCATGATTTTCCTTAGTTTAAGGTTTTTTGTTAATTTTGACACAAGATTATGCTCTTTTGAAATTATGAAACCAAGGAATTGTTGGCTACTAATCTTCTCTTATTATTAAAACTTTTCCTTCCAAAACTAACTTATTTTTGAATACCCATTTGGTGCTAGTTTTAGATCTATTTAAGTAAACATAGGGTCAAAAACTTTGTAATTTAAAATTTATCCAGCTCTTCTCTCATTGATCAAATTTAATTTTTATTCTCTAATACTTTCTCTGAATTTTGGAGGCTAGTGCAAATTAAGTATGCTCTTTTCTAATCTAAGATTTAGTTTTCACTCTTTCAACATTTCTTATGATGTGATCCTTTGGATAATTTCTTACAAAATTTCAAAATTTTACTAGATCATTTTTCCTTGTTAAATGATTGATTTGAGGAAGTTTTGCATCTTCTTTAATCAATATTTTTCTGAAATTCCACCTTAAGAATATATTGTTCATCTGTAGGAATCTTTCTTACTATTATCTTTAATAAAATTCATCTTAATTTATTCTACAACAACAATGGTTCATTTGTTGAAAATTATACAAGCTCAAAAGTTATTTGAATATCCCAGAAATATACCTTCATTATTCACATCAATTTTTTTATAGTTTTTCAATTGTGTTGTTAAGATTAGGACATTTAAATAAAAAAGGCTTAAGATATCCAATATTTAGGTTATTACCCTTGATCATGTAGCATGCTGTATTAATTGATGCCACCCAAAGGTATCTTGGCATTTTTTCCAGTTAGTATTGTCTTAGAAATATGCAATAAGCTTATGTTTTTTGTCTCTAAGACACCATTATTCTTTGGAGTTCATGTAATAAATGGTTCATGCAATATTTCATTGTTATCATGAAATTTAAGACAACTCAAAGCTTCTTCTAGACTATAAATCATCCATAATCAAAGCTCATAAATTTTCTTATCTAGATTTGGTATATGAAGAGATCTATTTTTGATTTCTATAGGTTGGGCTTTTATTTTTTTTATGCACTTTTTAAATTCATCTTATATTATCATCCTATGTTGTACATTTTATTATTGTCAAACCATCATTTCCTATCAACTATATTATGAAAAACCATTACTTTCTTTCCTATAGTATACTTGCCAAAATATCTTAAGCTTACCACATGCAAGCAACTTACCACCAACCTACTACAAACTAGCCAATCTATACATTCATTCTCTTAACTTTCGTATGCATGTTGAAACATCTATTATGTGATTTTGAATCAAAACTTTGAAGAGTTATCAGATTTTTCCCTTAGGAATAATAGAGTAATATAATTTTAGACATCAATGAAGGTGTGTTATGTTTTTGCAGTATTATTACCAGAAGGGATTGAATCGAAAATTCAGGTCAATGTTAGAAGTGCTATCATACATCAAACTTCAAAAGGAACAAACTGAATGCGAAATGAGGAAGATCAAGTCCACCACATCTACCAATAAAGGAACTTGTTTTCCTTCAATCATCCAAGTTAAACATCTCATGTACTTTTATGTAGGTTTCTTCATCATGAAGTTGCATAATCCTCTAATCTATACTTCACATGTCCATTGTAGGAAATTGATGCAACTTCTTGCCAAACTTGCAAAGGTATGTTAATATTTCCACAAGGGCAAACATTTTATCATATACCTATCCCAAAGACTGGAGTAATGAAGGTGTGGGACAAAACAAAAGGATGCCATTCAGATTCCTTCACAAATATGATCAGGTTATAATTTCAATTTTCCTCTCCATTTACTTGTTGTAAATACACCTTGGGTAGATTACAATATCACTTGCATCTTTTATTTCATCATTACATAATGCTTTTATTCAAGAAATTAGCCACATTAAACTTCTAAAATTCACATTTAAATTATTCAAATGTATTGGTTTCTCTATGTTTTTTTCCCAGCTAACAAAGTGAAATTGTCAGAGTATGTGACACAAGCAATGTTGGATCGACTTCTGGTGTGGATATACCTTCTTCATCCATTAAGGCCGAAAACACTTGGCAAGGGCATCATTGTCACCACTCAACATCAAAAGAGACTCGCAATTAGCATTTATTTTCATTCATGATTTCTACTGAGGTATCAAGCAATCTTGTGTGCATGCAGTACATTAAACAAATTACTGCACAAGAATTATGAAATAAATAGTTTTTTTTCTCATAAATAATATCCATAATGATGCTTCATTATGGATATATATACATTTTTTCTTATGTTGCAGTGTTTATTAATTGTACTAAATGAGTGAATATAAGTCCCAAGAGTAAGACCCCTCAAAGGAAAGGCATACTCAAGGGGTGTTGAGCTATTATACAAATCATGGGTGATATTTTAAAAGTTGGATTAATCTTGGGTACATGAATGGTTGAATTGCTTTGACCTAAATTATTTATGCTAAAAAGGAAATAGATAAAAGATTTACTACACCACATGATATTTTGCATTTGTTTGGTCAAGCCCCATGTCTACTCTTCCAAGCCTCCCCCCAAGTACTTTAATTATGTCGATGTTGACAAAGTACCAATTATACCTATATTTTAAAGCCTTTATTTAGTTGAGTAAATGACTTAAAAATCTTCTTGCACATGTGATGTTCTCATGAGAAGGTTAATGAACATCCATAAAGACATAATCTTGTGCAATCTTTTGGACTCGAAAACCAGGTTGTTAAAGACTTAGTTTATTTTGTGGATCTTATTGCTAGTATACTTTAGGACATTATACAATCATAAATGCCCAAACATCCATTAAAAAAATGTTGGTCCTAAGTAGACCAAAAAAGGGAGCGAGTTGAGTTAATCTCCTTAATTCAACTGCTGATCTTATTGGTAAATTAAAATTCTATATTCAAGGGACTCATTACCCTTAATGTCAACCTTCAACTAAAATGTTTTGTGTTCCTTATTAGAAATTCAATCTTCTTTTTAAAGAGCTGATCTTTGTGAAGTCAGCCTTTTATTTTTTTATTTCTTGGCACCCCTAGTGTTGACTTAAGCATCAACCTATATACAAGCCCAATTTTTTTTTATTTTTAACCTCTACCAAGCTAGAAGTCAATTTTTTGGGACTCTATAACACTACATGCAACTGCCAACATTTGGTGAATCATGTGTCAACACTCAAGAAAACTTGATGTAAAAATATCAGTAGTTAACATTTTGTCAACTTATGTTTTGATATAAGTTTGAGCCATAAGCATGGATATCTTATGTAATAAGAAATGTCGAAGATAATCTGTGAAGTATTAATTTTTTTATTTTAAAAAGCTTGTATTTCATCAACTTCACTACTTGTTTAAAAATATGATTTGTTAATAAATTTAGCTCATCATAATAAAATTTCATTGTATCACATTTTTTGTCTAACTCTAAATATCATTAGTCAATTTCAATGGCCATCTACCTTCTCTACTTCATAGATTAAATAGTGTACCTTAACTTATATCACTCATGTTCTATCAAGAATAATATATCACATTGTCATGTCCTTTACTTTATATCCATCATAAAAAATGAAGGATTTCATTGTGTTTTGATGGCATCCTGATATGCTGAAACCTATAACTGTTCTCTGAAAGGGATGTGCAAATGTGACATGATCATGAGTACTCTTGTAGTATCATGAGCCATTATTACTAGACCTTATATGACACCATCTCTACTTGACCTAAATTACAAATTTAGCACACAATGTTTATTTTGATTATATAAGAGAGAACAATATTTGTAGACTGTCAATTTGTAAAAATAGTGCCAATACATCAATTCTCTAATTTTCCTTAATGACATGTCCAAGTATGGTTTCATAAAAAATCCTTCTCATTATTTGTGCCTTAGAAATGAGGGAAGTGCTATCAAGTATCAACCTAATATTAAAGGATCAATGGTATGCAAGACCTCCCCTCTTCATAACCCTTGAATGAAAAATTTGTTGATTGTATGAAGGCGGCATGATAAAGTAAGAGGGGGTTCAGTAGATATTTTTTTATTTCTTATGAAAAAAAGCTATAATCTTTTAGCCAACTTGGCCTTGCCATAAGGACAAAATCTTTAGGTTTCACCATGTAGGTTGGCTTCATTTCTGAAATATATTTTCCACTTAATATTTAGGGGAAGAATTCTTTATATGCTAATTTATTTTTTGATTTTATGTGATTTTGAATTTTTATAAAATGGTAAAAAAATATGTTCTCCCAAAAGCTTCAGCATATTCCAACCACTAACTTCTTCTTTGTCATTTTCCTTATGTTTTCTTTTCAAGTTGTGCTTAATTGTTCTCTCCATTGAGTAGACTCACAAGTTGACTTAGTAGTTGATTCGTGAGTCAACTAATACATCAACTCAATTCTATTAGAGAAAAGACATGAAATCTCGTAAATAAATAGTTTTAATATTTCAAAATAAATTGTATAAATAATTTTAGAGTGTCTAAAATAGGATCAGATATGTTCAAATATTTTACATCACAAAGATGTTCAAATATTTTTATATAGAAAACCACCTTTTAATCTTTCTGAACAATTTCCTCAATTTGATGTTTGTTTTAATCTATTGTGATTTATGTTTAATGGATTAGGTAAGTGTGACATTTTAGAAATAGATATAAACCTTTACATTTTTTCATTATCATAATGATGAAGGGTCCCAAAGCAAACAAAATTAAATCCAAAGATAGTTTTGATGGGGTTGGTAGTAAATGTCAAAACTTAGAAGAAGAAAATTATCCCCAAATAGCTATATGAAGAGTCTCCTCTCTTTTAAACTTTTGATAATCAGAATTCATTTAGTATTGTAATCTACCAATAAAACCTCAAAAACAACAATCCCTATCATTCTTTTCTTTATTGGTCTTGTGTGTGATTTTCATGCTCTCTTTTATATGGATTCTCTTCATGCACTATTACAAAATGAGGCTTGATCTTATATGATTATGAGCTGGTAATATTATTACATTTTTTCCTCTTCAAACACACCTTAAAAATGAAGTTTAGGTAGGCTAAATTTCCAAAGAGTTATGACCTAACTCCTTCTAAGTTGTTCCTAAATGCATATTTATATTATGACATAAATTGATTCCTTCTATGCTCACATAAATTGATTCCTAACTCCTTATTTAGGATTTCAATTTCTATCAATATTTTATGAGTTTTGGTATTAATTAAAATTTTATAAAAATAGAAGTGATGAATTCACATAAAGACATTTAGGAAATTTGAAAATTATTATACCAATCATAATAAATTATAAAGGCAACTAAACTTTATACATATATTTTAAGGTATGAAGCCATTGAAATTCAAATTTTGATAAAATATAAGTTATTAAATAAAATAAAATAAAATAAATTATTATATATATATTTATAAAAGGAAAGTAAACATATAAACAAGTTTTCGAGGTATATGAAGTTTTCTTTTTTGCATGTATTTTGTTAAATGTAAGGCTGATGTAGATATGTATCTTTTAATAGTTGAAGGTGAGAAATATGGCAATATTCCCATTGACATACATGAGGAAACAACTAGATCACACTAGTGGCAAGCTACCCTTTTCTCTCCAAATATGAGGAATCCTCATGGACACTCGTGTTTGGACTTCAAAATGATAACACTCACATTAGTCTATGACTATTCTTCCATTTAAGATTGCTGTCCATCTTGCCAATCTCTCGATGTAATTTCAATCCATGTTCACACAATATGAGAGTAGTTCTAAAATCTCTAGTACATGACAACTGATCTAGTGCTTTCTTGTACATTTTGAATTCACTAACTAGAACCCATTCTCAATGGCCTTGATGATCAATTCCTTTTCAAAGTCAATATCTTGAAAATAATTAAATTAATATAAATATCATTAAACATTAACTAAATTTAAAACCTATTGCACGCTTCCACATTTTGAATTCATAGACTAGAACCCATTCTCAATGCCCTTGATGCAAAAAATTCCCTTTAAAAGTTAATACTCTGAAAATAATTAAATTAATATTCATGATGGTTTAAATTAAGATAAATATCAGAAAAATTAACTAAATTTACAACCTATTTCATGCTTCCATATTTTGTTTTCATAGACTAGACCCATTCTCAATGGCCTTGAAGCAGTCAATTCCTTTCAAAGTCCATACTTTGAAAATAATTAAATTAATATTCATTATAGTTTAAATTAAGACAAATATCATAAAAAATAACTAAATTAAAACCTATTCAATGCTTCCACATTTTGAATTCATGGACTAGAACCCATTCTTAATGCCCTTGAAGTGATCAATTCCTTTTCAAAGTTAATACTTTGAAATAATTAAATTAATATTCATTATAGTTTGAATCAAGATAAATATCACAAAACTTTAATTAAATTTAAAACCTAGTGAATGCCTCCACATTTTTAATTTATAGACTGGAACCCATTCTCAATGGCCTTGAAGCGATCAACTCCTTCTCAAAGTTAATACTTTTAAAATAATCAAATAAATATTCATTATAGTTTAAATTAAGATTAATCTCATAAAACTTTAACTGAATTTAAATCAGAAGATTTTTTTTTTGTAATCACTTATTCATACAAATGTTGATTACTAGGGTAAGGTTGAAGTGAAGGACCAACACAATATGGCTTTTGGAATTCTTCTTCTATGATTGCTCTGTAGCATTAAGAGTAATAACATTTTTCTTCATCACTTGCTCATATAAACCCAAATAAATAGGTGGCTCAGTCCTCTTTCAAGATTTTCTGTAGATTTGGCGAGTATGAGCTTTTGTTAACTTTCAAGGGATATTTTGTAAAAATAATCTTAAAAGTACACTTGTTCCTCTTCGTTAGAATAAGTGGTCCGTGGCAGCAAATAGACTCCTCTTCTGCCACTGGTGGACCACCGGATACTCAGCCATCCAGGATGGGGCGTCTCGGCACCAGAATCAGATGGATCGGCCCCGTCAGTAAACCGGATCGTGACATGTTTGAAAACTACGCTTGACCAAATGTTTATTACTATAGTTTTAAACTTTTATTATTTTCTTGCGTTCATTGCAACCGTTTTGATTCGATCCTTCATTTTAGAGAGCCTCGCGCTTCAGTGCCGCTTAAGTTTGTTGTCTACTCTGCCTCCTCAAAGAACTGCTAAAATTAAAAAAACATGAGACTCGCGCCGTGCGGGGCTGCACTCTCTGGGCGGCCTCCCGCGCCGACGTCTGCTCGGCTCCTGCTCGCTCATCTTCCTGGGCCGCTCCGTTCTCTCTCAAGCACCGCCGACGACGCCCCCGACGTCGGCGCGGTGGAGGCCTCCTCTTTATTCCCTGTCCCTTTCGCACGGTTACCGGGAGAGCAAGGCACGGCGCTGCAGGGACTTGGATTAAAGATCTCCTGGGCCCGCCGCACTCGGGGCCACCGGAAAGCAACGGCCAGAACCCGTAACATCTGAACTTCGTACGTCTTTCCGGGCTAGGAGGAATTCCCAATCCGGAAGTCGTGACGTCATGTCTACAGCTCCGGACACTTCTGTACTAAAGATCGGCACATGCATCCTTCCTAACTACGAAGGGAGAGAGGAATCGTCGCAGTGTGCCGCGGGCGGGGTCGGGCCGGTTGCCTTCCGCACTGGTTCGGCAGATCCCCCGCCGCCCACGCGCGTGCTAAAAGCTGTGAGCGTCGATTTTATTACACGAACGTACCCCGCTTGCCCGGTTTAGCAACTCTGGTCTGCGACGCCCATCAGTTGTGGAATTCGATAATGTAGGCGATGGTCGGCCCTCTATCCGCGTCTTTCTTTATCGGGCGTAACTCTGATATAAATATGAACATCCAGTCCGTCTTCCAGCAGAGGCACGAAGTCACGCAGAAGCAGAAACCGAGCGTCGGAAGAGACATTTATTTAGTTAGTTAGGGTAGGCCTACTTAAAGGCCCAGCTTTTGCCAGCCACCTTCGTCGCGTCTGTGTGTCCGCGCCTTCTCAAATCCCGCCCAGATGTGAACAGGAAGCAGAGCGGTAGAGACGCGAAGGGTGGGAGGGAGTGCGGGAAGAAAGAGGCCGCTGATGCATAGGCGCAGCAGATTGGGTGCTGGGACGCTGTCCCTCCTTCGCTGGGTTCTAACGTTTGCCATTGGGGCAATCACCCTCGGAGCCCTCTTGGTCGTCCACCTCTTCCCCTTATCAGAGGGGATGGACGCGTCCGGTGGCCAGAGGCGCCCCAAGGTGGTCTTCTACGACGTCTTTTCTCGTGTATTCATAGCTTGGTCTCTCAATGCTCTATCTTCTCTTCTGTTTTCTGTTTGAATATTTCTGTTCAGAGAGCTCTTTCCAGGATTTTTCTGTGTTTTTATCCTCTTGTTTACTTCTTACTCTCGTCTCCAGACACTAAGGTGCATGATTTCAGTTTTAGATTTCTTTTGTTTAAGGACTATGGATCATTAAGTCGTCCTAGCCTCTATGCTGTTTCTATTCTATTATTTTTAGTTCCCATAAAGCTATTGGCAGAGTCGCTGTTTTTTGTCGCACTACTCTCGTATATCTGACTAGTTTGTGTCAACTTTTCCTCGACATGATATAATCTGTATTCCAGCTTTCTAGAATCGTCATAGCTTGTCCTTCTCACTGCGAATTCACTGTATCTGATTATATGCTCTTAAAAATGTTTGAAATCTCGATGTTCTGATACCATGGTGTGATCGAACAGCAACATGAGATTGGGTACTACGGACGGAGTGGCGAGCTTAGGTGGACACAAGAATTCGCTCCACCTCAACTCTCAAAATCTGTCGCATCTTTGGAGAAGGTCACCTAATCTATTTGTCTTGCACTTATTTGATTTGACTTGCAATCGATTCATCTACGGTTTTCGGTGTTTTTATTTTATTTTTTAAATAATATTATGAAATTTAGTTTGTGTTTTAAATAGTGCATAGTTCGTCTTTTCTGTGTTTTTTCTTATTCTTCTTATATTAGCAGGTTGATGATGTGAACGATTTTTCTAAATTGGAGAAGCTTTGGGTTCAGCCATCTCGTCGAAATCTTGTGCCTTGTTTGGAGCCTAGCTCAACATATACGTGTAAAGAGATTTGCATTATTCGTGTCCTTTAAGTTTTCTCCTCTCCTTTCATCTGCAAATGCCTTCAACCTTATGTAAATTCAAGTGATTTGTTCTTTCAGTTCCTCCTGAGACACGGGGCTACTTGCTTGTTCACACCAATGGTGGGCTTAACCAGATGCGAGCTGGGGTAAAGTTTCTATGCCTCCATTTCATTCTCCTTCATTTTTTGATGAGCTATTTCCTTCCAAATTAAATGTCAGGACGCAAGGATAATAAAACGCTTACTTGTGTCCTTGGATCTTCTGCCTGACAGGAAAAGGCTTTTTATGCATGGTCGTTGATTTTTCTCCTTTTCTTTGGTAAATGAGGGACACAAGCAGTTCAAGATCAACCTTTGTGAAAGAAATATAAATTTTTTGCACTGTCTTAAACTTTATCCCAGAAAAAAGATCGTACATGTTTTCCATCCTTGGCATAATCTTTTAATGATGAAGGTATAGCATTTTTAGGTTTCCATTGAAACCAATGTGTTTTGATTCGGAAAGTATGAGATATATTAGACCAATTGTAATCCACCAATGGTTCTAGAAGGTATGATGCGGCAAGAACATTTATTAAAATAGACTCAAGTACGAACAGCGAAGTATCAACAAATTTTAACTCTCCCTGTAGAAAGTTTCCTTGTGGTGTCCATCCACAAAGGACATGATTGAAAGAAGGCATCTTCTAGTGGAGTGCACATTGTCGTCTCCCTCTGTTGCTGTTAAAACTTAATGTGGAAACCACATGCGCCCACACAAAGAAATAGGAAAGAAAACAACTGACCTTTGAACCTCGTTTTGTAGAACATTGTCGAGGAGAAGTAATTTCTGTGTGGAAAGTATTAAAGTGGACAAAAAACTTCATGCAGATAACTACTGAGTGAGAAGAAATGTTAGGAATGTTTGATCCATTTTAAAATCATCTCTCGTTTGCCTTACCCTTTATTCAACATTTATACTGGTATCAGACAATATGTTTAGTTAGTGGCTCTGTTGCTCACCTTTGGACTAGGCCAATCGAGCTAGATTAGAATTCTTTGATTCATTTGCTGCCTTGATCTTCTTCTAGTGTCTCTTTTATGTGAAAATTCCAGTTTATTTCCTTAATGCTCATTTCATCCCATTTTGTTCATTTTTTTTACCACGTAAGGGCTAATGTCAAAATCTTAGTTCACGTTAGGCCATTCTGGGGCTTATGTTGATTGGTTCTCTCATTGGAGTTTTGATATAGTTTCTTCTGCTACTCACAAAACACTTGCAATGGTGTTTGTAAACATGGTAAACTGATAGTTTTTCTTTTGTTTAATTCACAGATATCTGACATGGTAGCAATTGCTCGAATCATAAATGCCACTCTTGTCGTTCCTGAACTTGATAAGAGATCCTTTTGGCGAGATTTCAGGTAAAGTAGCTATATTTTGTGATTTCCTTTCTCTTCCTTGAAGATGTCATGGATATTATAAAAGAGAAAATCTAAAGCTCCCATTATATGCAGCAACTTCTCAGATGTCTTTGATGAAGGACACTTTGTACATTCATTGGAGAAGGACATTAAAATCATCAAGAAGCTGCCAAAAAAATTGGCTACGGGTACCAAAGCTGTTAAATACTTCAGGAGCTGGTCAACACATGAGTACTACCAAGATGAGATATCTCCATTGTGGAATGATTATCAGGTACGTGTCTCCTAGATAAACTTTTCATTTTTTTAGCCAAATGCTGCCTTTTTTGTATTTTTTTCACCGTATACTTGTACTTGTCCAGGTCATTCGAGCTGCGAAATCTGATTCTCGACTTGCCAACAATAATTTGCCTATAGATATTCAGAAGCTCCGATGTCGTGCCTTTTATGAGGCACTTCAGTTTGCCCCTCATATTAAAGCATTTGGAAATGTACTAGTCAACTTTTGGCAACATACTTATTTATGTATGGTAAATTGGTTATGTTTCATAATTTTCTTTTCATTAAGCTTCCATGGGGCACTGTACTTGCAGTTATTGGTCAAGAGAATGAGGTCATATGGTCGTTATATTGCCTTGCATCTGCGCTATGAGAAGGACATGCTTGCCTTCAGTGGGTGTACATACGGCTTGTCTCCTGAGGAAGCTGATGAGCTAACCAAGATCAGGTGTGTTGTGTTCAACTTGGAGTCAATATGGCTCTGATTTCCATGGGAAAATTACTTTCTTTTGCCTTCCTTTCTCATCAATCACGGAAAACTGCTCACTTCTGTTCCCAATGTGTTTATTCTTCAGAGAGAACACTGCTCATTGGATAGTAAAGGATATTGATCCCATCGAACAAAGAGCAAAAGGATATTGCCCACTGACACCCAAGGAGGTTGGGATATTTCTTTCAGGCCTTGGTTATCCCTCAAATACTCCCATATATGTTGCAGCGGGAGAGATATATGGGGGTAATGCTCATATGGCTGATCTCCATGGGCACTTTCCTATGTTAATGAACAAGGTGCATGATTCGTTCTCTTGTGGTCTTTGATCCTCTCTGAGATATCATGTAGGACATTTTAAAAGTCTGTCTCCTTTGAATCTCACTTCTCATGTTCATGGTTTTTTTTTTCCTTTATATGTTTCAGTAGTGTTTAACCTATACAATACTTGTAGTTATGAACTTTTCAAAGGTGAGTGATCTAGAACTGTGCATATATGTACTTTTCGGAATATTTTTAGTAGGTGCTGTATAGGAATAGGAGATGGAAAATTGATAAAAGAAGCTATGCTGTGCATGCATAATCTTTTAATATTGTTGAACATTGTATAGAAAAAACAACAGCATGCTGGTACTGGTTCTCAGTGTTTAAAGTAGAATATCAGAGAACTTTTGATGAAATCAGTCATTCCACCCACTGTATCATCAGTTAATCTACGTCAAGGAAAGCAGAACATCCGGATACGATGGTCGTCGTGTGTATTTTTGTCCCATTATAGGTGTCAATTCATGAAACAAAGCGAAACCTGCTTTGTGTTTGAGGAGAAATGGTTTGACTTTTGACTTTAGTGGATGACACGAGAACAATAATTTAAGAGATACAAGGGAAAATCGTTCTAGCAAAGCAGGTAAACAGATTTTTTGCACCTTATAGACAAAAGGTGCTGGGAAAAGGAGCCGTGGAATTTTCTTATTGGAATTAGAAGATTGTTATTTTTCGTGACGAAATGCTTTCAATTTCCATGTCAGTTTCCATGCTGTTTCTCATGCGAGTAATTCATATTGATGAGTACTAGTTTGCCTTGCTGAGAGTGGACATTAGGTAGAAACGCGGATGTCAGATTCGTCATTGCATTTAGTCAAAAGTGAAGTTTGGGAGATTGTGAGATGTAAGCTATTGTCGTGATGGTTCTGGCCGACCCAAAGCATCAGCAGTTCCCTAGTCTTCAAAAGTTTGGTGCTATCAGTGGTCTTGAGCGTATTTGAAGTACGGATCCACATTGTTGATCGTCTACCCCTGGAGATTAGTTTACTACAGAAAATCTTAAAGTGATGTGTCCCTAGGTAACCCCAGCATATGAGATACACATTGATGGATCTGTTGCTTGTTATTGAAGAGCTACACAGATCCACTCTTTTTCGCCATACTATCATGTCCTCAGTTAGGGACTATGTGGTACATTGATTCTGCACTTGCCATACTATCAATGTGGTACATTGATCCAGTTTTCGTTGTTATGTTGTGGGTACACTCCCAACTACATGTAAGTATATATTGAATAAATGTCTCCAGGCATTGATCATTTTGTCCATTTTCTTCTTCATCAATTTATTTGTCGTGTCAGGAAAAGTTAGCATCACCTGAGGAACTGAAACCATTTACGCGGTTTGCATCTCAAATGGCCGCTCTTGACTACATCGTTTCAGTTGAGAGTGATGTCTTTGTGCCCTCATACTCGGGTAACATGGCAAGGGCAGTTGCCGGCCACCGTCGTTTCCTTGGTCACCGGAAGACAATTATTCCGGACAGGTTAGCTGGTCATAATCTTTTCGCTCGAGTCCATCCCTGATTATCGTCTCTTAAAGGGAAAGGCATCTCATAGAATCCTCTGTAATCTTGTCTAAACACCCCCGTCCCTCCCCAGAAAAGCCCTTGTTAGTTTGTTTGATAAAATTGAAAGAGGGAAGCTCCAGGAGGGGCAGAAGCTATCAAATCTAATTGTGGGCATCCACAGGAAGAGGTGCAGGAATTTCTTTCATCCCTATTTTTATTTTGTTTTCTCCTTTATGATTGGTCATGGAAGATTACTTACTGGTGCTCTCCCTGGGCAGGCAAGGATCACCACGGAAGAGAAAGGGTCCTATCTCTGGGACAAAGGGCAAAGAGAGGTTTCGCTCTGAGGAGGCATTCTATGAGAACCCTCTGCCAGAGTGTCTATGCGCGAGGGATATGCCTATTGCAAACAGCTCACGCGCATTACTCATACGTTGATTCAACATAACACCACCTCAGACCTTGCCGGAGTTTTGCAGCAATTGAAAAGAACAGCACCGGTATGTGTGTACGTGGAGTTCATACAGCTCAAGGGGATATCGTACTTAAAGTGTACATAGATGATCACGGGGGGCGGTGGTACCATTCATCTATTCATCTGTATTTAGCTGATTGACGTTGGAAGTGAACGACATGTATTCTGTTTTCAATTCGATTGAAAAGAATGGCTAATGAGAAAGTTAAAGAAGTTAAGCGACTCAGTCTGTTTCTGAGTTCGCTAGATGGGATGCTCGCATGGATTGTCATCTGTGTGCGATATGGAGAAGCCCAGGTGGGCAGATCTTTCCGAATCCCGTCGTAGGCTCAAGAGGAAATCCTCGCAAAAATTTTCCGGTCCGGCCCTCGACGAGTACTACGTGGCTACCGCGGAGCGGCCACGTTTTCTGGAGAATTCTGGTCTGTGAAACTCTGGAAGTCACGACGGGTGGTGGCCCAAGCACACAAGGCCCGTTAAGACCGCCGTCAATGGGAAAGTGCAAGACCGCAGATAGTTCAGCATGCAGATATGGGATATCTCTTTGAAGAAATCAGTGGTATGCGTGACGCGACGTTCCAGTCTCGGAACGCGCTTGGCATTCATCTGCCCACTATCATCTCCTCTTGCCAGAGGAGACGAGCGTCAAGCTTCACTGCAGCCTGACATCGGATGGCGGTGGAAATCGCCCGTCGACGCTTGAAGGCACGGCGAGGGTGTTTGTTGACTGATTCATTTGTGGTATATCCTGCGTTTCTTGTAACGGAGGAGAGCTAGAGAGGAAGCTTACATTTGACGACGACGTTTTCCTCTGACACTTCGGAGTCTTGAGATCTGGGGTATACTGCCCTGCGTCTAAATCCATCTTTCAGAAGGCTGCGAATGCTGATGTATCTGCGTAGGTGCACATCCACTTCTGTTCGTTCTGTCGATCACCCTTTTCCCGGATCCGTAACGACTCCGACCCACCGCAGCCTCTCCACTTCGGAGATATACAAAGCTAACGTCAAGATCAATAGGCTCGTGCGTGATGGTAAGATCGACGCCGCCCGTAAACTGTTCGACGAAATGCCTGAAAGAGATGTAGTCTCTTGGAACACGATGATTGCCGCCCATTATCGTAGAAGCGACTTTGACAAGTCGAAAAGGCTCTTCCAGTTGATGCCCGAGAAGAGCATTGTATCCTGGAATTCTATGATCTCGGCGTCCATCCAGAATGGAGACATAGAAGAGGCCTTCGATTATTTTCGCAAAATGCCTAAGAGAAATGTTGCTTCCTGGAATGCTATGATCTCTGGGCTTGTTAGGTACGATCGTCTCGATGAAGCGGAGAGACTTTTCAGGGAGATGCCCAGAAGGAATGTGATCTCTTACACTGCATTGGTTGATGGGCTTTGTCGTAGTGGGAACATTCAACGTGCCCGCTGCCTTTTTGATAAGATGCAAAAGAACTCTGTTTCTTGGGCCGTGATGATAAGTGGATATGTACAGAATGACTTGTTTGATGAGGCTAGAAACGTCTTCCACCAAATGCCTGAAAAGAGTGTGGTTGCAATTACGGCTATGATGACGGGATACTGCAAGGATGGGAGAGTGGATGATGCAAGGAAACTTTTTGAAGACATGCATGGAAAGGATCTTGTTTCCTGGAATGCTATGATGTCAGGTTCGGAAAAATATCATAAACAGAGAAGCATAGTACACTAATGGGAACTCTTTATCTCAGATTTGGCTTTTGTATTACATACCGTGATATTTTATTTTCCTGTCATTTCTGTATTTTTCTATTGTTTTCTTGGATGAAAAAAATTACTGATAAATTGGGAAGTAATTGATTCAGTCTGAAGCTGCTGTGATTCTACGTCGGTAAATTCCAATTCTGTAATACTGTGACGTGTAATTTGTTGGAACAAGATGTTTACGCAAGCCTAATGTCTTATGGGTCAGATATTGAGAGTTCAAAATTTTTGATCTTGTATCCAAAAGCTGTTGGTACCATAGAGGCGTGTCAGCAGCGTAAAAAACTTCAGATAACGTACTAGTACTACCTACCGCTTGCTGTTCTCACTCATTAAATTTACTTGATATTTATAATAAGAAAGTCTAAAGGACAAACTTTTATGCATTCAACATGCAGGTTATGCAAACAATGGGCGTGGTGAAGAAGCTCTTAGACTATATATAAAAATGTTGCAGTTAGGAATGAAACAAGATCACTCAACCCTTCTTATTCTTTTAACAGCATGTTCTGTTGTTTCATCGATTCAATCTGGAAGGCAAATTCATGCGATTTCAGTAAAAAATGGGTTTGAATCAGACCTTTCAATATGCAACACATGCATAACAATGTATAGCAAGTGTGGCAGCCTCATTGACTCTGACCTTATCTTCAGAAGAATCCAAGCTCCAGACCTAGTTTCTTGGAACACCATCATTGCTGCATTTGGCCAACATGGTCTCTATGAGAAAGCACGCACAATGTTTCACAACTTGATAGCTAATGGTTTCAGACCAGATAATGTTACCTTTCTTAATATCTTATCTGCATGTGGACACGCTGGAAAGGTGAACGATAGTATACTTTGGTTCAATATAATGGTCTTTGAGTATCAAATATCCCCAAAGACCGAGCATTTTTCTTGCCTTGTTGACATTGCGGGCAGAGCAGGCCAGTTGGACAGAGCATGCGAGGTCATTAATAAAATGCCCTTTGAAGCTGACAGTGCTGTTTGGAGTGCTTTGCTAGGGGCGTGTCAAGCATGCCTGAATATAGAACTGGCAGAATTGGTAGCAAAGAGGCTTGTCGAGATAAATCCTCAGGATTCAGGAGCATACGTCATGTTGTCAAATATCTATGCTGCGACTCGCAACTGGAGAGATGTGATGAGGGTGAGGAGCCTGATGAAGAAGCATGGAGTTCAAAAGCAACCAGGGTACAGTTGGACAGAAGTGGCTGATACAGTACATGTTTTCTTGGGTGGTGATACATCACATCCAGATATTAAAAGGATACACTCAGAGCTTGGTATTTTACATCTGCATATGATCTGGGGGAATGTAGAATTTACAGAATATATTACATGCTAAAAACTTTCAGATGGAAGTGGAAAATCTGCGTTTTTACGTTAAAGCTTGGCCCCTCTACATTCTATTTAGTATAGATGGAAGCATTGGTACTATTGATAACTGTCATATATTAAATATGAAGAATCTAGGCTACACTGGCCTTCTCTAATGGCCACATTGCCCCAAGGTTGACCTCATTACAAACTTATTCAGTATTTTTGGTTTTCTTTCTGCATTCTTTGTTGCTAGGCCTCGTCTGCTGTTTTTATTTTGATTCTTGATTCTTTCTAGTGCTTTTGTCAGCCTTTCTACTCTAATTTTCTGCGTTCCCTCTTTCGTAGGCTCTCACACTATTTTTTTATGAACAGTCGAGAGGGAGGAAAGAAATGAATGAATTCCCACTTGGGAAAATATAGAATATTACACCTACCTAGACAAAAGCCAAAGAAAGTTATGATAGTTGGACGTATCAGATCGAAACAAGATCTCAGATTGACATCTAGATACACTGATTTACCGTAGTGACAAAAAGGGTCAATGGAACATGGGAAGAGCCATTTCTTTCTTGTGGGGTCTTCCGTTCACCAGTACAGAGTATATACAAGCGTTTGCATTTTCCTTTGTTAAGGACAATGATTCTAAACTAGTAGTTCAAACAGGGTTTTGGTTCCTATTTTTTTATTGCTTTCACATAAGTGATTTAGACTTAACACTAGTCAGTTTGTTCTCCTTTGTGTAATTTTTAATGTGTTTTCTTCTTTTTTTCTGAACTCTCTCATTCATATTTGTGTTTCTCTTTAGGAATTCATTGCGTACAGTTATAAATTTTAAAAAGTTCCAAATTTCTGATATTTTAATAACGGTTTCTGCCCCACCAGCGAGTTGAGATTGTACACCATGAATGAAAGAGAAACCCTAGCTGCACATAAAAATTAGAATGAGTACAATTGCTCAAAATTAACCGAGCTTGTTTCTTCTCTTTATCTGATTAGTACCTTTCCTGCACTTTTTGTTGTTTCACATTTTTACTTGTGTTATTTTGTCCACCGTTATTTGCTTTCGAAGTATATCATATGAGTATCATTTAAGATTCAGCCAATATAGTGCAAAGTTTGTTAAATGATTGGACTTGTTTTGAAAAAAATTATGCAGCTAAAATCATGTTGCTTCTTCTTGTCAAACAGAGATATGGTGTGAAGCTTGGGTAGTCTGCAAAAGTTTTTAGAATATGAGAGAATCCATTTTTGTTCCTGGACTATGCACCTGGTCCCTGTTGCCCATTTTTGTGGCATAAAAAAATTAACCTTCTCTTGGGGGATTGTGTTAGAATTGTGTTACGTTGATGGCATGTGGTTTATACACAAACCATCCGTGCTCTACTGAACGTAGTACCATTTCGGCGTCTGATATCTCTTTTAGGTGCAAAATCTTTCAGATTTTGTTTCCTCGGCAACCCTCACCTGTCGAGTTGTGTTGAGAGATGGAGTCGATTCTTCGCTTTCCCACCAAGCTGCTAGTTGTAGCACACTACTGTGCCTTCCCTCCACTCATTTCGGAATTATGCATCATTATTTTCTTATGATAGGCTAGTTGAGGGAGTACGGAACATCAGTGTAAAAGATTGAGTGGAATCAGTGAGGTTACTCTAGCAAGGCCTGGCCTAAACTGCATGGCATATGAAATCTTTGATTACGTTGACGTCGTACCCATATTTTGTCTACATTGGAAGATAATCCCATTTTTATTCTCCGCGGGTTTTCTCTTTCCCATGGACTAACCTTCCATTCAGTCCTCTTCCCCATTGTATGGTAAATGAACGTGAGGGCATTGCTGGCTATATTTTAATATCCCCTGCCCAGGAGCAATAATGTGTCAGTTTATGGCTATAATGCTTGTAAGTTAGCCAATGAGTGAAAAGGCAGTCACTAATTGTTTAGTGGTGGTTATGGAGTTGGATAGCAAGATTATGTGGTAGGGGACTCATTTCATTTCTTTCATATTCTTAACCATTGTGAGCATCGTGCCATAGAATCCTATTGGTTTTGATATCACTTTGGTTCTTCCATTAAATTAGTTAAATTCCTAGGGTTTCTCTCGAATAATGTCCCAAAATCCAACGTGTTTAATGCATAGACTTCGTTTCTTTTGAGACGTTATGTCAGTCTGTTAGGACACTGCATTCCCTAACACAGGAAATCAGGGGAAATCACAGTCGAAGAAGGGGAAAACGACGGAAGGAAGATGAGGTGCAGGAAACCCTAGCGACGGGAACGGGGATGTTCGGGAGCCCCCGCTCTCCCCAGATGACCTTAAGACCCCAAAAAGCTCCCTTACACCCCTTATTCCCCCCTTAAATAAGGAATGGACTATTGGGCTTGGGCCCGTTTTCTACTTATATGATAGATAAGGCCCAGTGGCCTTACACAGTCATGGTGGAAATTTTTCATATCATAGATATCCTAAAGAGCTATTTCGTGGTGGTTTCGGTAAAAGTGGCTATACTTTTCTGTTTTCTTCACTTTCTTCATTGAGGCTCTTAAAAATAAAAGCAATGTTCAAGATGCATTTAAGGAAGAACATTTGCACTAATTGGAATGTGGCATTAAAACGATTCCAATACAGAGACATCGCAGATGCCTTCAGTGGGTGTACATATGGTTCATCATCGTCTCATAAAACTGAACCAGCGAAGATCAGAAATGTGGCAGCCATCTTAGTGTCACATAGGCTCTGATTCCTGAGTGAAAATAATCTTCTCTTGTAACTGTTCCTGAATGTTCCCTACTCCTCTAAGAGAAAACACCACTCATTGGGTAATGGAAGATATCGATCTTGTCCAAGTAGATGAGCACATGTATATGTTCCCTCTAATAGAAGGATATTTCTTTCGAGTAATTGGTCCTCATGTGGTATTAGTATATAGTATACATGTTTACTTTGGTTATTATTAAGGTACTGAGTTACCAAACTCATAGTCAATAGACAAGGAAGAGTCACATTTTATCTGCTTCTTCCCTAGCGGAACCATTCTGCCAGGCCCTTTCATGTGCAGGGTGGAGTTGTAACAATTTCTGACGAGAAACATTTAGTAATCCCCCTGGGCTGTCGGCAGAAAATTTACTTTGTGGATTCTGTAACTTGATATCCCCTCTAGTTATCATTACAAGTACTAAGGTAAATGGGCGCCTGCTGACGATGGTTATTGATTTCAAGTTATACTCCCTCGCTCAATTAATGCCTCAAAGTGTCTCACAGCTAACTGATTAGTTTCCTCATGTTGTCTAGTTTCCTGATCAAAAGAGCTACTAGAACTCTGCGTCTCCATTTTGAATCAGATTTGCATGAGACAAACCATCATTGGCAAGTGCTCATTTACCTGAGTGCTTATAACTATAATTAGAGGGGACACCAAGTTACAGAATCCACGAAGTAAACTTGTTTCCAACAGCCCAGAAGGAGTACGAAACGTTTCTAGTCAGAAATTGCTACAACGCCATCCTATGTAGATGGTAGTACTTTAGATGGTAATTAAGAGATAAAAAACTTTGGTGAAGATTTGACGATCATTCATGAGCATGTCGTCACCGTCATTCGTGGCTAGCACTGAAATTCCTTAATGACAAATAGGTTTTGACTTCAGCATAAATTGATGATCAAGTGTATAAATGAACTAGAAACGCGTGTGCTGTTACAGTGACCTTCAATCTATTGGTCATTGGATTTCTTTCCGTTTTATGCAGGGTTCTTAAAATTATCTGAAATAGTTTGTTCATGGTGGTGTCCAGAGGGGACCTCCAAGCCCCCTCGAGTCCCACCGGCAATGGGTGGGGAGACCGAGACAGGGGCAAAGAGGGAACTCAACAAATGCAGCAATAATGTGATATGCGATTATATTATTCACCAGAAGTGATTCCAAGCACGAGACATGGAATCATGAAGCCATACTATGAGTGGAGTTCGTCTTCATCGGTCCATCCATACGATGCATCGGATGCTTTTTCCTTGTACGAGCAAATCAAATGCTTTATTTATGTCCTGGAACCCCAATTCATGTGTAATGAACTCGTCTAACCGCAGCTCCTGCAAGGAGAAAAGAAAAGTAAGCAACATTACGGATTATCGTCGATCTTCGTTTTCTTGCTGGTTTTAAGCTGGAAGTATCTATATGGGCCACATCAAGTGCCTCAAAGCGGAAGTTCACCCAGGCCCAACAGAGCTTCTCTGTGTCAGGGCCGAACGTCCGAGGACGACAAAGTCATCATGAAGATAGAAGCAACCCATCGCTTTGCTTGTGAGACTGACCTTGTCGAGATACTGCTTAACCAGAATCGGTATGTCCCTTTTGGCCTTGATCCCTCCGAACACTGAACCTGTGACTGTTTTCCCTTGCATGATCTCAGCCGAGCTGATGCTAAATGGCTCTCCGCGCATCTCCACGCCCAATATTATGGTCTTACCCCACCCCTACATCATTAGCGCAAACAGAATAATGTCGACAGCAATACAGTGCGCACATTAACGATTTCAGCCATCTTTCAAGCTTCGTGATAGCTTTCCTCTCTGTCTATTTTTAGAAAGAGCAGTGAGCATTTCTCTGAAAAGGATGGCTACCAGAAACTGAAACAAAAGCAAGCGTCTCTGTTTTAGCCCACATGAGAAGAGCTAAACGAGTTCGTTCTTAGCGCCGGAACGAAAAAACAGATAAAGAGAAGATGGGGTTGATTAGTGAGAATACCTAGAAAAGTGTAAGGCGGTTTTTTTTTCTTCTCTTCTGTACATGATCTGTTTGGTGTAGCGAGCTGCTTCATGGAGTTGAGATAATAAACTAATGATCCGTGCAATTCTTGTATAGTCGACCATAAAATCATGGGTGCTGTTCCTTATATATTAAAATGCTAAAACACTAGAAAAACTTACAGATTAATTAGTGCATGGATGGTCTTATAGATCGCCATCGATGAGGCCAACCATATTGGTCATGCGCATGCGACTAGTACTGGCGGGGAAATTGCCAAAATCGACCCAAAAACTCTCCTTTTTTCTCGGAAGTAGTTGGCATCATTGTTGATTAATGATCATAATCTCAAGGGGGAAAGAAGTATGGAAACCTTCCGCGAGCTTGCAAAAGCCTCGCTCACGAGGGACGCCAATCCAATGCACTCGAAGCAGTAGTCTACTCCTCCGTCAGTCATCTCCACGATGACCTGCTTCGTGGCACCCAGCCGTCCAATCCTTTCAGTATCTCGGAGTCTGGATGTCGTCAACAAGACAAGGAGAATGGGGAGCGTTTACCTCACTGAGGGGTCTGTCTCCTATATCCTTTGGGTTGATGAAATCAGTTAATCCAAGTTTCTTACCTGCACTTGGCGCACTAATTGTCAAAATTTTTGTCGCTTATATAATGTCTGCATAAATACGTGTGCATTTTTCTGTAATAGTTCTAACGGCAGCTATAAATACGCATCTTATTGTCGGAGCGTACCGATATCCAGCTTTTCGGGGTTCAGATCGATGCCGATAATCGTAGAAGCCCCTCGGAGTCGGGCTCCCTCTACCACCTGGACCGCATATGATTTACAGTTAAGTACCGAAAAGGAAAAAAATTGGAGGGTCGGCCCGGAGTGAATCGAAATTGCGTTTGTATTTTCGTGGTTAAAGTGAGCGCGTGGGGTTAACTAGAAGACGACGCAAATGACCAGATGATGATGATAGCAGAGCTGGTAAGGGACGTCGGGAGAAAGCGTACCCCGAGACCCACGGCCCCAAGCCCGAACACCGCCACGGACGAACCCTGCTCCACCGCCGCCACCTTCCACGCCGCCCCCACCCCTGCCGCAACGGCACCCGGGTCGTCATCAGGAAGAGCTAGCCGATCCTAATAATTCAACGGGAAGTCGATGACGAAGAGCTGATCGATCCTGATACCTGTGGAGACGCCGCAGCTCAGGAGGCAGGCCTTTTCGGGCGGGATCGCCGGGTCGACCAGGGTGACCTGGGAGACGTCCACCACCGTGTACTCCGCGAAGCTGGAGACCCCCAGGAAGTTGTGGATGGCGGCGCCGTCCTCGGCGGTGGCGAAGGGGGTTGGGGCGGAGCGGGGGAGGCCCCCCATTGGGTTGAAGCCGATGGCGCAGAGGTTGGTGCGTTCGGAGCGGCACTCGGTGCAGTCGCCGCAGTTCCCCAAGAAGGAGGGGACGACCAGATCCCCGGGGCTCACTTCCTCCACGCCCTCGCCGACGCTCTCCACGACCCTGCAGTCGTCGACGGATCGATCCCAACGAACCATGAGCATCAGCACTCGGTAACCCACCCTCTCGGAATCATTGTCGAAGTGGAGACAGAGTAGATAGAACTACCCGAAGGCCTCGTGCCCGAAGATCATGGGGAAGAGAGCGGGGAAGGTCTGGAAGCGGGCAGAAGGGCCGTCAGATCAACCACATTGCAAGGGTCACAAGGCGCAGAGGAATGATTGGCAGGCAGACCTACCTCCATGCGCCAAAAGGTGACGTCGGAGTGACACAGGGACGAGCAGACGATCTTGAGGCGGACTTGGAAGGCGCCGGGGGAGGCCACCATCACCTCCTCCATACGCAGCCTCTGCCCCGGCCCTCTGCACACCGCCCCTGCTCATCCGAACGGGCATCAGAACAGAATCCTCGATTCCCAGCGGGCGGAGCCAGGGTTTGGGTAGAAGTGATTCCCCGCCTTACCTCTACATTTGATGGGTTTCCCCGTTGTCATCGTCGTCGTCGATTCCTCCATCACCTACCTCTCTCTCTCTCTCCCTCCGATATCTCTCTCTATTTTTCCGCCGGTCTACACTGGGGGGGAGAAGGGAGTGCCGTCGAGGGCTCTTTATACGCAGACAGGCAATCTGACGCGGGGGATGCGCGAGCAAGATTCCCGATGAAGACATGAATTATTTGCTCACGGAACTGGATCATGCGAAGACGTTCAGATGCCTTCTGCCTCACTTGCACGTGTCATGTGTAAGCCAAAGTCATTATCAAGGTTTCAGTCCCCCCCCCCTCCTACCCCAACCTCCAATTCGGAATCTTTGCGTGAACACCATGGGGCGGGGCCACGACAAGACCGTGGGGATCGGACGAAAGGACTGGAAGGGGGATCGGATCTTGTGGCGGAATATTTAGTAGCCAATGGGAAGGGTGCTCATCTTATGATACTCATTTAAAGAGTGGACTATCTATAGCTATAACTCTTCCTTGACGACCATCCCACGAAATGGCCTGCAGAGGCGTTCGTATTCTACTCGAACTTACCACATCTATAATATGAAATAAAAAAATATCGATGAACTAGATTCAAAGGTGACTCTACCCACTAACCTAGTTATCATTGACAACTATATGTGAATTAGGTCCCAATAAACTCCTCTTGTGCTGGATAAGCTTTTATATATCCTCTGAAAGTAACCTTTCTATTTGTAGCAACTTGATGACAGTGAAAGAAACATTGTTGTGAATGTTTTTGCTAAAAAAATTCTATTGGCTCAAACTATGATAAGAAGGAGATGCCCAATTAGATCAGGTCTCTTAGTTCATTCCTGCAATCTTGATAGAGATTATATTGGAGAAGTAAATAACTTGTTTTGGGGAAAACTAACATGTTATGTAAAAGAGTAACATAAGTGATACAATGAAGAAATAATTTGAAATGAAAATCTAATGGAGGCTCAATAGGAAAGGAACAACAACTCTTCGAAAGGGTAGAAAATACCTCAATAAACCTCTTGGTGGATTCCATTTGGGAGGAAGTACAAAAGTCTCCAAGGGATTCCAAAGTACAAGAGAAAGGGAAAGGGTGGAGGTGGAGGAGAGGCCAGTTGAGAACTAACAAAGTGGAAAGCTCTCACACAAAATGATCTGATTTGAGGGGGTCAACCTTTTATCTTGACTAGTTTTCTCTTGGGGCCCCATCTCTTGTTATGGCCTCACCCAATGAGACTAAGGTGACTATTACTTTGCTAGTTGATGGATACCATCTCTTATCAGTTTAATGGTCATGTTAGTCAAGTAGTAGTAGTTAAGTCTCAAATTCTTTGACAACATGAATGTCTACACAGTAAAAGTGGAGAAATTATTAGAGGATGTTGTGCAGATTTTCAGATAACTTTAGAGAGAGGGTTTTTCTCCCACTAAATGAGCATTTATAGTCCATGGATGACCGATTGAATGCTAGAAGAGGTCAACAAGTTGAATTGATATATTATAAGTCAATCTTCTAGAAGATCAAGAATAGCCCATAGTAACATAGGCCTAATTTCTCATTAGGCAAGTTGTTGAGGTTCAATAAAAGGGCTGAAGACATAGAAAGAAAAAGTCCCTAACATTGAACTCCAACTCTTGTCACTTCTAATTAACATAAACCTTCATATTGTGTTGGACAATGCTTAGGTGACACTTTAATTGGTCTAGTAGGGTGTCGTAGTCTTTTAATTGAAGCTTCACTACGTACAATATACTAGAATGAGCCAATTTCATAAGAGAGGGGGTGGTTTACATCTGTAGGAGACCCAAAAGAGAGTGGTGCTGTTGGAGTTGAAGTTCATATTGGATTAAAACTTTACCTACATTGGACACTTGACCAACCAATGTAGACATTCTCTGATGAGGTAGCATAAATATGTTTTAAGGCTTTTGTTGACCACTTTGTTTTGGTCATCTATTTTGGGGATGATATGCACTCTTCTAATATATAGTTGATCCTTAGAGGTGGAAGAGTTATTGGTACAAGTTGCTCATGAAGATACAATCTCTATTTTTGAGAATAGAAGATGAAATGCTGTGAAAATACATTATTTTCTTGATAAAGAGTGCATCAACTTCTGACATGATGAAGGGGTGCTTGAGGGTGTAAAAGTGTGTACTTACTTAATCTATCGACAATGAGTAAGATCAATTTGAACCCCTTCAATTTGAAGAGTTCCTTAATTAAGTTCATCATGATATCCTCTTAGACGTGTTATGAAATGAGCAATGGCTGCAATAGTCTAGTTGATGCAAGTCACTAAATATTATACTATTCCTAGGTTAAGCAAGCTTTGACAAACTTCTTGATGGTTGCTTTCATGTTTGTCCATTGAAAATCTCCACAATCAGAAATTGATTTAGGATAATTATTCAATTCATTGGAAATGATTTTATCTTTCCTCAAGACCTTTCATTTGAACTTCCTCTTAGATTATTAGGACTATCAATTTTCTATGGCATCAATGTCCTGATGAGTATTTCTTATTCCATGAGAAGTAGACTCTAACTTTGTGAGTTTGAATCTCTATTGGAGTGAGTTGAAGTCATCTACTTCCTCTTTTAGATGGTTGTTCTAGAGAAGTATTAAATCCTTATTTGTTGCTGCGAAAGTTCAGTAGTGAAGTGCACTCAAGGAACAATCAAAGGCAAAGTCAAAGTCAGTAGTAAATTTGATCCTTCTATGGTAGAGGAGCTGTAGCTTCTACTATTTATGGCTACTTCCTTTAATACTGTACATTTGAGTTTAGCCTTTTGAGTTGTTCTTACCATAACTATAAGCCCTATAGGCTTGAGTAGGGCTACCTTGACTTGTATCTCTATTCAGCCTTTTATGAAAGATGTTTTCAAGAATTTGCTCAAGAAGGTGGTTGAGAATTGTAGTTGTTAGTTCAAATTCCTCGAAGCATTCAATGACGAAGCTTCTCTATTTGATGTCTCTTATGACAAAGAGATATTGTTTGGTTGGAGCTGAAGTGCTCAAAGAATTAACACTAGAGATCCTCATAATTGAAGTTCTTGCATTTATGTCTATTTAAATAAGACAAGAGCCTTTCTTTTGAGGCTAATTCATGTTGTTGACAATTTTTCTACAACCAAGAGTCAATGCATAGGGAAATATAGTTTTGCTTGAGAAATCCAACCTTCTAGGTTGTGACCATCAAACATGGGCATCTCAAACCTATGCCCTTTGTGCCACAATTCTATGTGAGAGAAAAGGGTCATCTAGTGAGGCTTACCCTAATTTAATTGGTTGTTGACTTAGTCATCAGCCTCTAATTCATCAAGACCTGGCTAATTGTTATTGGATTCTCCTTGAAATTAGTTATTCTTCTTCTCCTTGCGAAGAAGATCTTTGAGAATGTTTTGCATAATAAGTTGTCAAGAGCACCCACAATGTAATCCACTTACAATTGAAGTCTCCTATCTTCTTTGTAAAGTGAGTTGACCTTTATTTGCAATAGCACCATGCTCTACTAGAGGTTGATGTTAATTTCTAGAATGTCCTCTAATTATTTTTCAAGGTCCTTCTCAAGATCATTAGTTTTAAGAAGTTTGACTCAAGTGACTTTGATATTAATTTGATGAAGGCTTAGTATGAAGAGAACAATGACTCTTCAAAAGGATAAAAAATACTACTTTGATGTAATAAGTCTTTGTTATCATGAGTTAATGACTAGTTAATAATATATTTTATCTCTGAACTCATGATAAATAATTTTATTTTTATGCTAAATTAAAAATATAATTTTTATGTGATTAAATATTTTTTTGACTAATTATGTGACTTTATATGATTTTACATTCAATTTAATAATTAAATAAAGAGAAATGAAATAATTAAATATCTAGAGTATTTGAGTAATTAACTAACCTTCTCTCACATAGCTTGGTGACTGATGAAGATCTGAATCTCACTAGAGCTTATATTTATATTTTTATTTGTTTAACTTGTAATTTTTCTACAAATCGTCAATCAATGATCAAGCTATTGAAATTATTTGATGATTAACAAAAATTTTGTTAGTGTGATTTGTGAAGCATCATTATCAACTAACAAAAGATCTAAAGATAAAAAGATCACAAATTTATCAAAAAAATATCTCTTAATGATTGACAAACACATTGTCTTCAATGACATGACAATTTAAGAGAAATGAGTCACCTCTTTGAAGTATATCAAATGAGATCAAAAACCTCCTCTTAGTATGTGGGCCTAAGGATGAAGCTCTCTAAGACATTCTTCACCTCTATTAACTTCTGCCACCAAAGACACTTCATTGACCACCTTATTAATTTTTAGATTTAAGAAGAAAATTCAAAGATTTCTCACATCATTTATGTCTAAAAAAAGCCTTCAGGGCCATGGACATCATATGATAACTATCTCAAATGCTCAAAATTTTGGTGATCTCTACTATGACACTATAACTCAATTTTTATTATTTTAAAATTATTTTTTTATAAATTAATAATATTTTATATGATTTTAAATTTAAAAACTATTTAATCAATTATGATTCTTTTAATTTTTACAAATCTTAATTTGATCAACTAAATTATTTGTAATCACTTACGTAATAATCACTAGATGTCTATTTTCACTCAAATCCCATTTGTTAGGTTGTTGACATTTCTTGATGTTAGTACTTGAATTTTCTTTTTTCTTGTATTTTTAAATAGATTTTCTCTTTATAATTTAGTCTAAAAATTTTAAAAACTTAAATTATTTGAGAAAAATTCTAAAAGCTTACTTGATATTATCTTATATCCTTGCAATCGACTTAAAAAATTCTAACTATTTGTGGAACCTTTTATCATATTATAGGTTGATGACCCCCTAATTGCAAATCTTCTCTCTCTCTCTCTCTCTCTCTCTCTCTCTCACACACACACACACACACACACACACACACACACACACATCAGGGTAGTAAGTAGACTACCCTTATTGTCATGGTACTCCAAGCCCCATTGATTAGTTACGATGGGTCCTTGCCTGTGAACGATGTCTCTGCGTTATAGGCTCTTATATTGTGAAGGGCCAGTAGACCGACTTTACCCTCCGTCGCGATTTTTGCACGTGATCAGCCAATCGAACTGGATTTTTTTCCAATAAGCTTATTTAAGTTATGATAAAAAGGACGGTGCCGCCGCCTCCCGTGTTGCACGTGGGGCACTGTAGCTGATGGGCTTCATTGACCTAGGACCAACAGTTCTGACGGTGAGATGAGCGATCTGCTACCACTGATTTGGCCGCTCGCACAACGTGACGGATACGACCCTACGATCACCGTTGAGTTCACCCTCTCGTGCCTTGCCTTTCTTGGTTCGTACGCGTCACCAAGCAGTCATGGTCCCTACAGTGGGGGCGGATCTTCATCCGACTCCAACGGCCAGGAAGAGAGGAGATAATGACGGGGCACGTGGAGGAAGAGGACGGGCGTCACCATTTCACAGCTCTGGGCTGTCCCCCCGTGGCGGCTACTTCTGCCTCCTGTCCGGCCCTCCCTTCCTCTGTATATATAATCTCCTCCCTCCGCCCTCCTCAACGAGCCAGTCACCGCCAAGCTTTTAGACCTCTCCCTCTCTGCGCATGGCCGCCGCGGAACTCCGGCATGGAGAGGACGACGGGGACGATGCAGGGCAGCGAGTGGAGTCGTCGTTCCTTCTCCTCTCGGCCGACCTGCTCCTCCCAGGGGACGCCTTCCTCAGTGCCGCCGTCGCCCTCAAGGAGAAGGTAGAGTAAAGAAGCCCTGCTCACTCGCCAGCTTTTCGACGCCGGTGACCGGTGAATCACCTGCCGTGGCCGGCGTATGTGATGATGTTACAGGTTGTTGAGACCACATGGAAGTCCGAACGTCATCGCGAGCGGCCCGTCGACCCCACACTGTACACCGGTCTGATGGGCACCGCCTTCGCCTGCCTGAGGTCGTTCGAGGCCACGGGCTCGCCGGAAGATTTACTCCTCTGTTCCGAGATCGCCGACACCTGCGCCGCCGTCGCGCGGTGCTCCAAGAGGTAAACCGCCGCCACAGTTACTCTCTTCTTCTCCGTCGTCCGTCAGTCCGTCGGATGTGGGTGCGACTTAAAAGTAAGAGTGAGAGGGTGTCTCTGAGTGTGCCCCGGTTGCAGTTACTTGACTTTTCTATGCGGGTGCGCGGGGGTGTACGCTCTCGGCGCCGTAGCGGCCGACCGCCTGCGTGACCGCCAGCGGCGGGACCTCTTCCTCGGCCTCTTCTTCGAGGTACGGCGAATGCGAAACTTCGCTCTTTCCCCTGTAGTAGTAGTAGTAGTAGTAGTAGTAAGTAGTCATTCGTCGCGGGAGTTTGGCTGACGGCGGAGTGACGGACTCCCATGGAGGAAGGTGGCGAGAGAGAAGGCGCTCCCCGCGGGGCCGGAGGAGGGCGGCTTCGGGATGCCGTACGACCTTCTGCATGGCCGGTCGGGGTTCCTCTGGGCGGCCCTGTTCGTCCGAAAGCACCTCGGCCCCGGCAGTGTGCCCGATGAGCTCGTCCTGCCGGTGGTGGAGGCCGTGCTGGCGGGGGGCCGGGCCGGCGCGGCTCACGCAGCGGACTGTCCACTGGTCTATCGGCGGTACGGAACCCGCTACTGGGGAGCCGCCCACGGTCTGGCGGGGATCATGCAGGTGCTCCTCCACTTCCCTCTGGCGGAGGACGACCTCGACGCTGTCAAGGAGACCCTGCGGTACGCATGTTATACAGTACACAAATCTTTGCGGCGTATATATGTATATATATCTATGTTATAACGCCCTGGGCAACTCGATTCACTGCTTTCTCGATAGCTACATGGTGAGGAACCGCTTCCCCCACAGCGGCAACTACCCCACGAACGAGGGCAACCCCCGGGACGGGCTCGTGCAGTGGGCCCATGGCGCCGGCGGTATGGCCGTCGTGCTCTGCAAGGCGTCCGAGGTCACCCGCTCTACCCCTTCTTTTCCCTCTCTCAAAGCCCCTATCTTTGTTTCACAGAATTTGGAATGTCGTCAGACTGTTGCAGATACTCAGAGATGCGTCGTATCTGTCGCTAGGTTTTCCCCGAAGACCCGGACTTCCGGGACGCGGCAGTGGAAGCTGGGGAGGTTGTGTGGAGGCGAGGGCTCGTGAGGAAAGTTGGGCTCTGCGATGGTACCGCCGGGAACGCCTATTCCTTCCTCTCGCTGTACAGACTGACGGGGGAGACGGTGTTCTTGGAGAGGGCGAGGGCGTTCGCCAGCTTCCTGTACCACAACGCAGAGAAGCTCGTCGGCCATGGACAGCAGCACGGCGGGGAGCATGCCTATTCTCTCTTCCGTGGCCTCGCCGGGCCAGCGTGCCTCTGGTTTGACATGATCTCTCCGGAAAATGCCAGGTTCCCGGGATTTGAAATCTGAGAAGGAACGCGTTTGTGTCTTGGGCTAGAAGGTCGTCCCCTGTCGAGTCAGAAAGTGCTGACGAATGTGTGATGTATCATATATCCAACTCCATGTTCGGGGTTTGAATCCCGTTCATGGACAGATTTAGCAGTCGAAATTCAAGAAGGATGCCTCGAAAATTTCTGGTTTTCGAGCTTCATGGTGGTTCCTTTTCTTTCTACTTACCCAACAACGGAGTGGGACTAGGAGAAAACTGTGTGAGGTCTTCTCTAACTCCGGTTGCACGAATATGATATCTCCTGCAACTACCTTTGTATGTAATATATTTATACCTATTTATGTATATAGAATTCTCACTCTTGGGTCCCCAATGCGATGATGAAGGCTCCCATAAGGAGGGAACGGGCAATTGAGTGCTTTCGATGTCTTGGTGATATCAGGATACCTTTAAGATAATAGGTTGATTCTAGCTAAGAGATTCATACAAGGAGCTAGCCTCACTGTAAATAGAATATTTTTAGTGTTTGCAGGGTTCCCAGCGAATCGGATTATTGGAGTAGTGGAAAATTCTGTTCTCTTCATGTTACCTGGCCATGAATTCTAATTTATTCATTTCGATGCTTGAAACTATCGGTTTGCTCCTAATTTGTTATTGGAGATATCACATGCTCACTAATTCTGGTGCTGAAGTATTCTGTAAATGAGATCTACGATAAGTCTGTTTTCTTCTGGGTCTGAGGGCACGACTTTCAAGTGCTGATTTTGCATCTAATGAGAAATTATCGACCAAGGGTGGGTTTACTGATTTTACTCGGCATGACTGTCGAGTGCTGTTCGAGGGCAAAGGGCTTTCTTTTGAAAGCATCAACCCGTTGCGATTAAAGTTCAGCATTAGCCACCACGTGCAGGCTCGTTGCATTGGCCTCGAGCTTCCATTCCATTGTGAAAGAATTTGTCATCTCTGCTGAATGAACCGACCAAATCGCTACAGATGTGAGAAGAATCTACAGTGGAACCATGTTCTTCGTACATCGTTGTCACAATCGAACCGGGAGATGAAGAAAGAAAAAAAATGTAATCAACCTGATTCAGCAGCAGAAGAAGAACCCCATCAACATGCTTGCATACTTGGCGTCGTGCAGATCCTTTCTTGCCCTGGAACTGCTGAAAACAGAGAAAGAGGCTACTCCCCAGATCTTCTCACCTTGTGCTTGGGTTGAAATGGAGAAAATAAAACCTTATCACGAAGGACAGAGGGGAGAACAGTAGAAACCGCCTCAAGATTCATTCAACTCTAACCCCCATTATATAGAGAATAACAATACACAACTTTTGTAAAAACATCCTAAACTAATTACACTATTTTCTTACGACTTAGAATTTTCAACTCTCTCATTCAAGATGAACTTTGAAAAGCTCATCTTGACTAAGTTGATAATGACAAAAATCTTGCCCTCTGAGCATTCACTTATTGGTGATGATGAAGATCTGTTCTGGCAGCAACTCTCCCTTTGATGGTAGTCATAGATAACCGCTACTGAGGTTGTGGATTCACAGACACCTTTGGCTCCTCTGATGCTTGTCATGCCCCAAAGATAGCTCACCATGAATATGATAAAACCAAACACCTGTGACTTGATCATGATGCTCATTATGTCCCAAGGCTGTAGAGTTTGCCTCGGAGTCATGAAGTAGTTTACAAAGTGACACCAAACACAAAAAGAGTATCCCTCTACTAAGAGATCTGCAAAGTGTCAAGCTCTGATGCAAAGGCTTTCAATTATGACGATTGATGTGATGTCGGGCCTCAGCTCTTAGAAGAGCCGGGGCCAGCACCCTCCAACCAATCGAGTAATGAACTCACTGAAGAGATAGAAGGTGAAGGCCATTTCAATGAAGGCAGAGGTGAGCTAACAACACCAGACATGGAGTGTAACAACGTGGACTGTGGAGAACTTTGGTTGCATGCAGAATAGAGAGAGACAGAATGAGGACGGAGTACGACATTGGACTGAGACAAGCGTGGATAAGAGAGGCTGATTTTACCTCTCTCAAGAACGTTGATGAAGATGGAAACAATGGTAATGAACCTAAATATTTCAACCTCTAGACAGAAGGCTTGATGTAGATAGAAATGACACCAATGAACTTGAAGATGTCATTGATGAACCTGCTGCTGATGAACTCAAATATATTGTCAAATGACAGATGAAGATCATAGTAAGAGAAACAAGATAGAGCAAGATTAGTGCTCTCTCGTCGTAGAATTGCCTTGCCAATAGAGGACCTCTTTGAAAGAGGAGATGACAATGGACTCGTCGTCCTATACTAGATAATTAATGGAAGTAGAATTGCTCTGAATGACAAAAAGAAAACCTACTCAAAATGACAAGATATCACACCTATAACGGTCGAAAGATAACACCTCTAATGGCGCAATAGGTACATCAAGATGACACCAGAAAGAAACTCAACAGAGGCGGAAGGCCTCAACGAAAGGATACCCGACAGAGGCGGAAGCCCTTGCTGGAAAGATAACAGAGGTTGAAGGCCTCGCCAGGAAGATAACCGGCAGAGGCAGAATGCCTCGCCGGAAGGATACACAGCAGTGGCGGAAGGCCTCATCGAGCAAAGAGGGGTTTGAAACCTTAACTTGTAACCTGTCTGCTGCCAGATGCTAGTGATGGTGGTGTCGACGCTCACCCAAACAAGCAATACCGAACAGAACCGACGCCAAACAAAACTGGTGGTGGCAGCACTCCCCCAGACAGAAGATGCCAAGCAAGGCCAATGAAACCCTAGCAGAACGAACCCCCCTCTGATACCACATTGAAATGGAGAAAATAAAGCGTCGTCACGCATTAAGGTTTATTCAACTCTAACCCCCATTATATAGGGAGTAACAATACAAAATATTTGCAAAAACACCTTAAACTAATTACACTATTTCACTACGACCTAGAATTTCCAACAGCTTGCTCATTATCTTCCTCTTAGCAGTGTCAGGCAAGGTGAATTATTGTTGCACCATTGAAGAAGAACCAGTTCCCACATCAACAACAGAATGACACCAACTATGGCCCCATTAAATGTAACACATACGTTCTGTTCAATCCTGCCAGAAACAGAGAACATTGAGACACTAGGAATCACCCGCCAGTCAGTGTGATCTAGATCAATCAGGGGCTCTTAGCTCCTGAAATTACCTGCATTTTTGTTCCATCCTGCATGATTGAGTATCTATGGCTACTTATAGGCTAAGCAATCCGAAGCCATCAAGTCTCCTTGCCAGCACAAATCCAAGTGACAGGGAAATTCCAAATAAAACATGCAGACGAACGCAATAGTATTTTCCCAGGAAGATCCTAGTTTTATCCTGTGATACGAGAAGAACCGACACAGAAATCAGATGTTATATCATAAAGGCATTGACCAAAAATTTACTTCTTACATTATGGTTTTCTTCCACATAGTTTGCGACCAACTTTCCAACTGGAAGGGTGAGACCGCAGAGGAACTGCAGTAAAAGAAATTAGACAGTTAGAGTTAAAAAATAGTGATAGACAGCTGATGTTGACCCCTGTAGGTCCTCATGTGTGTAGGTGACTTACAGCACACGATATTGGAAGCACTTTACCAATGCACAAAGCAATTAAGAGGGCATAAAGCGTAAAAACCACAAACGTCACTACTTTTGATCCTTTCTGGGTGCCGATCCTCACCTACACCAGTACAAGGATTAGTATTGAAGGCTTTGAAGCTTGAACAGGATAATCTCGGTTGATTAAGATAACTGTTCTAAACATAGTTGCAAGAAAGTACCAGAGGAGACATCTTTCCAACAGCCTGGTCTCCCTCAATCTGAGTTGATTTTGGCAGAAGCATAAAGAGGATTATTCAAACAATTGATTGCAGCACTTTGACAACAAGGGAGAGAGCCATAAAAAATGTGCTACTAAAATAGCCACCTGATGAAAATGACTACAGAAAAGGATGAGGGTTGTCGTCAATCCCACAAGAAGCGAAGCAGATAGAACTGGCCTGAGAAAAGCAAAAGGCAGCTTTATTTGCATGAGAGAATTGGGTCATAAATCCTTTTTAAAAAATTCCCTCACGAAGTTGACATACCCTGACAAAGTGCGCCCTCCCTGGGACAAATAGAAAGCTGTAGTAGCAAAGGGACCAAATGCTGCAAAACACAGTGGTTCTCCAAGCCCCTGGTACCCAAGTCGAAATGGCGGGCACTGGAAATGATGATTCAGGTAAGGCAAATATGGAGTATTTTTTCCCATAACGAAAGATATCTACAGAAAATTGCAAATGATGTGACATATTCACAGAAATGGGCAAGCTGCCAGAGAAAATTTCTAGTTCAGGTATGTGTAATATCATGTAAAATATCATCAGTAATCTTAGGACCAAAGAAAAAGGATAACCATCTGTAGAAAAAGGTGATCATACCTGATAAATATACCCACAGAAGATGGAAGAAAACAGCAAAAAAACAGATCTAATGTCTCCGGATTCGACACATGCCAAAATGAGCCCGACAAGTCCAAAGGCAAGAGAAATGTTTGCAGCAACATGAATGGCCTCCCGGCTTTTCAAAGAGTGAAATCGATGTAAGAGTTCCTTCTACTGAGGAATGCTGTCAAAACAAACTTGATGAGATTGCAGACTGGAAAGAAAAAATCACATACCTGCCAATCATGTTGACGACTGACTCTTTCTTTTTTTCATCAACACCAGTAACAGAATCATATACATCATTACTGACCATCAGGAAATTAAATCATAAACATCGTAGATCAATAAATGGGGTCTAAATAAATTACGTACTCATATCACCTTCCTTGAAAAGAATATGAATACAAAGACGATACGAATGCAAGTAAAAAGAAAAATTTGTCATCTTTACCTCAAATTAAGCCAAGCTATAATGAGAATTGATGCTGACAAGAGCAAAAAGTAACGCCTGCCAAAAAAGAGTCCACTCTGAAGATATGCTGCAGAGCTGCCTACCTATAACGCACAATTTATTGTCAGACATCACTGCCCCGAGCTGATGGGGAAATTGGTGTGGAGGAGGAAGCGAGTGGGTTGGGGGGCCACTCTTTGAGATGGAAGGGAATGGATTTGAGGCTTCCAGCTACGGGAGAACGGCTGCTCCTAAGAGATGAGAGGACTATAGAAGAACAGGAAATACAGGATCAGATAGACTATTAGACATGCTTCCCTGGCGTCCAAATCTAATGCAGTAGCTAGATTTTCAAGAAATAGTCACATCATGTCATTTGAATAGATGCCAACAGAATATCCTCCAAATAGGGAACCAAATTCTTTGAAAAATGGAAATTCAGAAGCCCGGTAGATCTTGAACATTTTAAAACGAAAAGATAACCACGCTTCTTCTGACGCAGGAATATACTATGTTGAGGCGAAGAGATCAGTAACGGGCGCTACGAATTAGAAAGACTGTAATTCTCTCGGTTCCCATACAGCTCACTTGTTTAAGCAACAAACGGAAAGAGAAGGCGCTAACAGCACTCACAGTGAGGGGGACGAGCGCCACGGAGTAAATTGGCAACTTGATGGCCCTCCATATCAGCGTTAACTGAGAAAGTTCTTCACTCTCCTCTTCTAGCGCACTCATTGCCGCAGGACAGTCGTCCGGAAGCTCAGCAGCTTTAGCTTTCGACAGAGCGAGCCTCGGGTGGCGGGGCAGTGGCCTCGCGGCCCGCATGGCCGTACGCTTCATCCAGGGAACCTCCCGGGATTTACTGAGAGGATGATTAGCACAGGACGGGGATGAACAGAGAACCAAGGAGAGAGACGGCGCTGTGGGTGTGGTGGCAGAGGCCAAGGAAAGAGCCATTCTACTGCGGGGTCGAGGCCGTCCACAGCTATCTCATTCTTCGGCCCTCCTCCCTCCAGCCGGAAACCCGAAGTCCCGAGCTGTATCAGAGGATAATCAGGCAGATAGGGGCAATTCAGACAGAGAGAGGGGAAAGAGTGAGAGAGATAGAGACAGAGAGGTCTCGATGGCTACCCAAACTCCGAGAGTAAGCCAAATAACGGGACGGACCTCAACGGCCGTATAACATCTCGTAATTACCCCGGGAATCATGGTGAACACCAGAAGAATATATATTTTTATTTAAAATCATTCTTTTAATTAACTTGACAGAAAATGAGTGTGAAGAAGAAATTCCGTCTTTAGTGCTAATAAAGCCACGGCTTTAGTCTCCTCCACTGCACTCCAAGGGTGGTTTCTGTCTTAACAGTATGAAAGAAGGGCAGGCAGAATTTTCTCGAGGAAAACTTGAGGAGGATTACGCCGAATTCTGTGCATAAATATGAAATCTTTTGAGCATCCTCAGAATCGTTTGAAACAATTCAGGGCAGATTTAATCAAATGCTCGGTAGACCCTGCTGATGCCATCACGGCATGTCTGACGAGTTTTCAATGAAAAGTTCCAAGGCCCAGTGTGACAAACGGCACGGATTGTCGAACTACGAAAGGATTTTTTACTACTACTTGCAGAAGCTTTATTTTCGGACAGTGCAATCGAATGCAGCGATTCAGGGCATTTATGCTGACACCATCGAATCCTCCTTAATACCAATCTACTTACTAACAAGCATCATTCCTGGTATCGCATTTAGTCACGGATTAATTTCTTGGATAGAACTGTACCGGCGATTTAGATGAACGAGTTGGAAGGTCCAGAACTAAACCAACAACATGCATCTTCCGTCCTAGGAGCAGTATGCAGTCAAAAGATATGCAAAGTTACCTAAAGAAGTAAAAATAAATAAAATACACAAACCACCATGAAAGGTTCTCCAACTCTGGAAACTTTCCACATCCCTATCCCCATGTCCGAGAATGATCCACTACTCGTACAAAAGTTTATGGTCACTTCAAATTAGAACGGGAACGTTCACTTGACGTAAACAGATATTTATGAGAGGACGTCACGCAAGTCCTATTGAAACATGCCCGCACAGTCATGTTGCTCTTCAGGTTCCTTCACTTGGTCACCATCCCCTGACTCTCCGTTACCTTCTACATCTTCTGGCACCTCTTCGACATTTTCTTCACTGCCCGTCTCAGCCTTCTCTTCCACTGGAGCACTGCCTTTGTGCTTAAAAGACAGTCTCGCCAGGAGTTCCTGAGAATCCACCGGGGAAACCATAGCACTCAGGTTCGTCTTACCTTTCCAACATCCAATAGCGACTGTTGATGCATCTACTGGAGCGTCCTCCATTGTCTGGTCACCTACATAGATTCATAAAAAGTGTTCTCAGATGTCTAGGAGTTTTAATCTGTCTCATTCACCATTATGGATTGTGGTCATGTAGCCACCTTTGTTCAGAACAACCACACAGCAGCCGAAGGCCAAGTTCGATGCCTTCTGTCCAAAATAGACGTCAATGAACTCGGAAAATTTAATGTTCCTGTACTTGAGAAGGTTCTCAAAGTCAGCTAAGGAAGCATGTAAGATCTGTTTCCTGATGTACGGTAGCAGTAATGGTAATCCTTCTGAGGATATGCGGAATGCACAAGACGAAGATGCATAAGTCTCCTTTGATGTCTGTCGCTCCTGAAATAAGCAGGTAAACTTACTGTCCCATGACCAACAAGCAACATGAAGCACATTCGTTTCATAAAGATGGAACGAAAACTGGACTAATGGATATGATACAAAGGAGAACCTTAGAAAATCATTCTTCGAGATGGACACAACAAATATATGATTGGAAACATTTGGCAGCATGTGGCCCTGATAATTTCAAAAGTTGTCCGCTAGGGAGCGATCAAAGATACACCATATTATGTCTATGTCTCCAATGATATTGTCCTTAATGAAAATCAGGCTTAGAAAATAGCAAATTTTGTACTCGCGAGAGACTTATTTGGATCATAATTTCGTTATTAAACTTTCAAAACCTTATCCATATTTATTGCGAAGCGTACAACAAATAGAATAAGATAAAATATTTCATGCTTGTGACATGGAAATTCCGGTACGTGCATCGAGACAAATGAATTTAAAGTCGTTCCAATATACCAACATCAGTAACAAAACTTATATGCCTGCTTGATCCCATCGAGTTTAGACTGAAATGAGCACATAAAAGTTGCAATCAAACATCATGATTTAGAGAACACTTACAAAGATCTTCAAGCCAAGGGAAGTAATCTTAAGTGCTTGCCCCACTTTGAAATTTAATTTGACAACATTATGAACTGACTTCGATATATAATAGATCCTTTTTACACGACTTGAATCAGTGTTTCTGGTAACAAGGTGTCCCTCGAGGGGAAATGATGTATCAATACCATAGAAAGTTCTGATAGTCTTAATCACATCTTCATCTTCAAAGAGGACAACAGGATCAACACCTCTCCATTTCCCTTGAATCTGTAATCTGCTTTTTGCCACGTTTCCTGATTCCTTCTCACCTTCCAAATGCAATGGTTTCGACCCTACGTTATTTGTTTTTTGAGGGTCATCATCAGGGGCCCATGGGTGATTATTTTGGAAACTACCATCTGACGTTTCAGTCAAGATTTGTACACCCGAAGCTTTTCCAGCTTTTTCAGACTCGTATTGATCTTTAGCTGCTCTAGTTTTTTCTTCTGAGACCTCAAACATACAGTTATCTGATTTTTTCTTTTGATGAGGATTATTCCCTGAAGCATCTGCAAGCAGGCAAATAATGTAAAGTTCTAGTTTCCACAAGAAAGACTACCTTTCTATAAAGTGAATGGATATGAACAATTAAAAGAAGACCGGTACATTTTACCTTGCAGTGGAGCTAGTTTTCTAAGGACAGCAATAAAGAAGGCTCCATTATTTTGGTCATGAGGGACTATCCTTATGCAGCGTTCAAGGGGCGGGCATTCATCCATCTCGACCTTAGCTTTGATACTGTCAGTCAATATTGCACCGTCAACTAGAAAATCATATTCAGAACCAGGGTTGTCACTACTGACAGTCTGAGATCTACTTGTCCCGTTTTCTTCCTCAACAGTATCAGCTGCTAATATTGTATCCACTGGCACATCAGAGGACGATGATCCGAGATCTTCACTACTTTGAGCAGGAGAAAACATACTTTGTAGAATTACTCCTTTTCTAGCAGGGGGAACATCCTCATAAGAATGCAACCAAAGCCCTCGATCTCTAACCTGAAGATCGCACAAAAAAGACATACAATTCGAAAGAAAATTGTGAGCATGAAAATAAATAGAGAAACTAAATAGGAGTGTATTCTCTGACAAGAAGAAAGGGAAAACAAATATAAGGATCAAGGGCCGAAAGCTTCAGACAAGGAACATCCAAAATAAGTCAGTCATCATGACAGTTTAACATTCCGTAAGGTAAAAGGAAAAAGGAAAAATCATCATCACAGAATTCAAATAAAAATCTCTCTCAAGTGTTAGTAAATATGGCACTTAGATCATGGGCATTCAGGATGAGACAGCATTTTCCTAATAGTTTACATCAGGTAATCCCAACCAATATCCAAGATATGTGACAAAGCCTGATCTGTATTATCCTGCTCAGCTCCAAACATACTGAACTGTAATTCACGTTGTCATCAGCTTAATTGACCCGAACCTATGCAGGTTAAACCTGAGGGGTTTGAGGGGTTTCTGGCCAGTAGTGTATGAAACATAAGAATTGGCCCTCAGAACTGATATGATTTGAGTCAGTTCAAGTCATTATCAGCCAATGATATTTGTCTTTAAAGGAGAAGTATCACTCAGCTGTAATAGCAATGAATAGCCAACACACCCAAAAATGTCACCACACATTAATCATCTGAAGCCACTGTCTTAAAATCATTTAAATGTGAGAACCTTCTATCAAATAAATAGCCCTCGGTTTTAAACCTTTAAAAATCAGAAGTGGCTTATTATATGATCCTCTCAGTTAATGCTAACCACTTTTGAGGAAAAAGATGGCCAAATTTGGAACGGTATGTCCAGTAACAGATTCGTATAATGACCATCATCTAGCACTCCTAAATGTTACCAGCTGGTTAGAAAAGAAATGAATACCCTATCTTAAACTCATCTAAGAAAGTATAGATTTCAGTTTGAGCTACAAGTTATAACTGACTATCTCAAAAGTATTACCCATATGTGCCTACTAACCCAGGAGTTCATCAGAGCAAGTATCTAGCCCAGCAGTCTGTGTTCAATGTTTTACTCGTGTTCCCAATACGACGAAGAAAATCAGATGACATGGTTTAACTTCCTACATAGATCTCAACAGAAAACCAGGGAAAGTCCCATTTCTAGGTGGTTGTCCTCTTTAAAGTAAAGTGCATAAAAAGTAATACCTTCCAGTTCTTAAGCCCTTGACGACGAATCAATTGTGGGAGCTCCCCAGATACATCTACAAGTTCTGCTGTGCTGCCACACCTTCGAAGAATCTACAGATTAAATCAAAAGGTTCATTCTCACCGAAAAAAAATTAAAAATATGAGGGAATAACATTAGGAATCTACGTGGTAACGGAAACATAAATATGGTTTCTTCTATGTGAGAGAAGAAGCAAGATATTGCAGAGAAAATATTAAAAAATATGTCCAGCGGTTGGGCAACAGATCATAACAAAGGCTTACGCAAAACGTTTTATCTGCAGCCTTTTCCCTTTCAGAAATACAGTAAAAATTATGATGGTTTGCCATCAAATACTAATTGTATAAGATTTGAATCTGATCCAGTGCACTGACAGGTAACCACAGCACTGTGGAGAGAATATTTGATAAAAGAAAAAACTCACTCACAAAAGAAGCGGGGTCTGGTATTTATATCAGATCCCTGGACCCTGCTTAACGTGTTTTTCCAGACACATACATATAACTACAAGAAGCTTAACGTATACTGGACAGTTTATTAGACACATCCAGACAACACTTCCCCTCAAGTTGGTGAGTAGATGTCATCCATTCTCAACTTGAGAATAATCTTCTGTAGTTGTGTGCCCGAGATGCCTTCAATAAGCATATCTACCAGTTGGCTGTGTGCCGAGATGTATGGTATACAAATCAAATTTGCCTCAGATTTTCTTTGCTAAAATGACAATCAACCTCTACATGTTTGGTACGATCATGCTGTACCGGACTATGCAAGATTAATTTCTGACTTATTATCACGACAAAGCTTTATAGGGCAATTGGAGAGATTTTTAGCTCATCATGTAAATTTTTCACCCACAGTAACTTGCATACACCTTGGGCAAGTACCTTGAATTCAACTTCAGCACTTGAACAAGCAATCAGATTCTGTTTTTTTACTTTTCTATGTAACAAAGTTTCTTACAATAAATGTGAGAACAAGCAATCTTTGATCAATCATTGATCCTACATAATTAAAAAACATTTCAACTTCTGCCTTCTCACTTCATTTGAAGAGAACTCCTCGACTAGGTGTGCCTTTCAAGTAATGTAACACTTGATAGGCTGCATGTAAATGAGATTCTTTTGGTTGATGCATAACCGATTTAATATACTCACTGCATACGAGATATCTGATTGAGTATGTGTTAGATAAAGTACCCAGCCAATGAGACGTAGATACATCTCATGGTCAACAGAAATACTGGCTGGTTTACATGCAGATTTCTCTATTTCCATCAACAAATCTATTAGGTACTTATGTTGCAATATGAAAATACCTCTAAAAGAATGAGCCACTTCAATTTCCAAAGAATATTTGAGTCATCTCACCATCTTGATATTAAATTCATTAGCCAAACAATGGCTCAAGTTATGTGTTTCCTAATAGAACCATAATTTCTGACAAAGAGTGTTTACAGAATAAGGTGTCATCACCATTACTCTGACTACAGTTCAATTTTTTCATTGTTGCTATAAAACGTCCAAATCATGCTCAAGCTGACTATTTGATTCCACAAAAGAGACTTCTTTAATTTAGGAATAATATTCGATGAATGCTGACCTTCATATCTTGGTGGAAAAGACAAACTTCTTCAATTAGGCCAACATGTAAAAAATCATTTTTAACATTGTACTATTGAATGTCCTAGTTGAAAATGGCTGCTAAAGATAATAAAAATCTGACGGTATTCAATTTTCCCACAAGTATAAAAGTTTCCTGATAATCAATTTCATAAACTTGTGTATAGCCTCTAGCCGCCATCCTAGCTTTATATCTTTCAATCGAGCCATCTGATTTATATTTCACCATATACACCCATTTGCAACCAACCATCTTCTTATCATTTGGTAACTCCATTAGATTCCAAGTCTGGTTTATTTCTAGAGCTCTTATTTCATCATCCATAGCTTGTTTCCACTCATTGAATAGAGCCTTTGAAACATTTTTGAAATGATAGTTGTATCAAAAGAGAAAAGGACCAATAAGATGGAGAGAGTCCTTGGTAAGATAAAAAATTAGCTAATAGGTACAAAGGTTTCTTGGTACACTCTTGTAATGATTTTCTCAAGGCAATGGGAAGTGAATTTCAATTTAGAATGTCCTAATCATCAAATGAAGTAAATGTGGAATTCTGTATGCTTGATACAGAATCAGAATCTTAGATTTTTATCAAATCTTGAATTTCCCCTCTCCTAGAGTAAACTTGGTCAAATCTAAGTTTTTCAAGAAGCGAATCTAGAATAGAACAAGATTTTTCAGGGACTGAAATGGGGATAAACAAATTACCCGAGGATGACAAAACTGAATGATCTACATGATGATCAATATAATCTGTAAAAAATAAATTTGATCATTGAACAAAGAGTTTTTAAAAAGGTTCTGATTCATGAAATGTAATATCTATTGATGTAAAGAATTTATGAGTGCAAGAATGATAACATCTGTACCCTTTTTTATTACTAGCATATCTGAGGATATGCATTTAAGTCATTGTGGTTCTAGTTTTCCTTTGGTCTGATTGTGATGATGAACAAAGTAAAGGCAACCAAATATCTTAGGTTCTAACATGATCTTAATTTGATGGTGTGGAAAGTAGACAATCAACAAGTTTAAAAAACTGTGAAAGCCTAAGGTTCTAGACGGCAATTGGTTGATGAGATATTTAGCTGTTACGACAGCCTCACCACATAAAAGTTTTGGCACATTATTTTGAAATAAAATCAATCACATTACCTCTAAAAGATGTCAATTTTTCCTCTTAACTAAGGCATTTTTCTGTGGAGTATACACAAGATGATTCATGCCTGATACCCTCTAAGTTGAAATAATAATTCATACTTTCCCTCTAAAGTATTTCTTAGCATTATCGAACCTGAATTTCTTTATACTAATCCCAAATTGATTTTTAATCATAGCACAGAAAAAGTTTAAATTTCACAGGCATCAGACTTCTGTTTTAGAAGAAACACACACATATGACTCATCTATAAAGGTGACAAACCACTTATTTTCACAAATGTCATTAATGAGACGCACAAGTGTGTTAAGAGAATTCACACATCACAACCTACAGGTGTTTAAGGATACCTTTTAAAACAAAGTAGAAAAAGTATTTTCAGAGTGCTGAAGGAAGGATGGCCTATTCTTTGGTGGAGTAACTGCATTTTAAGATTTTCTAGAGGCTCTAAGTGTTGATCTACTTTCACTAGGTATGTTTGGCTCAATCCTTCTAGGAAAGAGAATCCTTCACATTCTCTAGCAACTGAAATCCTCTGACATTATCAAATATCACACAAATATCTTCATCAAAATAGGAATGATAAGATGAATGTTCCACAAGTTTCTTGACAAAAATGAGCTTTGTAAATAATTTTGAGAAATGGAGGATGTTAGTAAGGATTCCAAGGGGTCCATGTTTAAGGTTTCTTATACTAGTGACAGTTAGAAAGGATCCATCTGTACTGGATACCTTTCTATCACTAGGACGAGGATTGTATTTGATAAAAGAATGGGAAGAATTTGTCATATAGTCCGTTGCTCCTAAGTCCACTACCCTATTGTTAGAAATACCTTTAGAAGAAGCCGTCATTCCAAGAGAGTAATGAAACTTTTCAGGCTGGATTAATGAGTGCTATGCCGATTTTAATTTTTTCAATTCAACTTGACATTGTTCTATCTTATCCATCCGAAACAAAGGAGGATGAGCTTTTGATAGTTCTGATGGCGGGGGTTGGCAGGTAATTCTGCTACTAAATAATTCTGCTTTTCAGTGCTGAAATTTTGTGATCTACCATGAAGTTTATAACACCGATCTCTAGTGTGACGAGGTTCCCTACAATATATGCACCACAGGTTATCTTGAAAATCAGACTTTTGATTTTTTCACTGACCAAGTTGAGGCTTTCTTCATGTTTTTGCCCAATTTAATCATAAATGCAGCATTATCAATATCAGGCACTGATAAGATTAATTTCCAATTGCTCTCCTCATTGAAAACAATTGTAATAGCCTCATCTAGATCAGATTTCCTCTCACGGCTCAAAATCTGTTGTCTAACAGGATCAAAAAATAGAGTTAAGTTCTACAAGAAATTTAAAGATTCTTCTTCGTTCCATGAAATTTCGTGGAACAGTAATCTCCTCAAGTTTTTCTATGTCATAAACCTTTCAATTCCCCAGCATATTCTATCACGGATTTTCTTACATTATAGACATGGATTTTGTCTCTAATTCGTATATATGAGTCTCATTATTCGTCCGTGAGAATTTTGTGGGAACTATTTCCCACAAATCTTTAACCATTGTAATAGCCAAGAAGAAAAAATCTCGACTAATTTGGAGAATCATCATTCCCAGATTTAAGTCTTGATTTCTCCTCTACCAAATGATGCGACATTCCTCTCCTACTCAGAACCTCTCGAATATATTCTAACCATTGTATCAAATTATCTCTGGTTAAATTGAACTCTACAGGCATCGTAGGGAGTTCTACTAGTAATCGTGGAGCACTGGAACCAAGGTTAGAATCCCTCATGGAAGGAGGATCTCTCACATAGGATGAAGAAATCTCTCACATTTAACCTTTCAAGAAAACGGTCGGATTCACCAGATCCAATATTCCATCAACAGATCTCAATGGAAACAAATAAAAAAATGGTACAAGAACCATAACTGTAGGAGAATAGATCCGGTATTCACCAGATCCAGTATTCTGTCAACAGATCTCAATGGAGACGATGGAAAAACAGTACGAGAACCATAACTATAAGAGAATAGATCATTGCGGAAGGAAGAAACGGAGTGATCGCACTTAGATTCGCTCTGATACCAATTAGCAGATTTGAATCTGATCCAGTGCGCTGACAGTTAACCACAACGCCTGTGGAGAGAATATTTGATGAAGAAAACGACTCACAAAGGAAGCGAGTTTTTATATCAGATCCCTGGAAGTTTATTACACAGATGCTGACAACACTAATCAACATTTATTTTTGAGTTGATTAGTGAAAGGTTAACAATACAAATTGTACTAAAAAGTGTCTTTTACATAGTGATAGAAATGCATTTAACTGAATGAAATGCATTTAAGAAGTTTAGAAAATGTGAAGAAAGGCTGGGTTTAGCTATTTTCTGTGTCCGAAGGTCACCCACAGCATTTAACTGGTGGATGCACAACATATATGACATTAAATATCATGTGACAATGTCTAATTGATCTTGAAATCTTGGATATATAGGGGAAAAATGGAACAATTTTCGACAAGAATACCAGGGCAAAGAATGTTGTCCAATTCACCACCACTCAATGACTACATATTAAAGGCTGAATATGGTTTATTGAAGTTGGAAGAAAAAAAAGTGCTTAGTGTACGAAAAAAAGATAAACAATGAATATGGTTTTCAATGTAATTGAAATGTACCTCTGCGATAACAGCCTCATTTTCAACGGGATTCATTGAGCAAGTTGAGTAAACCATTCTTCCTCCAACTTTAAGTAATGCTAGACCTACAATAAATGAATTTAAGTGCTCTCAGGTTAACAGATAAACAACTTGAATAAATAAATCAAACCTCATATTTCACTATGTATAAATTATGCTACAAAATAATGCATTGTATCAATGTTAATATATCAACCTATTAGAATATATGTTGTCAACTTGAAGCAGTAATCTATCGTGATGCTATGGATACCAAAACAAATCTACAGTTTCAAGTTCAATCAGAAGTGACAAACTATGAAACCTACTCTAATGAAGAAAGGATAACTATAGCAACCACTTGTGGAAAAGATCAAAACCACAATACGCGTAGAAATAAAACCAACAATAGTACCAGAAAATAACACAATGCTGTGAATGGACTCTTATCAAACAAAATTCACTTAAAGCATTAGTTTCTTGTCACAATTCCTTGCCGTGACTCATTCAACAAGGTAAGATTAATCCATTATACTTAATATTGACTTGCATCCACCTCCAACATTAAGGCTAAGAGAATTTTTCTAAACAATCTTGAATCAGAGATAAACATGGCATAGTTCATAACATGAATGCTTGCACACCATAGTTCTGCTAGGTGCCATTCCAATAACCTTGTTTCTTCGTAGGCATCATATCACAGAAGTTATGGCGTAAAAAATTGACAGCCAGCTGCACAATAGGTAGATCCTAGAAACTGAAAGAGTATTTCCAATAAACCTCACATTGATGCAGAGGCTTCTGCTAATGAATTATCAGGTCAGAATATATACGGATGTATTAAATGGTAAGGCATCAAAATTTCAGTCAAAAGCAAACAAGCACAATAAATGTTTTTAAAGTAAATTCTTTCTTAAATGGGACAAAACAATTACCCCGCATCGCAATCTGAACTTGAAGGCGATGAAGTCCATTACCCATTCCTGAATTCCTGTAAAACAGTTGTTATCTCTCATTGGATGGTTCATGATTTTAGGATAAGATGAAGTCTCTGCGAAAAGGAAGTGGGGTCTGTAGTGCAACCATTTTCGCCAAATGTCAGGAGCTTTGCGGAGTGTTCCATCACCACTGCATGGGACATCACACAGAACACGATCAAACAGCAACTGGTTCGTAACTGCCTCTTCTGTGAGACATGACGGGGAGCTACTTGTCAATCTGCCATTTTCAATCTCTGTATTCAAACGACAACTGGGAAAATGCTGGGCTTCATGATTTGTTACTATCAAATTGGCACTGCACATTCTCCTGGTCTGATGAATTAGAAGATTGCATCTTTGGACATCAACGTCGTTTGCTATTACCTGCACTCTCAAAATAATAAACCAAGAATGAAAAAGATAACAATACAGAACTCACCTAAAAAGGAAAAATAAAACTGAACAAAAAAATCAGCATAGAAAGAGGAGAACGGCAACCAGGCCATTAGGAAGTAATCCAACATTAGATGACTGGTGCATCATTTCAAGTAACTGAAACGTTTTCGACCCTGGAGCTGCACACACTGCATTCAGAATAACAATATCAGAACACGATGGCAAAAATAAATTCGAAAGAAAGTAGTAGGATCACAAGAAGATATTACTTCTCAAACTGGAAAAATCAAAAACACCTGATTATAATAAAAAAAACAATGACAATACATTTATCCTTCAGAGACAACTCTTTCACATTTTAGTGGAAGACGTTGATTATGACATGCATTAACGAACCATTGAAACATGACTGTGTAATTTGATTTGGACATTGTCATTTGTAAATTTTGATCGATTTGTACATCATCTGCAATTTTGAGAATTCATTTAATTGAACAGGTTAAAAGACAACATTCATTTATTATTCACGTTTACCTCCTGGCAATTGACGATAGTCAGTGTTAATGGCATCTTTTTTTAAGAGAATACCATTCATCTTTTTTATACTGAAATATAAAATGCAGTTATCTGGTCAAATGAGAGAAAAAAAATTAGTTCAAGTGATTCTATTTATTTTTCTTTGTTTTAACATATTATGAAAATTTATTTTTTTATCATTCTTCTACAGTAGCTAAGGCTTCAGGGCCTTAAGGGTAAAAACCTGACATAAGAGAGCGAGCTATTCATTCGCGCTACCAATGGCTACCACAGTGACTCCGTAAAAGAAGGTCAATGACTTAGCCACAGATGACTTGAGAGGAAAATCTTGGAAAAATGGCCAGAAAAATGGCCACAAAATACATTGAGGCTAACAAACACTTCATCACAAAGAAGTTGAAGAGCAGATTGATTTGTACACCTTGTGTGTTTACACAGCCCAAACTTGCCGAAGTACTTACTGAGAGATAGAGTACTTCAATATTTCAGAGTGTTGTATCCAACTTGGGAATAGAAAATATCTATTCATCAACTTCTGTTAGTCAATTTCTTCGGTTGATTGAGTTGTTGGTCAATTTCCTAGGTTGGTTAGGTTGTTAGTCAATTTCCTAGGTTGGCTAGGTTGTTGGTCAGTTTCCTAGGTTGATTAGGCTATCGGTCAGTTACCTAGGTTGGTCGGGTTGGGTTGTTGGTCAGTTTCCTAAATTGGTTAGGTCACTGGTCAACTCCCTAGGTTGATTAGGCTGTTTATCATTCTGATAGTTCGATTGAGTATCCCAAAATCGTGGGATCCAACAAAGTTAATTTTCCTTTTTCGGGACTGGGGAAACTGTATATTACTGGCAAATTGATCTATGAATTGATAAGATACTTAATTTTTTTCCCTATTGTTTATACCTGCTTTGCGGTTAACTCCCTAACAGAGTTGGCCACAGAAAAAAACCAAAATGGTCTATACATAACAAGTACAGGAAATATTATAACAAAGCAGATTATTGAATGCATTGATAAACCTGCTTATCATAACTGGACTTTAAAGAGGCAAAGATTTATATCAATAATAAGTCCAAGGAAAACAGAACTCATTAATTGTGAGAAGAATGAGGTAGCGTACTGTCAAGAACATGATGATCTGGCAAAATATCCAAGAAGAGAGGAGGTACCTAAGTTGGCAAAAAGATTATACCGGTATAATATTAGCTCAAAGAGACAACAATCCATACTAAAACAACTGCACATCTAAAGATAAGAAGAAGATGAAACCGATTACAGAGTAACCAGGCACAATGTGAATTTTACCATGCTAACAGCTTCTTGTCTTGTAATATTTCCAATTTCGTTTTCCAGCTTTAGAAACTCATGAAACCTGAAAGTTGGAACCTGACTCATGAATTATATATAAGTAGGATAAAAGATGATGGAAGGAAAAAGAAAAACATCCCATCCCATTATAGATTTAAATGGGTTTGTCATAATAGAATTATGATACAATAGAAAAACAATGCAGTTTACCATTTTTACCTTCCACAATTCTTTTTTCTAACATTTTTTTTTACATACTTCTATCAAAACAAGTTTGAAATTCGCTTTATGAGCAAAGTGCATATTATACAACCGTGCTTTCTATAAAACCATCAAACAGATGTTTGCTCAAAGGCTTGTTGATTGCTCAATATTGATCTCTTTTTAGAAAATGGCTTACACCACTGATATATGAAACCATGTCGAATGTAAAAAGTTGCAAATAGAACACAAAGTGAAGCAGAAGAGACAATTGGTGAATTCAACCACAAGAAGGCAAAAACGACAATTCACCCCTTAACTAAGAAGATGGACCATACAAAAAATGAATTATAGAAAAAACTACACAAGCAAATTATCCATGTTCTTGATCGAGTTCATCAGGCAAGCTACCTGAAGGTCACCTTCAATTTCCATTACTCAAGCCAAGTTGATACCTGGCATATTCTCAAATTCTGTCATATTTTTTGCTATTTATATCCATCCATAAAACACCAACATACGTGGTAAAAGAACTTTCTACCACCAAAGATCATGGCATAGCAAAAGCCAGGGAGGAAGCTTTGACCTTGAATCCTCAAAGATTAAAGTATGAGAGACTCTTGAATCCACAAGGGTTTCCATGAATCCACAATCAACAGAATAAATAACATGGTTGCCTGATTTGGGAGAAAAAACCTCTCAGTGTGCATTTTGTCCTTGATTAAACAAACAAAAACTAGTTGTAGATCTCATAAGAACTAGGACCTGCCAACTAAAAGAGATAACATGCTTCAATCGAAGGATCACCGAAAAATGGCCAACAAACTAGCCTAAAATGAAGAACATGGTTGAGACAGCATGCTTTAACATTGACTCGCACTTTTTGGGCCTTCCTCATTTCCAGTGATTCAGTCCTACATCAGATCAGGAACTATATGACATTTTGAATGCCAATTTTTCAGCATAATAATAATACACGCATAATTACCAACTTGACAAAGGTCAGGATTATGAAAAACATTCGACAATACATTCAGTCCCACGTTCCACAAAGACCAACATTAGTCTCCAATTACAATTCACTGAAATTACACATTTTTTGACTCACAGTCATGAAGATTAGGTCAATATGGGCGCTGATATTGCATTTTCATCTTTTCTGCATAAAATTAAAACGAAATCATGAAACTAGAAATCATCTCGTTCTTCAATAAATATCCTATCAGAAAACATAGGAAAATCTTCAAAAAGTGGTCATCAGATATTTCAAAGATACACCTCCAGATTCAGAAAGGGCCTCTTAACATATTTTTGAACCATACCAATTTGCACCAACATCTCTCAGTTATCATGCGCACATTCAGCTCAGCAAATCCGATTGAACAATTCCACCATACCACCGTTTTCATGCTAACATGCAACCATCAGAATATGAGAGCATCCCTAAAGGCTAGTAAGAACTTGGTGATGATGCGGAAAATCTATTAATCTAACATATATGACTACTTTCTTCAAGGGTTTTCCTTTTGAAAGTACATAAACTACTTTGACCTTTTCTCTTTTGATCATGAGAACTAGAACTTCAAAAGCAAGTAATTCTCAATGATTACAACCATGTTGCCCCATTGTTTGACAAGAGAATGCCCAAAACTCAATTTGCAACTGAGAATGATGTTTCGCCTCCCACTAAATTGATCAGTGCTACAGAGCCTGGATCAAAGGTCTCATGAAGCTGTGTATCAAGGTCAATAGCTCGTCAGGAGTGATTAGGAAACTCAAGGATATATTATTTTCATAGTACTGCAAGTCAAGTAAAAGTATCTCATGAGGATTAAGACATGCCAGTGTACCAAGGAAGTAGGAGCTGAAGATAATGAATCATGAAGATGAGAGTGACATATAAGCCAAAAAAGGTTACTGCCTCGAATTGCAATGTTTTACCTAATTAGAGAATTTGACTGCTCTTTTTAGTATGTTAATGCGAATATAACTGGCAGCAAGTAATCTATCGAAGAATAGAAAGACATTGATGAATCAGCACATGCAGCCATCAGACATTAGTATGAATAGCGTAACCTGAGTCATATGGTCGCCAATTATCTATGAAATAATCGGGCCCCTAGGAACAAGTAGTCAGTCACTTATCTCGGCATTAATGCTCTTCAGAAGATACCATTTTATTCATTTAATGTCACTTTGTGCAAAAGAGGCCGCATATTCGTATAATGAGGAAATAGGTGATTCTAGGCTCTTGGGCATTGGCATGGATTACTCCATTTGTAAAAGAAGGTTATTTGAGAGCAGATGATACATAATTATGTCTCTTAAAAAAAATACAGAAGAAACATGAGCACTCAAAGTGTCAGGGCATATCAATAATCAGGCATATAATGAAGAATGACTGTAGAAAAAGACACATTTCTTTCTCACAAGTCATCTATAAGATATCAAAAAAGCATTAGAGAAATTATTTTCCTACCCAGAAAATGGCAAACTAAAGTGTCCATCAATTTTTCTCATAACCCAGGAGCTAACGTCGGTGCTTGTGATATGTGGCCCTCTCGTCAGAAGTTGCCACAGACTTAGAAGCAACTAGGAGGTTAGCGATATCACGAGTACCAAATATGCATGGGATTACAGAAGAAAATTCATACGGCATGTTATTCAAGAAACGGCTTCATAAAAGGGATCAATAGTTTACTGAAACCAAATCCGAAGGCTGACGTAAGAAGTTGAATAAAAGGAACAAAGATATTCAATGAAGGAGTGTGATGTTATCCTTTTTAAGACAAAGATAGAACATCATCATTTTGACAAGGCCATAAATATAAAGAACGTAGATAATTTTAGCATAACTAGTGCGATCAATTACCTCTCAAGTGTCTGATTTTTTCGAAGCTGCATGCGAGAAAAATTGGAATGCCAGGCAAGATTCCCTGGATACCAGGCCAAAGGCCTGATAGGCTCTGTCTCATACTCGTGCCCAAGCTGCTGAGACAAAAAGATGCTAAAATGTCAACAAATGAAGGGAAAAAAAAATCTGGAATTGCCTGCATAACGAACATGAAACATACATCAGCCTCAAGTGACTTTGAGAAGTCATTCTCCAACTGCGATTGAATATCTTTATAAAACTGACCACTGCAAATGAAAGTAAAAATTATTAAGATTAAGTATGCAGATAACGTCTATGCATATATCTAAATATTTCAGATATTGTAGAAAAAATTATTGGTATATAATCTCTGAGTACATTTTAAACAAAGAAGACACTTTCTCATGATTAATAATCAATGTCAAATATACGACCGTACTGATAAACTAACTTTTCACTCTACTGACGTCCACATCATCAGACGATAACCAGTTTCGCATGACACGCCTTTAAAACCCAAGAGGCATCAGATTTCGAAATGGCAACGACACAAGCAGAGAAGACTACCACGAAGAGACCCTGAAAGTTGGGCAGTGAAAACTGAAACAGACTAGGGGGAAAAAGTGAACACGAACATAAGACAAGGATTTATAGATATCACATATGGCAAATAAGTAGAGTATTATTCAAATATGTTGAGACATAAAAGATATCCATACTCACATTGCCAGAACCAGCTAAGGTTATTCAAATGGTAAAAACCAGACACTAGAAAATGCACCTATTGTTCCTTGACCACTCTAGCCTATTTTCAAAGCCCCTTAAGTTCATTAAAACCATCATAATGTTCAAAACACTCTTTCCAGTCAACATAAAGAAGCTACGTCAGAAAACCTACCACGAGAACCAAAATTACCCTGATACACATAAATACGCCTTAGACCAAAAGGTGAGGACTTCTGGGCTTCAGGGACACCAGAAGATCACAGGAAATTCGCAAAAAAATCATGTTCCGCTGAATCTACTATAACTTAACTACCTAACAAGTGGCAACCAGAATTACTAGAGGTATCTACGACATGATGATTTCACAGGGTTTTTGAAAAGGAGGCCATAAGCTTATTGCTGATCATTATAGAAAGCAAATGCATGGTTGAGAGAGCTAATTGACAAATAAAGCAAGACTTCTTTGTGTTCACCAAAGTCAACGGAAACAAATAAAAAATCGTGAAAAAAAGCACTGGGGCCAAATGAGTCTAAAAAATATATATATAATGGGGCTTTTCAGCCAAAAGAATTAATGTAGTTCATCTAGATACCTAGAATTAATCCTGAATGCAGCCGGTAGAGGTTTACGGAGGAAAGATATAAACTTACTCCACTCCTCTTCAGACACAATGCCTTGTTCCTGTCAACAGAAGCAGCTTGTTATGTAAAAACCTGCCCTACTACAGCAACACAAGCTTTAATCTTAAAATAAAAAATTTGATATCACATCCTTCAAAGAAAAATATAAAAGCAGACCATTTTATTTTTTATGCTTCACTCCAGCATCAACTGCATGGGCCAGATAGCTGCGGACCCCAGATTGGTGATGAACTCACAAAAGTTTCAACACCAACAGAGGCATGAAACTACTTCCAAAGGGGGGGCCAAATAAAAGTAGCTACTATTACTGATGCTAAATAGCAGAGAATTTAAGGTCATATAAGACGATCACAAGCCAGAAACCATTAATAACCTTTGCCTCGTTATCAGTTTTTCTATGTTCAAATTAAAAAATAAGGCACAAAGAGAGCATAGAAGTTTCTAGGCCCTCTGAAATGTTTAAGCTTAGATATCCCCTAAGAAGAGCTTAATGAAGACTGGATACTCTAAGAAGGCTAATCATCAAACAGAGACAGATTATGCTTACAAATCCCTTTCAACATAACATTCACGCCTGGAGGCTCTTTACCTGTAAGTGGTTTATCCAATGGAATACAATGTCTACAGAAGAAGATGACTGGAAATAATTTTTTATACAAAAAGGGTTCCAAAAAAACTTATTAACAAGTGAAGAAAGTATAAGGTAGTTGCAGAAACATAAATGGACTCATGTAGCACCAACTGAGCTGTCTCAACATTTTCTCCCAGTTTTTCAGAACGGAATAGATGTCAAAAAGTATAGTGATGGAGCTTAGGATTTCATTCATGATATTCAAAAAGTATCACAAATTTAGAATTAATCTATATAATCATTTATTCATGACACTTAAAGCGTCACCTAGGGGATCCAATAAAAGCATCACGAATACATCCCTGTCATGGAGGACTCATTTGCACGTTTGCCTCACTTGATGCCATCAAATGCAAGAGAATATTGTCCATCCACCACACCCAATGTCACCCTAAATGACCATGGAAATGACCATTCTGTCACACGTTCAATTGGCATGCATAAGTAAAGTGATGCTTTCTAAAGAGCTTAACATGAGTTTTGCACTTGTTAAAAAAGTTATGAGGTAATCAAATACAAAAGGGGTGGGAGTAATGTAGTGACATTACTCCCACCCTATTTGTAGGCTTTTATGCTAAAAAACTTAGACAAGCACAAAGGATGATGATCCCATAAAAAATTGGCGTTCCATGCAATTGTGCAACCCTAAAACATACTTATTTACCAATCATCAAGCATAAAAAACAATAGAAAATACACAATGGCTTGCACTAATCCACCAATATTTTATACATCCCTCTCTAAAAATCCTTCTACTATATAGCATTCACTTCTACCAAAAGAACACATTTCATATTTTAAATTATCCAAAACAAGGAAGTGTCAACAGAAATCGTTAAGGTGGATAGACTACCAAAAAAAAGATCCACTCCTACATTTTGGGCATTCCAATTTCCTGCGATTCTCTTGTACACCAATCTCCAGCACTTAGGAAGAACTCACTCTTAAGTCTAAGAATTGATAGATGATATCACAGATATCTGCCATGTTAAATATTACATATCTGTTCACGTTTATCGATAAGTTACCAACATAAGCATTGTCATCGAGAACTCGTATAACTTTTAGGGCCCAAATTATCTTGTTTGTCATAGGACCCAATTGAATATCTGAATCATATTAGTTCATATTAATTGAAATGAATCGCCAAAACATATTGCTACCAAACATTCATGAATTGAATCTGATAAGATATGTTACAATACCAACTATCGCTATTTTCAAAACGGATTCAAGAGAGGGTTTGAAATGGTGACCAACTAAGAATAGAGATGACCAACTATCATCACTACATGCAAATCCTTCTTAAGCTAGGGAAAGATATTTTTTTGATTTAGAAAATGATTATCATGCATCTCAATGACGACTTCACTGTGACTACTAGTTTGAAGGTGACTAACGTTGGTAAAGTTTAATAACACAATAAAACGACTTCAATCGTGTATGTTAAAACTGAGAAAGACATTTTGTGCTGCAAAAAATTTGATCAACATTGGTGCTCTATGCAAACATATACTCTCTCAATAGAACAAATTAACTACATATATTATTTCACTTACTTATTTCGTCAAGTAAAATAAACAGTTATTAAAGACGATCCAATATCACAAAGACAATGTGCTCATTAAGGTTTACATACATGGACTAAAATACCAATGCATTTCTTGAATGTGAAACAAGATACAACGGTTTGTGTTGAATATCCTTCGTTATGCTAGAGACTTAAAAACTTTCACTTGATTCCCTTGTCCAAAAATTATTTTATCTTCTTTGCCCCAATGAAAATTGCACATGCATCTTCATTTTTTGGGCTACCTCATTCTTGATAACTTTCTCCAACACTTTTAAGCCTTTTGAACTGATCATAAAGCCTAACAATAGTAAGCTTCAACTCATCAAACTACAATAATGGAACAGCAACCTCCTATATAATAAAGATCTTAGCAACTCTGACAAATGCAAAAGACATCTTTCCTACACTGATATAAATCAATGGATCATAAAAAAAAGAAAGCAATGACCCAACCAGTGAATAGTTTTAGGCATTGACTCATCATTCTCATCAATGCACTAGGTAGACTGATTAACATCACCAACAGATAATAAAAGCCTTACGTGATTCATATTCATAAGGGGGTCTTGAGGTTGTTTCACGAAGATCCTTCATAAGGGATTCTTCCAAAAAATCCAATAGTTTCATATTCATAAGGGAGTCTTTAGGATCATTACTGAATGCACGTATGCAACAGTCTTTTATACTGACAAAACTCTCCTCATACCCAGGCAGCCTCTGTCAGTTAGTGTGCTGTCCTCTCAGTCTCTTCCAATCAGTCGTCTTCAGGCTTCACCAGCAAAGGTACACTAAGAACATTGGAGAAATGGGGCTTAGAACCCTAATTTGTGATTTAGTAAAATTCGGTTTACAAAGAGATTGGTATTTATACCAAACTAGTTATCATGAGAGAACCAGACCGGTTCAGACCGGTCTGGTTCAGTCTACGACTGTGATATGAAAGACAAGTAACTAAAAAAGAACGGAAAAATTACAAAAATAAGATCAAGAAAACAGTAGCTCATTCCTCAACAGTTGTTGTCTGGGGCTACCCTTGACTTTAATACTTGTCATCCACACAAACAACAGTTCTAGGGTGATATCCCTTTTTTATAGAACATTGATTTGAAACTCAAGAATTTAAGCTCTGAAGCTGCCTCTTGTACATTATCATTGATTAGGGGTGCCTCCACGATGCATACAACACATCATCACAGACATGGGTATATGATATAAAACTTTACTCTAATACCACCCAACATAGTAGAAGCCAAATAATTGAACAAAGATTCTCGAAGCCACAAGGCATGAAAGAGATAAAAATGAATTGGAGGAAAGTACTTCTTCTATAAATCAGAATAGTCCACAAAATTTTGAATAGTGTGCCTTCCATATATTTGGATCACCTGGAAAACAAGAAACTACTAACAGCAACGATGTTTTTAGGCCATCCTAACAATTATGCACAGATATTTTAATAGTTCGAGAAGAATACATAAAGGGAGCCCCATTTATATCACTGATCATGCCAAAAGCTTGCAATTGAAATGAGACAAAGAAAGTTGATCACAAAATGTCAGTAGTATAACAAGTAATCAGGTGCGATTGTTGCATATAAGGAAGCTTCAATCGAGGAATAAGGATCTTGATATTTATTTTTCCAAATATGAGGTGGGGCCTCTTGACATTAAAAAGAATAAGTTGTACGCGTCTTTGGATGTAAATAGACCATGTTTTATGATCCAGTACCATCTACTACCACCAATGAATGATCTTCTTAGACTGTGGATCTATAACTCCATCATATCTAAAACGATGGGAGCGTGAAATGCCAGCACAATCAACAAACAGAAGATTGTGCCAGCTCTGACTGTATTAGCAGTCTTTAAGATAACTAACTGTATGATCAATCTTCAAGATAACCATCTGAGTAAAAGGTAACGATTTATCAGGTCTCTTTCCCAGAAGATAGATAATATAGAGCTGAGAGTGATAATCATGATACATAAAAAAACAGATAAAAAAGAATCATGCAAAACCAGAGGGGATTGAGGATCATTTATAGTCAACACAGATGATTTCAATAAAACCCCACTCCTGGAGTGTCTTTGTAGGTTAGACCAGAAGGATGAGTTATTCTGGATCTAAATAGTAAAATGAACAAACTCTGAAGCTGAAATAGATACTTCATATTGCCTTAAACCTCAACTCTGTAACCGGGCTGGAAAAACACCAGTAAGGGTATCGACCTCATGACTTGTTCGATTTCACACGAAACAGATGCTGGGTCATGGGACAGGTTTGGAAATATTATATAAGTTCCTGCTCAATTCACATTCTCTCCATTCCAACAATCCTAAGAAATGTTTATGACGACCGGAAGTATAGAACTGAAAGAACAAGGAAAATCGCAACCAGACTTCTCCAAATGCACCAAAGGAGAGGCACAGTCTATTGTTACAGCCAACACAGTCCATTAACGGACATGGGAATAAATGGAAAGTTCATATGATATTACGTGACAATTGTGCATGGTTTTTATTTGTTAAAAAGTCACCCATTTCACCAAAAAAATTATCTTACCTTTTATTTGTCCATAGCCATATCCAATGCTTCAAATGAGTGACTGCTAAGTAAAATCAAACATCTACAGATGATACACAAAATGCCAACAGGGACAGCCTATCCAATCTACGGAGACTACAGAATTTTTTGGGAAAGTCGGTCAGCCAAAGGGAAACATTTATATTCAAAGAAGACCTAACTGGTTCTGCCATACAAAAGTGGTTACCTTGTAGTACTCCTCAAAGGCTTGGTTCTCTGTGTTGAAGGGCTCCCATGAAGGGTTATGACTGTTGCTTTGAGAGGCAACATCGCCAGCTCTATTATCTCCATCATTGCTGTACTTCCAGAGATTTTCCCTGTTCTCCTTGAAGTGCTTCCTCTGTGTACGCCCACGTTTCTGGCCTCTCCCCATTGGGTATCCTAGACAAGTACTGAACACTCAAGACACCTGATGAAGAGGCAACTTTTCATAAGTGACAGAGCAAGGAAAAGTGTCACACACAGTATCCACAAGCAATTCAGTTAGATGTATTGTCACAAGATCTATTGTCAATTTAGATGTACAAACAGATGAAGTTTCAGTTAATTTTTGTTTTCTAAAAAGTAACTCATAATTTGCTCAATATTTTAAAAGGTAGAGTAAAACCATCAATTAGGTCCAATAAAGGGTGACAATATAGCAGATCATGCACATTCATTCAATACACAACAGAAGAAAAACTTTACCAAAATCTGGACAGGTAGGAATTCAGTTGCAAATACCTCTATATTCAGCATTCCTCCACAAAAGGCTACAATAAAGGAGGTATGTATAAAATTAATCTGCCAAATTAAAGGACTTCTCCCTCTATATTGATAATACTCATCAAAACTTGATACATGAGTTAATCTAACCGAAAAAAAAACCCACCGCATATAAAAATTCCACTGCATTGTAGAAGCAAAGTGATAGAAAAGAGACCATGCAATTTTTTATATCTTTGATAATGACTTAGTATATATTATAATATAATAAAATCTAAGAATACACATAACAATCACTTTATACGGTACATCGTCATAGAATTGCTAGTGTAATCATGAAAAATTCAACGTGTCAACATTTTTTTCAAATTCTCTAATTAACTTTCCTGGAGAAGACTGAGCTTTACGCAAACACTTTTCAGATAAAGCAGCGTTGAGCAAAAAAATACCATAATACTGTAGACATGCTTCAGCATGTCCTATAATGTGGGTTGTGCATTAGGTTTCTTTCGGAACCCCTTTCATATTCTCATGCTATTTCCATCCCCACCTATAAAAAATTGGATCATGTATAAAATCAGGCAAAGAAGGGGACATATGCCTTATGTCCATTTGATTTCCAAGCTGTGGGCCTCAAAATCAACCCCATATGGATAAAACGTTAGATTCGTGCCCTTCTCACCGAAAATATTTTCTTCATCCTATCATACATAAAAGTGTGCATCCTGATTAAAAAATAAAGCCCACTTTCTGTGCATCTATGGATTTGATCATTCCTTTCTTTCTGTACGGCCACAGGATATGTTTGTCAAGACATGATACTTTCATCAAATTCGAGTGACAATGTTGATCTCCACTGGTTTACAAATCTATTTTTTCACTGCTAAAAATAATATTTTATATTTCTCTTATATTTGTTCTCCTCCTATACAAAAAAAAGTCTAAATGAAAAATTCCTAAACATGTCAAAGGAGCACAGAAGGAGTCTTCAATTAGGCTTCTTGTTCTCCACAGCCTCACAACGGTACACAAAATATACTGGCCTGGTAAATAGAAAAACGTTTAGTCATTTTCGTCAGAGGGTGAACAAGATATAACTAAGGTGCCAAGACGACTGAGGAATGAAAAGATAGGAGGCTTTCCCACGCTCACCTACCACCCTGGTTTCCTCTGCTCTTGGCCCTCTATGATAACCCTATGGCCAAGCATTAGCAACGGCAACTTCTTGTAAATAACCCCTACTCTATTGACAATCTTGGAAACTTCATCGGTAAAACTTTCGAGTTCAAAGCAATTCAGCTTTAGTTGGAGCATGGCTATTCCAAATAAAACTGCATTTCACTATCCTTGTTACTCCCAGGATCTTGATTGAACCAGTTGGAATCAGAAAAAACCGTCAGGCAACCTCAGATACCAAGATGTTTGATAGGCCTTGGTTTCTTGAAGTTGGGAATGAAGACGATGTGGGCAGGAGCTTAGTAAGCTGCTCGTTGCGGACGACATGCCCTCACACAATCCTTCCATTCCAGGAGAAAAACGACACATAAAACTCAGACACTCATCTTCGTAAAGGTTCCCAAGAAAAAAGAAAATGCAATCTCGCCGCAGACATGGACAAAAAACAGAGGGAGGGCAATTAAGACAAAGAAGGGAGCATAAAGAGCATAACCAATGGAGCTTCAGGGTCGACAAGATTGGATAGTGACGTAGAAGTTGGCTACACAGCGGCGGCGTCGGCGAAGAGGTGCAGGGGTGCAGGGGTGCAGAGAACGTAGGTTAGGACGAGCATGAGGAAAATGAGTGAGAATCGACGATCCTCCCGGCAAAAAGCCCGCTCAGGCTCTATAAGTTTTCACGAGAAGAAGGGCCAAAAACGAGCGCAAGAAACATGGCAGGTGGAGACCGGTCCAGCATTGTCAAGCCCGTGAAAAGAAATCAATGGGCCGCTGAGGCTGGGCTCAGGCGCACATCTCAACCCACTTTTAGGTGGAGATAGTTTTCCTCATCCGGGACTGTACCAACCAGCAAAGCCGCATCAGGACTTTGTTCTGATCCCACCTCGTTGCTTGACACCACAGAAACAACAACAGCACCCTACTTTTCTCAATTTCTTTCTTTAAAGTCGGTGGTCACAGCAACCTGCATATATAAAAAATGCACCCCCCTCCCCCCCCAAAAAGGTTTGACCTTGCCGTTGAACTGTTATAAATATCAGACTCATGCAATGAAACCGAAATAACGCAGTGAGAAGTATCCATTCAAGTTGTGCGAAGTTTCAACAATTGAACAACTCTCATGGCAGAAAATTATTGTTAGCTCTTACAAATTCAAGAAACTTGGTGCCAAAGACACAAGGTGCAAGCAACATCGAAAAGAATCTTCATCTAAAATCTGCTCCAGCGACCTTATGAACTAAGAAATGTATACCCATTCAATCTTGCCTACCATTTATCTCCCTCATTAGTCCCCATAGTCTAGCATGCCTCTCAAATTAATTACCCCTATTGTTTGGTCATAATTCCTAATTATGCTATGATGACACTCTCCTAAGGCTTGTAATCCTCATGTCCCATGTTCATGAATTAATGGAGACTGAGATTACAGGGGTCTTCAATAACTAGCTTAAAAGAAACTTGGTGTTATTGGTCCTAGAGCCTCCAGTCTCTTCAGTCCAATTTTTCCCTCTCTCATCCTAGTACCACCTATCTTCCATCTTGGCTTTTGGAATTACTCTTATGTTGTTGATATTTAAACTGGCATTAAGAATTAAAAAGTACTTATGAAGTTATAGTGTTATAAAAATTTATAGGCAATTGTGCTAGAACCTTATTAAGGTCTCATGTTAGATAGAGTAACTTCAAGTAAAATGGTCAAAATGGTCCTTATTTCAAGAAAATGGATTAACTTAGAAGTATATTTGTCTTGTAAATGTAGATTTACGATAATTACTGCTAATGCTTCCTAAAAAGATAGCCAAAACGACTAAATGACAAGGCACTAAATCATATACAAATTAGTTCTTGCATGGTCAAAATTATTCTCCACTATAACTCCAGCCACCACTCGAAGCTAAATTAATGTCAGTGTTTCTTGAAAAGAATACACACAAGAATATCATAAATCAAATGTCCCAAGTTTTTCTTCTTATTATTTACACATTCTAAGTGGTTCTCTATATAGTAGTTTTTCTTCTTACTATGTATGCCAATGGCTTAATGGATAAGCTATTGGTTTAAATGTTGAGGATATCTTAAATCTTTAAAAGATGTGTCATATTGATTAGGATAGTTTTCATTTCCAATTAAATCAAGGTTTTGATTGTTAAAACATGGTGAAAAATAGGAGAAGAGTGTTAACACTCTATTCTCATATAATAAATAATGTAAGTTTTATGTAATTCTTACATGAATTGATGTGAAATACAAATTATTTAGCTTAGGATGTAATTTCAAATGTTTAAAGTGGTCTGTAGTAAATTTACAATCATATTTATATTTTTGATGATTTTTATGTTGATTTTTTAATGTATGTGTTAATACAGACATCTAAGGCTTATAGCCTTGAGATGTATTTTGATTTGTCAAAAATGTGTTCATGAAATTAGATATTGAATTAGATTTTTTAGTGATTTTCTAAAAATTGATTAGAGTTGTGTTGAGTTATATGGAGAATACTTATTGATAAAAGCTCTAAGCCTTCTCAGCCATGTCAACATAAAATGTTGACATAATCAATGGTTTTCACATGTTAGTAACCTCATATGGCAACCATCAATGGTCACATCATTAAACCACATCAATTGAGTCAACTTGACATCCTAAGTTCATGAAAATTTGAAGGGGAAAATAATCATCTCTTGAACTTTATATTAAGATATGTCAAATTTAATACCTATAAAACTGAATTTACATTAAAATTAAGAAGTATTGTGGTGATACAAGTCAAATCCACATAGAAGATAACAAATCAAATAATAATTTCTTGTATTCTCTAAATCAATCTGAATATAAATAAAAGTTAGGCTTTATTACACAACCAAACGGGGAAGTCAAGATAGTATTTTTTACTCATTAAAAGATACAAAGACATTAATTCAAGGAATATTTATTAAGTATTATTTGATCATCCTCAACATGGTTAAAGCTGCAACACCTTCCAATATTTGTCAACATCTTTACAAAAAGAGAGGAATAAAATCAATTTTCGAGTAGCATCCTCTTCATCAAAATTCTAAACAAACTATCAATCTACACCTTATTGTAAAACTTTATCTATTGTGATGCCTTTCACATTTATTGTGAGGAAAATTTGTGATTGGAATCTAATTTAATCACTTGAGGAAGTTGAACTTATTAATCATTCATTCTCTACTTAGAGTTGTGAATCTAGAAAGAAAATTTAGAGAGAAATTCTATGGAAACTAAGTCAGATAATCAACAATTGTTAATCAAACAATCAACCTCAATCAAACCTAATAACATGATTTATTCTTAGAAAGTGAATCTAGAAAGTGCATCAAATCACAATAAAATCTTTGTCTTACAACCATTAATCTAGGAACACCATAAGACTTGAAAAATTATGTAGTTAATTGACTCATTCAAAATAAGTCTTATCCTTATAGATAATAAGATTAGATATGTTCAATCCCCCCTTCTTGATATAAGTGCAACATAAAATCCTACATATGTAAGAAAGGATTAGGTGTTATGCTTCACCCTAAAATTATGAAACTAGATGAAGGGTAAAAAATTTCTTTTGGTTTGACTCTGTAGAGTTGTGAATCTTAGGAATGATCTCTAGATGAAATCTTGTATTGATTAGAGATGTTAAATCAAGTAAAAATGTGGCTAAAGGATGTAATTCAATGTGTATTTATCTAATGATTTAGTAGAACCCAGGGAAGTGGAAACAAATATAGTAGTTGGAGAGTGAAGTAGGAATTATGACCAAACCATTATAAAACGACTATGTGAAAATCTGTCTTGATCAATGGTAACTCCTCAATGACGATAATTTGTACATTGAACATTTTGCCATTAATTATTTATCAAGATTTTCTTGTGAAATAAAACAAGTTTAAACTAATAAAATTTGAGACAAAGTAATAGGGAAAACTACTTTAATGAGGTTCTCAACATTACTCATATTTTCTTAAGAGAATCAAACAAAAGTTGACTATTGATACACTACAAGAAAGTAGGCATGTCTACAACTTAGGTTTATCTCTAGGCTTGTAGGTAAAGCAACATAGAAGGTGTACTGAGTCCAAAATTGCTAACTAGTACAATTGTAAAGAAAAGATTCAATCCCTATCATAGATGAGCATTCAAATAAATTGAATGATTGTCATTTGTTTCTTCATTGAGTTCATTGTGATGGATACCCTTTGGTCTCATAAATGCATCTACATTTCAAGAGCCAATCATCAATTTTAACTTAGTATATTTTGTTATCCATAATGATATTAGTTATGCCAAGTTAAAATCACTAACTAAATTTTCAGCCAGTCCTTGATGTTTTGAAAGAAAATTAATTATCAATGTTGTATGGAATACCAAGTAATAAGCTTACTTTTGAAAAAGTCAACAGCATGGTAAGTTGGAAAATTGATATAAATAAAATATCTGCTAGAGGGTACTTTCAAAGTAGAAGACTAGGGAATATTTAAATTAAGAATTCTTTTTGACTTGAGGCCATGTGTGATATGAAAGGGAAAAAGGATGTTGTGTTGGCAGCTTTGAAATAAAGATCACATTTCATAGGACAAACATTTCAGATAAGACAATGGATACACTAGTCGTAGAAAATTTATATGGCTTAAATCATCTAGTATGACAAGCTATATTCTAGTTTCAACCAATGGGCAGTCTGTGGATGATGACTCAGAAGGAATGAGGTGCACAAAGCTCATGGCCAAATCGTCACCACACGTCTTCTATGGTGGGAGATTTTTCCATATAATGTTGCAGCCCAACAAACGTTGACTTCAAAATACTGTGCTATTTGGTGGCGTGATTTAGAAATTAAAATCGCCTGAGGGAGGCCCAAATTCAAGTCACGTTTACCAGGCCTTAATTGTATGAAGAATCGGAAAATAAAGGTTAACTCGGCAGACAAATGAATCTTGATGCAGGGCAGGGGAATAAACGTAAAATCAAGTTTGCCCACGCTCTTCCCTTGACTCCCAAAGAGTACAAGTACAAAGAAGGCTGGCTCGGATCGAACGACTTGTTGGTTCAACAGCGATGATTACCGTCGCTGATCCAAGAATGGTAGATAGGTTTAATGTTTTCTGGATTTAGTGACAGTCCTGTTCCTATCCTCCTTTCTTTTCTTAGAGAGGCTGTTTGGAAATTTTTCCTGAATCCACAAACCTTATTATTATTAAGTCGTGGATTTTTGACTTTCGAGTCTCACTCAAGCCCATACTGTCCCCTTTTTGCCCCTTCATTTTGGTTAAAGTCATTATCCGAAGCCATCTACTTGCGAACTTCAGTGGGTATGATAAAGCGTCGCTGGAATCGCTCGGAACAAAACGCCCCGCGACTTGTTTTTCTCCTTTCATGACTCTCAAACAGCCGGGAGCTGTAAACAAACTACTGGAAACCCATCTGCGTCTTCGAACAGAATCTAGGATGGCCCTACTCGACCTGGATTTGGACCACGTCCTTACGCTCGTATGCCTTAACCTTTGGCACAACCACCTTGAGCACCCCGTTCTTCATCTCGGCCCTCACCATATCCAGGTGGTACACCTCCGGCGGAAGGTCTATCCGGCTGCTGTATCTCTCCTCCCGGCTTCCTCCTCAGCCCACTCCCGCCCTTCGCCCCTTACCACCAGCTTGTTCTCGTCCACCGATACATTCACGTGCTCCTTGGTCAGCCCCGGCATGTCGATCGGCAGGTACAACACGCCGTCGTCCTCTCGCACGTCCCAGCCTCGATGGAAGCCCCTAGGGGGAGGCAGGCCCCAGGGGGCTGTCCATTAGCTGATTCATCAGGTTTAGCAATTGGATCAGGCTTCGCCCGGGGAAGATCTGATCCAACGGATCTGCCACCACCATCATTTCCCCGAAGGGGATGAAATAATTAGTTCTACGATCGAAATCGAGCAATACACTGGCCATCATCAGGAAGATCACAGATGCAACGGCTAGATACGTGAGAAGAATCCGGGGAAGAGATCATGGTCGCGCGGTCGGAAGACGACGCGGTCGTTCCTCTGGTCTTTGTTGATGCTCCGCTCGTCACTGGGAACGTTGTCTGCCTAGCAGAAATGTTGAACAGACGGGTTGACAGGCAGGGGGAAAGCGACCGAGCGGCGATGCCGCAGGACGGAGGCAGGAACTTCTCAAATAGCCTGGAAATCCAGAAGGCGAGAGTCATAAGCACTATGCCCTTGGCTGGTCCTGGAAGTTTATATAGAGGGATTAAATTTCGCACGTACATAGCGAGAAGTTTGTAGAACATGCGATTCCGAGAGTTCCAGACGTGGACCTGGCACATTGTTGATGTGACAGCCCTTTGGGGAGCTGCTTTAGTCTGGTGTGCCAACGTCCTAAAAGGAGAGATGCTGGAACCGCACTTAAATTTGCACCCCGACAGGGACCAACAGCTTCGTGAAGTTTCAAATTTTATGGACTTCAACGATACCCTAAAATCCTGTGAATTATATAGATTTTTGTCATATAAATCATTTAATTTTGCTTTAGTGGCCAGACTTTTATTTCAACTATTCTTTTGAAAATATTCATATAATAACATGAACCTGATATGATGTCCTCGTGGTCTATGTAGACGTTTTTTTTTGTGGTCTATGTGTCACGTTGTATACCCTCATCAACCATACATTCTACTTCTAACAACGTTGCAAATAATTATCGTAACAAATGTGCTTGGGGTAGGATAGGACATTGTCCTATTCCACGATAACTCTCTCATGAAACCTTATGAGTGCTCTCTTGTATTGTGACTTTCTCGTCTACACATGAAAGTTTTCTCCAAGGACAATTAAAGAGGTAAGAGGATGCCCATAGCAATGTCAATGCCATTATACTCAAGTAACAGTGACGTTGCCCATCCTTTGCCACATGCCCCAAGACCATGCGATAATTTTTTTTTCTTCTGCATGTCCTTAGTCATTAGGACCAAGTATTTTTTCAGGGCACGAATCCATCCACTTTGGACTACAAGACGACCATGTTTAACCATAGACTACATGACACTCTTCACTAGAATGTCATCCATCTCGAATGAGGAAGTCGTCTATCACAAGGGCGTCCTCATAGGGGTATCATTATAACCCACTGTCAAGTGCATCAATCATGATGCCCTCACACTGAAGAGACATCTTGAGCTCGTCTGCATTAGAAATGCCCCCACAACAATCTCATCCCTTAGGAAATGAGAGGTACATGCAGCTTTGCATTTTATATTCTCCTGTGAGCATGCAGTCAAATGTATGGATTAAATCAAGTGGTGAAAGAAAAAAAAAATTGCATCAAAATTCAAAGGTTTTAATTTTTTCATGTATTTTACAAGATTGACAAACCTATTTCGTGTCTAAATTTAAGGCGCGAACTTGCCAATAAGGACCTAACAGTAGCAACTGTGGTGACCATTGTGGCCGTTAGACTAAGTATTAAATTTGGACTTTCACTCATATTAATGCTTATGAAAAGGCAAAGAAAAAAATCAAGAGAGAGCTTCTCATGCTCTCATCTTCCTCCTCTAAAGAGTGAAGATAAGTTCTTCATCCTAGAATACCCAAAATAGTAAGGAGATCACTTCTGCTCAAGCCATCAAACGACTCCACCCTGAATTTTGAAGCTTACTTATTCAAGAAAAATATTTATCAACCTAATGAAGCTATTGGCTAATCAGTGAGAACACAAATCGTTCTTTACATGGAATTAGTTAATTCACTTGTTACTTTTTTTTAGAACATAGGCCTAAGAGAAGGAAAGAAAATGAGGCAGGAACAATTATAAACTTCTTATTTTGCAGAGAATTTCCACCCAACTTCTAACAACCAATAACAAAATTCAGAGACTTGTCTCCATTTTGTAGAGAAATTGCTTCTGGATTCCCCAAAGAACACTAATAGACAAAAGACAATATGATTAACTCTTATACAAGCTCTAGGTGAGTTCGGCTAATCATCATTTGTTCACACTAGAATTTGAACTCCTAGTAATCCCAATATAAAGGAGAAAACTTGATAACTTTTTAAATTTGGATCATAAATAATAATTTATACCTTCTTATTTATTACCTATCTTCTACATTCATAAAAAAAAATTAACACTTGAGATTTTCTTGATTCCACAGAATAAACATTAACCTCCTGACAATCAGCAAATGAGACGACACCTATCTGTCATCATGTGTTTGTCTCAGGGTGGGATTGATACAATAACAACAAGGGAAGGAGGATGGACTACTTAAGTAAAAAAAAATCCAATTTTGTGTTTTTAAGTTATTTATCTAAGTTTTGTATAAAGTGGACTAAATAGATTGAATTGTGTTGACATAAATTAAGTCAGGTAAATGTAGACTCGTCTTAATTGTCACCCTAGAAAATAACACCTACTCATAGTAGTTTAGATTTTCCTAATCTACCTCCTCTTACTAAGAGTTCATATCTATAGTTTTCACTATAATCACTCAGAACTGCAACTAATATTTATAGGATTATTATATTCCTTTGCACAACACAATATATCTCTCCAAATAATAGTGGTATGATATAAAGAAGGGGGGTTGAATTGATACTCTTTTTATTTTTCAGATATTTACTTTATGCACAATTACAATTATAAAGAACAATCATCGACACAATCACACAATAATTCATTAGTGTTTCAGTCCGCATAGCCTACATTCAATTTTTGAACATATTGTCCTTAATTTCACTGATTCCTTGGTGAGAATACATTCAAATCTAGGCTCAATGACCTACTGAATTTCAGAACTCCCCACTTCTCTCTTATAGAGTCCACAACTATAGGAGAGGAAACTAGAGAAGCTCCCCACTTCTCTCTTTTTAGATTTCAGGCCATAAGACATCTTTATCTCTTACAATTTAGTGCAAATAAGATTGAAGGATATTACCCAATAATAAATATTTTCTTTCATGCTTGGTTATGATCTTAGTTTTTTGGAGAATTGAATATTTTCTTCTTCTCATTCTTCTTCTTTGACATAAACTCATCTCAAGAGCTCAAGCAAACACACATTATTTTAGGTCATCCATTATTAGCCAATACAAGAGTGAACATTAACAATGCTACATGGATGGTATACATCTCTTTTTATGGTCAAATATTTATCTTAATATTTTCAAAGCTTCAAAATATCTAGAAGAAGAGGAAGAAAAGTGTAATACTTTTGATAGTGTTGATGGACTTGTTAATGTAAATGATAGTAATGATCATTTAGATAAAATTCATGTACTCTAAAATTTACCTCTTATATTTAATTTATAATTTAAAATTGAAGCACTTCATTGTAAATCAAAGTGGTGAAACTTTCATCTAAATGTCCTACTAGCCTAAATATTAAATCATTACGAAACTCACTCAAATATCCATTATTTGGTCGAAACCAAACTCTCACTACAATTATTGTTTCTAATCTTACTCTAGCTCAATTTTATTTTTTTAATGCCTTAGTACAGTTAAGGAATCTATTGAATAGACCATGATGAATTTAAAAGGTATAAGTACGAGTACTTGTATGCATCATAAATAGATAGAGGAAAATGCTAAACAAAGTAGAGAATATAGAGAAGATTAAATCCAAATATGAAAGTGATAGTAAAAAGAAAATAGTTAAATAGTTGGACACGAATTGTATATTGTATTTTTGAAAACTAGGCAGATAACCTCAACTAAAGCAATATCATTGAAGTCAAGTTTCATACTAACATGTAACAAAAAGGGTGAGGAAATGGAAACAAGATTGAATATGGGATGGAGAGTGTGAATAGATTATAGAAAACTTAATGTTGCAATTAAGAAATATCATTTTACTCTCCCATTCATGGACCAAATCTTGCAAAAATTCATAGGAAAAAATATTTTTTTTTCTTAGATGGCTATTCTAAATACAATAGAATTACCATTTACCTAGAAAACCAAGAAAAAGGCATTTCATGTCCATATGGAATATTTACATGTAGAAAAAGGTCATTTGGTTATGCAGTGTGCTAGTTCCTTTTGAAATATGTATGATGTCTATTTTTTCAGATATGGTTGGTAAATTATTTTGAAGTTTTGTGAATTATTTTTCTAATTTTGGTGATTCATTTTATATTTGTTTATAAAATTTAAAAAATTCTAACCAAATGTATTGAAACAAAATTTAATATTTAGCTTAGAAAAGAGCCATTTCATGGTGATAGGAGGTATCATCCTTGATAAATATGGGCAGCAAAATATTTTAAATTTATGTCTCTTTTTGGCATGTGAGGAAATTTATTAGGGATATCAACCTACACTTTTTAGAGATGCATACTATTTTAGAAAAGCATGTCTTAGTTATTAGCCTGCCATAAATAACTTGAAGGAAAACAAGTTGCCTCTTTATCCTATTCTTGTGGTAGAAATTTTTGATATTTAGGACAGAGTTGATGAATCCTTTCCCATCATTTTTTGGATTTGATTACATGACAGTAATATATATCTTCAAGTGGACAGAAGCCATCTCATCTTTGACTAATGATCACAAAGTTGCTATAAATTTAGTGTAAGAGACTAATTTATCTAAATTTAGATGTTTGTGAATAATTAATTTTGACCATGGTTCCCACTTGACTAATTATCAATTTAAATATTTATTTTAAAAATATGGAGTTAGTTATGTAGTAGTTACCTCATATCATCCACCAATCAATGGCTAGGTAGAAGCTCCAAAGAGAGAAAATAGAACAATTTTACAGAAGGAAATTAGATCTGATTGAAAAGGCTGGTCATTAAATAAGATGACACATTATGGGCCTACAATATAGCTTATGAAACTCCCATCAGCATGTTAGCATGTATAGTATTTGACAAAGATTGTCATCTCCTTGCAGAACTAGAACATAGAGTGCTTTTAGACAATTAAACAATGCAATCTGGACTTAACATAAGTTGGCAAACATAGAACCTTGCAAACTAGTGGGTTAGATGAATACAAGTAATGAAGATCATGAAAATTCTCAAATCTACAGACAAAATAAAGGTATTTCACAATAAAACATATTTTTAGAAATTATTTCCCCAGATCAAAAGGTTTTTTTGTTAATCTAAGCATCTCTTATTTTTAGATAAATTGAAATCAATATAGAATTAAGCATATATTGTTCCTAAAGCATGTGATCATGATCGTGATAGAATTCTAGA